GTGGGCTTTTTGAGTTTATTGAACAGAGATTAAAAGAAAATGGACATTTAGTTATTGTGGTAGCAGAAGGAGCAGGCCAGGAATATGTTGCTGCAGAAGTGCACGCAGCAGATGAAAAGGATGCATCAGGGAACAAGCTACTTCTTGATGTTGGTCCGTGGTTAACTGATAAGATCAAGGTATGTCACGTTTTCTTTCTTTCTCTTCCTTGTATACACTTTGCTGGTATAGATATGTAATATTTAGAGAAATATTTTTTATTGTGTATTTTAACTTGTATTTCATTGACACCTGCAAATTTGTTGGACTCTAGACTTAATAAAATTGGTGATATTTTGGAGATTTTAGAACCTTTAAGATTCACAACTGTAGCAAGAATATCTAATCCCAAGGACAAGTATTGGACCTCTTTTAGAATTATATTTATGCAGATGGGATCAGCATGCCTTCTAATAGATTGATTCTATAATATTAAATATAAATTATAGTAATTTTTTGTTAAATTCATTCTAATGTTTTTCCCCTTCTTTTTAATCGTGACACTTTGAGATTGCTGTGAGATGGGAAATTTGTTTTTGGGGACAAACAGCTATCCCAAGTCCCAACCCAACTTCTTAGTCTAGTTCAGTTTTCTGATTATTTTTATTCTTTCTCATATTATTTAATTAAAGATGACAGTTAATAACTATATTCTTTAATAGATGAATGATGAATGTGTATGAAAGGAGTACTGATTGGACTTAACCTTTACTGAAGACAATTATTTGGTAGCAACTTGTTGGATGAGCAATGTTTCACTTCTCAAGTGGTTGTGGACATTCATTTTGTTGTCTTTAAGTTTCTCTCTCTTAATCAGACATCTTTTTTGTTACAGGATCATTTCACAAAGTTACATAAGATGACAATAAATATGAAATATATAGGTATATCCATGACTTTTCCACCAATCTTTTTGCTTTATTTATTTTAATTATGCAAGGTCACCTTAATGACTGTTGCCTACCACTAGCAATAGCTGAATGGAAGATATCTCATGAAATGTGTTACCCAGTTGCAGATCTGAATATTTGTGAATTTAACGTTATTGAATCAGATGGGAAGGGAACATTACATAGGATATCTTAGCTGCTTCTGAAAGATCAGACAAAGAAAAGTGTCAGCACCCAATTTTTGTTTGAGTCTAAAACTAATTAATTAAAATAATAATATATTAAGTTCTGGAAAAAAAAAATTGAGCTTAATGACATCATGTGATTTATGTAATGGACTTCACCTAATAGAATAAGATTTGATTGTTGTTATGTAGTTTCATTTTTTTCCCCTTTTGCATAATAAATAAATTTACCTCATGCCTTAATTCATCTTGTTTTTTACTTTCATAGATCCAACATACATGATTCGAGCTATTCCAAGTAATGCCTCGGACAATGTTTACTGCACTCTTCTTGCTCATAGTGCTGTTCATGGTGCTATGGCTGGATATACTGGCTTCACAGTTGGGCCCGTAAACAGTAAACATGCTTATATCCCAATTGCTGTGAGTGCTTCATTTCATTACCTCGTATTCAATTCGAGTCAATTACTTTCATGACTTCACTATGCTACTGAATGTTGTTCAGACAATCCTAGTATTTTTTTTTTCTTCTAAATATTCGCTGAACTCATTTGGCATTTTGTTAGTAATTAGAATATCTTCAAAAGTATAAGTTTTCTTATCTTGATGTTTTCTTTTGTAAGTAATGTTTTGTTACAGACTACAATTCAATTGAAAACCTTTCTAGGCTATAACATCAAGGGTTGTGGAATAAAATAATATAACATGAAATAGCTATTGAATTGTGCCGTTGAATGAATTATACTGCATCCAGTCCAGTCCAGACTCTACATTCGTACCCATCATCCCAAAAAACCAACTATTCCAAATATACGAGCCTTGTGGTTGTACCCCTGTTAGAAATTAGAATAAACCTTGACCTTGAATAGTTATTATTATTATTATTGAAGAAGCTTCGTAACATCCTCCAGGAGAGTAATAAATAGTATTTTAAAGACTTTGATTTTTGACTAAATTCAATAGTGATGTCTGGCCGACCTCACCCAACAGAGTAATAGAATAAAACTTGATTGTTGTATTTTTTTTATGCATTATTAAGGAAAATACCATAAATGAGTCTTTTGAAGAGACCTTTTTTATTGGGTAAAAATTTCTGAACTTATCTTACTAGGACCAACTATTTAGAAAAATTATAAAGATGACCTAATTAAAATACTGAAGAGAAGATTGCAAGGCAGACGGGCACAAAATTATGAAGATTTTTTTATGAAAAATCTGATACTACAACCTTATCAAGAAAACTGAAAGGCTCTTTTTAGCTCCATTACAAACACTGTATGAGGAGCCTTGCAAGATTAAGTTGGCTATGAACTTTTATAACATGCTGCATTCTTTTTTCATTGTAACTGGTAAACTTCAGTGGAAACATTGATAATTATTTTGTACAGCTAGTGGTTTCTGTGACTTGTGTATGACTCTGTAGGACTGAAATTTTGACACTTTCTTCTACTCTAAAAGTTCATGTGATATAATTATTGACAATTTAGGTTACTGGAGATTATGTTATACCTTACGTTTTTCACGTAGTACGATTTTGTTTGATTTTCCCCAGCATTATGTATTATACCAGCTGATCATCGAACATCTTGTTGCAGCGTGTGACAGAGAGACAAAATACGGTCAAACTGACGGATAGGATGTGGGCTAGACTTCTTGCATCGACAAATCAACCAAGTTTCGTTGCCTCTGATCGAGAAACGGTTGACACAGAGATAATGAAGATATAAAATGATATCAATTTTACATCTCAATCTAGGTTTAATGGGTATTGATTGATTGCTGCGAGTTGATTAATCAGAGGATGCATTAACATTTTGCTTGTAGTGGCTAATACTACCTGTTCATTTTTTGTATTTATTTGATTGGGCAGTTGATGTCCTGAAAACCAGACCTCAATAGATTTTTATACGGGTATAATATAAGTCCCGCTACACCTGCACCGAATCGATTGTGTGTGTGTGTTTGTGTGTGTATTAATGGCATGCAGTTCTATTTTATTTTTGCAATGTTCTAATTATAGAATAACACATTATGCTTTCGGTAATTTCTATTTTATGGTGTAACATTGAGGCTCTTATTTTTGCAGCACATCTTAAGAGACTCTGAACGAGCCGAGACTTCAATCTGCCTAAATGGTTTTCAGCAGGAATTTAGATTAGTTTTTGGATGATGCATTAAGATATAGTGGCTAATACTGCCTATTCATTTTCTGTATTTGTTTAACAGGGAAGTTTGACACGTTGAAAATGAGATTTTTTAGCTATACAGCATGAAGAATGAGTCATTATATTAAAATTTGAAGATAGCCTCTTTGTTTGCAGATGTCAGGCGATTGTCCTTTATACACAGGCATAAGTTCAATTACATGGGTATATTGAATCATTTTTGTAAATTGAAAAGATAGTTAAGAATTGTTTAAAAATGCTTGTGATGCTAACATGTGGAAGATCTAGCTCATTTCAAGTAATTAAGTGTGTAAAAATAAAACAGAAAAAGGTGGAAATGCATCTACCGTTAATTTAAATTAAAGTAACTCAAAAGAGTTTAATTGATTTTAAATCAACGATAGTTCCATCAATATTATTATTTACTTTTCATATTCACTTTACAAAAGTCAAATCATGTCACCACATTTTAACATTTGTAAAAATAAAATAAAAAATATTCGGTAATTATCCTTGTGGATCTCAGCGATTTATGTAGATGATTTTGTTAATCAAAGAGATAGACATGAAACTGCAAAAATACATATAATGATAATGATAATGATAAATTCAATGGTGAATGGATTTAGTATGACTTTTTGTGCAGGGAAAGTAGTATATTTTGAAAAAATAAAATAAAATCTTTAGTTAGTATCAACGAGAATAACACGTTAACGCTTCTAGCTACTGACTATTTTACAAGATCTTGAACTTCAATGTCAATGTCTTATGTCAGCCTTGTGTATAAAAAGTGAAGGTCCACAATTACTTGTGTACACTTTTTGTTTTTGTTTTTAAATATTATTAATACCTATTGGAATGATTTTTAACCATTTAAAAGTGATGAGGTTTTATTAAAAATAAATGTTTAACTATATATTTAATATTATAAATATATTTATTAATAAAAGTCTATCACTTTTAAAAGCTTTAAACTAGTTCTAAGCACTGATGTTAATAAAATTGATTGTTTTAATAAAAATAAAAATGAAATTAATAAGAATGGATCATATCCACAATTAAAAAAACTAAATAATGGTAATTGAGGCAACCCTGTGTTGGCTTATATCTATAAATTGTTATACAATTTGGAGAGACACTTGCACGAAACTGACTATATCTGTACCAAACAGGAAATAAAAAAACAAGTTTTGTCAACTTGTGGAGGGCAGGGAAGTGTCCAACGACTTCGCTTCTCTATTCTCCTTTGCTGGTTTCGGCTAAACCACTGCGCAAGTGTATGATTTATACATCTAAAAGGCTGATTCGATGTGATTTGTTTAAAACATCAAAATTGATATCCTTAAATGTTTTGATACAAGTGGAAGATGAGGGCCCAAACCATACCATCAAAACAACAACCTTTTCTAGCCTGCAATGCAATGTATACTATTCAACAACATGCAAGCCAAAAGCAACTTGTTGACTCTTTGTATCACAAGTTGCCAAGTTTATTGTCCTTGTTTGTTTACTTGATTTAGTTGACTACGTTCATTTGTGTCAATTGTACTGATAGCTGCTACTGCTAACTGCCAAGAACCAAGTTGAGAGTCTATTTAATGAGTATGTTACTTCAATGTGGGCCACCGCAAACAAAATATCATGTCATTTGGATAAGATCATGTGCTATTTTCAGAGTGACAACCGTGTAAGGCTCCTTTCCCACCAACTAGAAACGTAACCAGATCATCATTTCTGCTGTATCCCATTCCCATTTCAGAAAGTAGGGTCCTTTCTACAATTTACACGGGCTTTGCCCATATATATCTCAACTTGCTACCCCTTTTTCTGCATCTCAAATTCGACCACCTCCTACTCCTTCCAACAATTCTTAAAGATGACAACAGCTGAAGAAACTTCAAGTTTGAAACTTTTGAGCCAACATCTCTTGGGGGATACTTCAGACCCTTTTCTTACCAGCCTCATTTCTGTGAAGCTTGAAGAAGACCCATCCTCAGAACTTGATTTGGACTCAAACTTTTCAGGCCAAAGCACCTTCTGCAATCTTCTTGAGTGCTTTGGTTTTGAAGCAGATGCAGAAGTTGAGGTTGACGGTCGCAATTCCCATGATGTCCAAAACTCCATTGCAATGAGTCCCTCAGAGGAACCCCAGAAGTCCGATTTGGCTGAGACAACAGTGTCAGGGGAAAAGGAAGCAACATGTTATGAGGGAAGGCGTTATAGAGGAGTGAGAAGAAGGCCGTGGGGCAAGTTTGCTGCAGAGATACGTGACCCAAGAAAGAAAGGGACAAGGGTGTGGCTTGGCACATTTGAGAGTGAGATTGATGCTGCTAAGGCCTATGACTGTGCTGCTTTCAGAATGAGGGGTCAGAAAGCCATATTGAATTTCCCTCTGGAGGCTGGAGAGTCTCATCCTGAGCCCAGTAGTTGTGGTAGGAAAAGAAGAAGAGATCACACAAAAGATGGCTCAAGTTCTAGTTATGTCATGTCATGAACATTAACTGTGAGAGAACCACTTTTTCCCTTTTTATCTGTTAAATAAGTAAAAGCAAGGTTTATACTACAGTTGAGCTTGATAAGGTTTGCTATATTAAATCCTTGGACGCAATATGTGGGTGTTAAATGGGTGGAGGGAAAAAAGAGAGAGAGGTAGGAAGAAAAGAAAAGAAAAAAAGAAAAAATGTGATATATGATGTGATAGAAAAAAGACGAAAGAAATAGAAAAATTAGAAAAGAGGGTAAAAAATAGATGTTTGAGAAAAATGGGTATGAAAATATAATAATTGCTAAATCCTTGAGTTAGAGTTTAAGAAAGCATATTGGGTGAAATTAATTTAAACCAAGAATTAAACAGTTCACAAAGAAACGTAGTAATGCTTAAACTGTATTCTTTTGGCAGTTTTTCTATTTGAAAGAGAAGTCAGTAGCCAATGCAAATGAATATGGGATGGACTGCATGCTCTATTTGTTTCAGATATTTGAAAAAAATAATTTTGAACCGTTAAATACAATTGAAACTATGCATCCCCATATGGAAAAGTGATTATTGTAAATCAAATAGGCTCGCATAGTTGAATGCCATTGCCGTTTGTGAGAGGCAAGAATAATAAAATTTGTATTCTATAATGTAAAGATACTTCAAAATTGACGATGTAATCTGTAACCAAAAAGATCACACTGCCCTCCAATGTTACATACATGATATAGGTCAATGCCAACGAGACTACTCCTACAATGGTCATTAAATTGATTCAAAATTATTTATATACATCAAATTTAACATAATATATACATTTTTCATGTGAAAATAAATATCTATTAATTTTATTTTAGTTGTTCAATTGCACGTTGTTAATTCATACTGCTATTGTTCTGGGTTACCTTAAAAAGAGTCAAACCCCAAAGCTACTCTCTTGGACCGTCAAAGGTCCAATACACAATTGGGTTAGATATTGGTTTTGAACCTCACTTAAAGGTCCAATACACGTAAAGCCAAAGAATCATGAATATCACATGTCTCAAGAATCTTCCACGATTAAGTACTATATAATTAATCTACGCTACACACTTTTTTTATTATTGTTATTGTTGTTGTTATCCCGTTGATTATTTCATAATTTAAATTTAATATTTTTATTTTAAATTTAATTATAATTATAATTGTTGATAATTTTGTTAACAGAAGAAAATGTTATCTTTTTTTTTTTTCATTTTATTTACTAACCTTTCTTTATCAAACAATAACTTTTTAGGATAAGGAGCAACACAATTTTTTTAATACATTCTTTATTAACTAAAATTTATTTAAAAATAATTAAAATATGAAAAAATATTAAATCAAAAATAAAAAAGAGTGACTTATATATTTATACCCATTCATGAAAAAAAAAGGTGGAAAAAAAAAAAACGTGCCATTAGAGGGAAGCATGGTAATGCATGAAAACGAGATCAACACGTGTCACACAACCCCCGGCGGCTGCCACCAAACCCTTCTCCATTTATACCCATTCGCACCTCTTCACTAACTTGTATATTTGTTTCAATTTCTTAACCAAATCAAACCATGGCTGAGATCCAATACAGCACCACAATCATTATTTTTATATTAAAAATAATTAAAATATGAAAAATATTAAATTATAAATAAAAAAGAGTGACTTATATAATTTTTAATAAATTTTAATTACTAAAAAAATGCGTTAAAGAGTGTAGCATTTCTAATAATTTTTTACTCTAAAAGCAAAAAAAAGAAAGAATATTTTGGATTCGGATCAAGTCCCAGTTAAGTAAAAATTGTAGAAAACGAAAATTTTTTTATGCAAAATTAGGTTAAACAAATTTTTTTAACTTAGACGAATTATTTTGGCTTAAGCGAATTTTGGATCTTTTTTCTCAATCTTCTTTTCTCCTTCTCTTTATGCTTAACATTCTCTCCTCAGTCTCCATATTTAACCCTCTTTAATTTTTATATTTAACATTCTTCCTTCTCTCATATCTAACTTCTATGTTGCTCTTCGAACTACTTCTTTTTTGCTTCATGCTCAACTCTCCACCCTCCTCTCTCTTCCCTACTACCTCTCTCCTTATATCCATATATCCTCATTCCTCTCTTCCTCACACACTTGGTTTCCATCTCCTAAGATGTACAAAATTCGTTTAAACCAAAATAATTCGCTTAAGCAAATCTGTAAAATTAGCTTAAGCTAAAAAAATTGGCTTACGCAAATTTTGGATAAAAAAAATTGTTATTTTTTGTATTTTTTCTTAAACGAAAATGAAAATAAACGTTCAGTTCTCGCTTTAACTAAGACTGGATTTGAATCTGGATTTGAACATTTTACACTTTATCATTGTACCTTTTTTCTTTTGGTCGATTATCGTTGTCCTTGTTTCACATGCACTTCAGCAGATCTTACAACTAAATGGAATATAAAGACATCTATATATAGTATATGCCCACTAATATTTTTTTTAAGGTGCATATTTGTCAGAATATTTTAAATCAATCTGTAAAATTGTGGGTGCCTACTAGTCGCACTAAAACAATCAAAATTTCTTACACTTGCAGTGCTGCATATTAAGAAAAAAATTGGAGGTTGAAGTTGAATTGTGGGCACTGCCTATTATCTGCCACAAATTAATAGGTGGTCAAAAGAAAAAGTTATCCATTGTACCAATCAAGGCCAACAGCTTTGCAGGAAGATATCTTAGCAATTAAGAATAAAAATGTTATTTTATTTGGAACTTTTTGCGTATAAAAGGCCAAGTATTGTATGTTGTAGCAAGTGTGTGATTTGATCAATATATTCAGTTAAAAGAACTATCCCTCCGTGATTTATCTTTTGTTGAGTGTGTTAAAATTATAAATGTCCAATTGTTTTACAATTGGTATCAAAGTTGGTTAGATCCAACATTGGTTTTGTGAGTTTGTGAGAGGGTCAGTTTAAAAAAAAATTAAATATTGAGTGTGTGAGGAACAAGAGAGTTCTCACTTTATCAAAAATTTTAGAATCTATTTGAGAGAGAAAGATGGGCACAAACTACAATATTGTTTGGTCAAGTCTCAAATTAGATGGAAAACTAGATTATAATTATTGGGCATTGTTGATGTCTACCCATTTGAAAGCTCACAATATTTGGAGCTTTATTGAACCACACTTGCAACAAGGAGCTAATGATGCTGCTCAAAGGAAGGACCAGCTGACACTATCACAAATTCACCAAGACATAGATTACTCAATTTTTGGCAAAATAGCAAATGCTAAAACAACCAAAGAAGCATGAGACATTTTGAAGCTGTCATACAAAGGAGTAGAGAAAGCTCAAAAATTCAAACTGCAATCCATACGTCAAAAATATGAAAGATATAAGATGTCTAGTTCAGAAACTGTGGAACAATATTTTTCACGAGTAATAGATATTGTCAATAAGATGAGGATATATGAAGAAGACATCCCTAAGAGCAAGGTGGTGGAAAAAAAATTATACCCCATGCCAATAAAGTTCGATCATGTGGTGACTACAATAATTGAGTCCCACAACATAGACATCATGACGGTTGTAGAGTCGCAAGGTAGCATTGAAAGCCATGTGAGCAAAATTTTGGAGAAAACTGAAAAAGTAAATGAAGAAGCCTTGAAGAGTCAGGTGAATTTTACCAACGTAGCAGAATCCGTGAAGGTGGAACTATAAATTTTAGAAGTAGAGGTCGTGGTAACTTCAGAGGAAGAAGTCCTTGTAATCAACAATGAAGAGACAACAATTCCAGGACATCTAATCAAGGGAGAGGTGAACACAATTTCAGATCTACCAACCGTGGAAGAGGAAGAGAAGGCTTTAACTACCAAGAAAGGACAAACTTCAAATGCAACCACTGTGAAAAGTTTGGGCACAAAGCTGCAGATTGTAGATACAAACAACAGGCAAATATGGCAGAAAACTAATATCAATATACTAGTGAGAGTGCTGATAATCCCTAAACTTTACTTCTAGCAGCAAATAATTTTGCAGGCGATAAAAATATCAAGTACTTAGATACTGGTTGCAGCAACCACATGTGTAGAAAAAAGGAGTTATTTTCCTCACTAGATGAAACGGTAAAATCTACCGTGAAATTTAGAAATAATATAAATATTCCTATTTTGGAAAGAGGCAGAATTGCTATTAGATTGAAGGATGGTTCTCAAAATTTCATCTTTGATGTTTTCTATGCCCCTGGTTTTTATCACAATTTGTTGAGCATGGGACAATTATCAGAGAAAGGCTACAACATGTAGATTCGTGATGGCTACTGTACATTGATTGACAAAAATGGAAAATTAATTGGCAAGGTAAAAATGACTCTCAATCGCCTATTCCCTTTAAAGGTTCAACATGACAAAATTCCTTGCTTAAGTTCCATTAGACAAAATGATGATTGGTTAAGGCACGTGCACGTTGGACATTATCATTTTTCTAGATTAAATTACTTATCTAGAAAAGAATATGTATATGGTTTGCCTGTTATAAACATTTCTGAAAGTGTATGTGAGACTTGTGAAATTGGAAAGAAGCATAGAGAATCATTTCCAACAGGAAAATCCTGGAGAGCAAGAAAGCTACTAGAGATTGTGCATTTAGATTTATGTATGGTTGAGATATCAACACATGGCGGTAGCAGGTATTTCATTACTTTTATTGATGACTTTAGCAGAAAAGCTTGGATGTATTTTTTGAAACAGAAATCAGAAGCTTGTGATGCCTTTAAGTTATTTAAGGTATTTGTGGAAAAACAAAGTGGCTGCAAAATTAAAGCATTAAGGATAAATAGAGGTCAAGAATATCTCGCCTGTGCAAATCTCTTTGATCAACACGAAATTCAGCATCAACTGACAACCAGATACACTCCCTACCAAAATGGAGTAGCAGAAAGGAAGAACAAAACAATCATGGACATGGTAAGATGTACGTTGAAGACAAAACAACTGCCTAGAGAATTTTGGGCAGAAGCAGTTCTACTACTGTGTATATTTTGAACATGTGTTTAACAAAGAGTGTTTGTGATAAAACACCAGAAGAAACTTGGAGTGGAAGGAAACCCTCAATCTAGCATCTCAGAGTTTTTGGGTGCAGAGCATATGCCCATGTACCAGATCAACTCAGAAAGAAGCTTGATGACAAAGGAAAGAAGTGCATCTTATCGGTTATAGCACAACCTCAAAGGCATACAAGCTTTACAATCCAGTGACAAAAAAGGTAATTATCAATAGAGATGTGACATTTGATGAAGAAGGAATGTGGGATTGGTCTTCTAAAGCCCAAAAGGAGTCTGTAGGAATTCCAGAAAACTATGAAGAGGAGAATAGTGATGTAGACGCAACACATGATGAGACAAAAACATCAAGCAGACCATAGAGGCAAAGGAGACTACTAGCCAGATTGGAGGATTATGCTATGGGTAATGACAATGACCCATCTGATGAAGAAATTATCAATTTTGCCTTATTTGCAGATTGTGAGCATATAACATTTGAAGAAGCTTTAAATAATCAACATTGGAGAAGAGCAATGGATGAAGAAATTCATGTTATTGAGAAAAATCAAACATGGAAGCTGACAGACTTACCAATAGACAAAAAGCCAATTGGAGTAAAGTGGGTATACAAAACTAAGTACAAACCCAGTGGAGAAATTGACTACTTCAAAGCGAGGTTATTAGCAAAAGGATACAAACAAAAGCTAGGTATTGATTATTTTGAGGTATTTGTCCTGTAGCGAGATTAGATACAATTCATATGCTTATCTCTCTATCAGCTCAAAATAATTAGAAAATTCATTAAATGAATGTTCAGTCTGCTTTTTTGAATGACACTTTGGAAGAAGAAGTATATGTTGAGTAGCCTGCAGGATATGAAGTTGAAGGAAAAGAAGATAAAGTCTACATATTGAAAAAGGCATTGTATGGCTTGAAGCAGGCACGCAGGGCGTGGTATAAGAAGATTGATTCTTACTTTGTGCAGAATGGTTTTCAAAGATGCCCGTTTTAGCATACTTTATATATCAAATTTGTTAAACTTGGTGATATTCTTATTGTGTGCCTTTATGTTGATGATCTAATCTTTATTGGCAATAATCCAAAGATGATTGTAGAATTCAGGGAGGCCATGATTAAATGTTTTGAGATAACAGATTTAGGCCTAATGTCATATTTTCTTGGCATTAAGGTCATTTAGCAGGATGATGGAATTTTCATATCTCAAAAGAAGTATGCAGTTGACATTTTGAAGAAATTCAAGATGAAAAATTCAAAGTCAATTTCAACACCTGTTGAAGAAAAGTTAAAGCTGAAAAAGGATAGTGATGAAAGAAGGATTGATGCAACATACTATAAGAGCTTGATTGGAAGCCTCAGATATTTGACTGCTACCAGACAAGACATAGTATTTGGAGTAGGATTGTTTAGCAGATTCATAGAAGAACCACGTGCATGTCATTTACACGGAGCAAAGAGAATCCTTAGATATATTAAAGGTACTCTGACTGAAGGAATATTTTATGCTAATAATTCTAATGTAAAGCTGGTTGGATACACAGACAATGATTGGGCAGGAAATGTTAAAACAAGAAAAAGCACGTCAGGATATACATTTCATCTAGGAACAAGAGCAGTATCGTGGTCCTCAAAGAAACAACCTATTGTTGCCCTTTCAACAGCCGAAGCAGAATACATGGCAACAGCTAGTTGTGCAACCTAAACAATGTGGTTGAGAAGAATGCTTGAAATGATGCATCAGAAGCAAGATACTCCCACAGTGATATTTTCTGATAACAAGTCAGCAATTGCGTTGTGTAAAAATCCAGCATTTCATAGACGATCCAAGCACATAGACATTCGATTTCACAAAATTTGAGAATTGGTAGTTGAGAAAGAAGTGGTGATTGAGTATTATTCTACTGAAGATCAAATTGCATATATTTTTACAAAGCCGTTGAAGGTTGAGTTATTTTACAAAATAAAGAAAATGCTTGGAATGATATTAGCTTGATTTAAGGGAGGCAATGTCAAAATATTTTAAATCAAGTCGTAAAACTATGGGTGCCTACTAGCCGCCGCACTGAAACAATCAAAATTTCTTAGACCTGCAATGCTGCACATTAAGAAAAAAATTGGAGGTTGAAATTGAATTGTGGGCACCGCCTATTATCTGCCACAAATTAATCGGTGGTCAAAAGAAAAGGCTATTCATTGTACTAATCAAGGCCAACAACTTTGCAGGAAGATATCTTAGCAATTAAGAATAAAAATGTTATTTTATTTGGAACTTTTTGCGTATAAAAGGCCAAGTATTGTATGTTGTAGTAAGTGTGAGTTGATGAATATATTCAGTTAAAAAAACTCTTCCTCCATGATTTATCTTCTGTTGAGTGTGTTAAAATTATAAATGTCCAATTATTTTACAAGATAGATATTATTGTTGCACCAATGCTCCAAACCCCATATTTGTTTATTTCAAACATACCATGTGCACAAATTACAAGCTAAGTTAGGAGTACACTTAATTGATTTCAATCAAACTAACACGCATTCAATTCTTTTTATCACAATCAGTTTATTTTTAAAAAAATCATCTTTTTAAAAGCATAATTATTTCTCCAAATTGAATAGATATCCAAACATTTAATCAGTAGGAATGTCATAATCTCAGTTACTGACTCTTTTAAGATGAACTACTTACTTGCATGTCTGTTTAGAGAATTAATGCATTAATTGGTCTTATTACAACTGCAGCAGAAGCTGGAGAAAGGAGACAAATTAAAACTTAATAAGAGAAACCAAAAGCACAAAGAACACACAAATCAAGTCATCACAAGACTTCATTTACCACTGAACTAAGCCATGGACTTCAACTGAGCAACAAGATCTGCGATGAATTTGTTCTGAATTTCCTTATTCAACAAAAACTCCCTCCATTTCACGTGGTTTTCTCTTATGAGCATCCCTGTCTCTTTGTTATCCTCCACCATTAGAGTTTTCACTGCCTTCAAATCCTTGGCTATGAGTTTAGAATTGAAAAACTGGTCACCCTTGAAAGGCAACAGCACAAGCTGACAATCATTGACCATAGCTTCAATCAAAGAACTAAATCCAGCATGACACACATAGCACCCTACACTAGAGTGTTTCAGGATACGTTGCTGTTGCAACCACCCAGTGTGCACCACTCCCCTATCCTTCACTCTTTCCAAGAACCCTTTTGGTAATGCTCTCTCCAACTCAGCTTGTGGAGAGAGATTGGATGGAAAATTCAGAACCAAAATGAAAGGTGAGCCAGTGAGTTCCAACCCTATGGCTAGTTCCTTGATTTGATCATCATTTAGAAAAGTCTCACTACCAAAGGAGCATAATATAACAGATTTGGCAGGGAAAATATCTAACCATTTGGACCACTTTTCCTCTAGCACATCCATTGATGCATCTGGGACTAGTGGACCAGAAAAAAGAACTGGTTTACCAAATTGCTTTTCTAATCTAAGTAAGGTCCTTCTATTTCCTTGCATGTTTTAAACACAATAATTGAGCAGTCACTGAGGCTTTGCAAAATTCTCTCATAACCAGTGAGGTTTTCACCAAACCTTCTTAAGAGGAACATTAAGTCAGTGGCCTCAAAGGCCTTGAGGGAAATGTTGGAGCTTTGAGGGTGCCCATGTGGGGGTTTCTTAAGATCCTCAAAAGTGATGTTCCCTCCTTCTATATCAGCGAGTCTTGAAGGCACAACAATGTAAGAACCAGAAATGGCAGAAAACACTGAGAAGTGAACAGATTTGGTGCCTACTTGGGAAGCCAATTTTGGGAGCCAGTTTTGCGCAAAGTCAAAGAAAATATAATGGGGTTTGAGTTCTAATAGAAGGGACTTCACCTGAGGTTGAGTAATGTCAAGTGCATGTATGAGATTTGCAGCCAAATGAGGTGACAATTCAGCAGTGCTGCTTATACCATTTGGGAACTGAAGTGGGATAATGTTGATGGCTGGATTGAGATTAAGAGTTGATATGATTCTGGGAATGTTGGATGCAGCTGATAAGAAAGTGATGTAAACCCCTTGTGAGAACAATTTGTTGGATAACTGAACAAATGGACTAATGTGACCAAATCCCAGGAATGGAAACATAACCACATGAAGCTCATTTTTGTGCAACACTTCACTAGACATCTTATCGACTTCCTAGGACTGTTCTTGATGCTGAGACGATGGTTAAAGGTGTTGTCTTTTATAAACATCCAGAGTGTAAAATTTTAGTGCATTACAATTTTTAAGGTAATCTTTTCGCTTGTTTTACTATACATTATTTAAGTAAATATATGTTTTAACATATTAATAACTTAAAATTAAGTGCACTATAATAACTCAAACTTTCAATCAAAGTAACACGTAAATTACACATTAATGTTGTACCTTTCTGCACCCAAGTTTTGTTCCACCTAAAATTCGGCACTTGTCATTCCTCTCGCTGCCTGTTGAAATATATGGTTTGTAATGCATGCAGAAATTTATTGTAAAGTGCGTACATTTTGTAGCTCTTTCTGTAAGTAGTATTCTAAAATTTAGTTTGTGATATACTGAAAAAGCGCTTGCTATTAATTTTAAACTCATTCATACAATTGAGTTTAAATGGTATATGAATCTACTTTAATCATTTTTTATTTATTTTGTCGTGAGTCAATTCGGTTTTAAATTTAGGAGTAACGTGAAAAAAAGTATAGTACTGATTAAAAATAAAATTATTAAAGTATATTTATTAACATATTCTTATAGGGTTTTTTATCATTATAAAAAATATATAACTTATTACTATTATTATAAAAATATATATAAATTATTCATTTTTTATTTATCTAATAATACGTATTTTTTCTTATTATTTTTCTCTTTATTTATTTTTTCCTTGTTTCTCAAACTTCAAATATTCAATGCAGCCTTTCTGGTTCCCCAAAGAGACACGAGCTGGCCATCTTGCGAAAAAGCATTAATGAGAAAGAAAAAAAAAACTATAATTAATTCAACCACGATGATAATGTTAATGGTTGAATTGGCGATTAGATTGATCAAGCCTTTGTTTGTAATACAAACTTATTTTTATTAAATGATTTTTTTAATTACAGAAAAAATAAAAATGACAACAATGATCAAAGTCAATGCTCAGAAATTTGATTTTTAATCATTGATTGAGTATCAATTTTGGACTAGTTATCATGGTTATAAAATTAGTAGGTATTTTTTATTTAAAAAATCAAAGACTTAATTAGTTCACCAAATTTTTAGCTAAATCAATTATGTCTTTTAATTTGCATATTAAACATTGTTATTTTTGTTATTCTTTATTCTCTACAAAAATTCTTTAAAAATTAAATCATTTCTACGTGATAATAATAAAAATAATCATAAAGTGTGACCGTAGAATCTTACACAAAAGTTTATCAATATTTTCATAATTTAAAGAGATAAAAAAATTAAAATTATAAAATTTTTAACAATTTATTTAATATTTTTTATTTAAATAAAAATATTTTTTAATAAATTCGTTTAAATAAAATTTTACTACAATTATAACAAAAAATTCACTAAGTAAATTGTAATTATCTAACTTGATCGTAATATTAAAATTTTATATATTTAAAATTTGGTCAACAAATGGTAACACTTTTATTGCGCACGCAATAGTATACTTGTAATTATGCTATTGAAATGTGTAAAAGACAAACATTATTAAATTTTTAAAAGTAAATTGAAATAACTAAAATAATTTTATCAGAAATTAAAATTATATATAATTTACTTTTTGTCAGGGAAATTGAAATGACTAGGATATTAAATAATTTTAATAAAGACTAAACTGATATGTGATTCTTGCTTTAAAAAAATTAATTAAAATATCTAACGTTTGTAATATTAAAAAATTATTAATCATTTAGTCAAAAGTAAAAATAGTGTTGATGTAAGACAACCACGTAAACATTCACATGATGATGACAGAGCTGTTCACACGTCATCTTATTTTGCCCAAATTTTCCATTTTTTTTCCAACCAGTCTTTTTACTTTTAAAATATCAAATATTATTGTTATTATATGACACTTTATAAATCAATAATAATATTATCAATATATTTGAATTAAATTTATAATTTAATTCTCAAATGTCCTTTACAAATATTCGTCATAGAAATATTCAATAAAAAAATTGATAAAATTCATATTTTTAAAACAAAATTAAAGATTAAAAATTATATTCAATTAAATAGAAAAAAAAATTCAAGGATTGTTTTTTCCAAATGAGATTCAGTGGATGTGATCTCAGTGAACTTCACTGTGTTGTGCTTCGCTCCACTATAAAACCTATTTATTCCCTTATTTCTTTTTCAAATAAAAAAGCAAAATGAACGACACAAGTGTAGCCGAACAATGGAGCGACGTGCCGTTTACGATGAACGACGCTGACGACATGATCATCTACAACTCCCTCCGCGACGCCGTTTCACACGGTTGGTCTCCGTCCGATTTCACAACACCAAAACCGGTATCAAACGACGCCGCCGCGAGACCACCACGCCAAAGCAGTTTCCTCGCTCACGAGAACGACGATTCCAACGCCGTCGTTTTGCCCCCGAAGAAAAAGAAGAGCTCGGGAACATGCTACAGAGGAGTGAGGCAAAGACCATGGGGAAAGTTCGCAGCTGAGATTCGCGACCCGACTCGTAACGGCGCCAGGGCGTGGCTTGGCACTTACAAAACAGCTGAGGAAGCGGCTTTGGCTTATGATCGAGCCGCGTTTAGGCTACGCGGCTCGAAGGCTTTGCTGAACTTCCCGCACCGAGTTGGCTCCAATGAACCGGCTCCGGTGAGACTAACGGCTAAGGCTGTGAGTGGCAGCTCGCGTAAGAAGCGGAGCCAGAGTTGAAGGAGAGCCTCTACCAGCTGTTGCATTAATGCATGGTTGTTTAGCCAAGTGGCAAGTAACTATTGGTTAGTTGGTTTGTAGAAAATGTTGGTTGAAAGATGAATAAATAAAAACAAGGGCACTGCATTTTGGTCTCTATTGTTTCTAATGTTCAATAAAATAGTGTTTAAATTAAGAAAATATCGTTTTAATCGTAAATTATCAATTATTTCTTAAATTTCCAAATATCTTTATTTATTTTAATAGAATGGAATGAAAGGCAAGACAATGAACCCAACGAAAAATAGTGGAGATTGCAAGTCGTTCACTTTAAGTTGTTGGAAATTATTGAAAGTTCATTTATAATAAATGGCCATAGATACTCGTCATTTGATTATAATTAAAAAAATTAAACCTGTTTACACAAGTGAAATCTTTAAAATTTGGTTTAAAGTAAAGGATTTGAATAGTTTACACGACATAGAAAATATTGTGAATAGATTTAATTTTTGAACATGAGAACTGTGATATTTTTTAAAGTTTTGTTCTCCTCTCTCATTTCTTCGAAATGGTATCTAATCAAGCTTGACCTGGAATAGTATGAAAATTGAACCAATGGAAGAATGGTAGCTCGAAACCATTCTATATAATCAAGCTTGACCTGGAATACTAACATTTCATCTTACGGAGTCAACGGAAGAGTTTGTGGAATAAATGGGCTCTCGATATTCTTCCAAAAGATTTTCCAGCCCACCACCTTCTTCTTTACTTTTTGATCAATTCGAAAATACAATTAGTAATGTGTTTATAGATATATCAAATGTCTGCTGAAATTGGTTGAATAATCGTACTTTCTACATTTTTTGAAACTTAATATATTATTATATTGCGATCAAATTTGTTGGAAAATTACTCTCATACTGTTTGATGAGAGAAATTTTATTTATATTTATATTTTTTATAAAAACTTATCTACAGTTTCACACGAATTGAGTCAAATCAATTCAAACGTTCTCTAGTTTTCATGCAGCTGGGAATTAAAAAAAAATAATATTTTTCTGTTATACATTAAGCATATCTTCTAATTAATAGATAAAATATATTTTTTATATCGATATAATAAGCACTAATGTGAGAAGTAAGTGAAAGAGAAGTTCTCTATTTGATAACCAGAGTTTTCATACAATGTGCCCTGTAAATTACCTCACAAAAAACATTTTATATAATTGAACATTTAGTAAATAGTGTAACTCGTCGAGAGTTATTCTCATAAAATAATTCAATAACCAATATTCATTATAATACTTAAATATATCATATTCCTAATATTTAGGGGAGTTGGAAAAGAAAAATATACTAGGAAAAATAAGAGTATGGGTAAAGACTTAGGATTAAAGAATTTAGAAAAAGTGAACATTTATTAGCTTGAAAGAGGGATATTGGATGAAGAGGGAAAAGGTTTTTGGTTGAACTCTTGAAGATGAAGTTTAAATGCAAAGTATGGGACATTCGAAATAGAGGATGGAGGTGATGGCTAGAGGTATGGAAGGTAGCTTGATGAATTGTTGTGATGGCAAAAGGAGTTGGAGCAAGAGTTACCATTTTTATTAATATTAACAACGTTTTATCGTCATGATCACAAACCTGCATGATTCAATGGATTTGGAAATGTTGCAAATCCAATTGTTTCATTCTCGATCAAACGTTAATATTTTCGAAAATTACACATACATTGTCACAATTTTTGAGAAGCGAAACATGAGATAAAAAGGTGTGAAAGGAAAACATGTAATGAAATGTAACAAAACTAGGAAGCAGAAAAAAAGGTGGAAAAAGAAAAACGTGTCATGAGAGGGAAGCATGGTGAAGCATGCAACCCATGCATGAAAACGAGATGAACACGTGCCACACAACCCCCTCAATGGCTGCCACCAAACCCTTCTCCATTTATACCCATTCCCACCTCTTCACTAACTCGTATATTTATTTCACTTTCTCAACCAAACCAAACCAAGCCAAACCAAACCATGGCTGAGACTGAGATCCAATACCAACGCCACAATTATCCGCAACACCAAACTCGCTGCACCACAATCAAGGCCGCCACCGCCGTCACCGCCGGCGGCTCCCTCTTGATACTCGCCGGATTAATCCTCGCCGGCACAATCATTTCCCTCACCATTGTCACGCCACTGTTCGTTATTTTCAGTCCGGTTCTCGTCCCCGCTGTTATAAGCGTCTCGCTCCTGAGCCTTGGGTTCTTGGCCTCTGGCGGATTCGGTGTGGCAGCGATCACCGTGTTAGCGTGGATCTACAGGTACGTCACTGGCAAGCATCCACCTGGCGCTGATCAATTGGACACCGTGCGTCAAAAGCTCCTCAACAAGGCGCGCGAGATCAAGGAATACGGTCACCAGCAAATCACTGGAGCACAGGCTTCTTAATCCTGCACTCGCATGCACTTGATCCATCTCAAAACCTAGTTTACAACTTTTTTTTTTTATTGCATTTTCGTTTTTTGTGTCTCCTTAGCACTTATCATTGCCTGTTGTAAGTGCATGCTGCGACTATTGATCAACCATCTCTTTATTTATAATTAATTATTTCGCTCTTTATTTTAATTCATTTCCATTTTTATTATTTCTGCATTCAGATGGTCGAAAAGCTTAAAATAGTGTAATTTTATATATTATCGTCAAATCATACTTTATCATATAACTAAAGTATTTGATGTTCATAAGAATTACTAGAAAAATATTTTTTTAATTATTTTAAATTAAGATTATGGCAATATAAAAAGCATTACACTCGATGATTCTCGTAATAACTGTTTGATGCTCTATTGTAATTTTATTTTATTTTTTGGTGCACGACAAAATTTTAGGATGAGATGTTCTAATTCGGGGTAGGGAGAGTTTTTAGGTTTAAATGTTCGTTAGTACTTACAAGCGTTTGACTTATAAGATATGTTACATAATTCAATTACATACTATTTAACATTTTTTTCATATATCATAAATTTAACCATAAAATTTGTCAACATAAATTAAAAAAACTCATTTTGCAAATTATACCAAAAGGTTTATGAAAATAATCTAAAATTATAAAAATCATAAAATATTTTCTTAAACTATGCACCTCTTTCAAATACCCTCTTAACACAATAGTTGTGAATTCCATGTTATATGTAAGGTAAAATGTTCGTTAAAAAGTTATATTTAAATTTTACACTGGTGGTGACACTAACAAAATGAAAATATATTAGAAGGAAGAGAGTAAGACAAGCATATAATCAGATTTGGATTGTCTACCGTTTTTCTAAACCTACACAATTTCAATAACCAAAATGCTAAACTATTCAGCCAAAAGTATTACTGTAAACATTAAATATGAACCCGGCAATCCAGTTCAGAGATAATTTTGATGTCAACAAAAAGTATAGATAGCAGAATTTCAACCACTTAACAGAAATAAATCAGTACTCAGGTAGCTTAAGAATTTCTTCAGCTCCATGCTGCTGAAAAAGAGACTAAGGGTAACTTTTATCCCTTGACAAATTTATGGTACGACTGAAGTAAATAAATGTATATAACAAAGACACATTGAAAATAAGAAACTTCCACAAAGCAATGGCAGCAAAATGCACCTTGTCACGAAGTCTTTTTCTGTGCCATCTGTTGTTTATTTTATTTTTAAGGGATTAAAAAAAAAACTGAATTTTCTTTAGTTTTTGGGACCTGAATTCTGCTTCTGGTATTCTTGAAGAATAATGCCACATTTATTGATGGTCTTAGCATCTAGAAGACCTTGATTCCATAGTTTGATCATAAATAATCTCCAATTCCTGCAAAAATTATTAAGTTCACAATTATTTGCAGATCTTTATATTTCCAAGAAAAGAAAGCATAATTCAAAACATTTTAATTAAGTAAAGCCACAAAAAGTGCTAAAATAGCATAATATATTGCACTAAGACAATTAAACTATCTTGATAAAAGTTGCTTTTGAAGACTGCACCGGTTATCATGATCATGTTTGTTCAATTAAGCTAAAGATCAATAAAAAGGGCAACCTAGTGCACAAGGCCCCCACCTAGAGGGGTTTGAGAAAGATTGATGTTCAAAACCTTATCCCGACAAGCAGAGGAGTTATTTTCAAGATTTGAACCTGTGACCTCTAGGTCATCAGGCAGCAACCTTATTGTTGCGCCAAGGCTTACCCTCAATTAAGGTAAAAATCAACAGAGATAAATAAATAGGAAAGGCCAACGATGAAAAGAAGCAAATTTAGTTATTTTAAAATGTGAACACTTGAACACAAGAGATGCTAGTTACCAAGTTAACATGGAGGATTGGGCAAGCTCTTTGCAATGAAATCTTGTGAAAGCTTCATATGCCCAATGAATGTGACCATCTGCCAGCACACTGCCACAAGAAAGAAAATAATTGAAACCGGAAAATAGAAACCCAACTGGACAAGCATGTAAACTTTCTAAAGATCAAAGGAGCTTTCCGCATAAAATATGTACGTCAATAAACCTTAAGAAAAAGAATGCAACATGAAGTGAGTGAATTGAGCCAAAATGAAAAGAACTCACCGATGTTTCCGAGCAAATATGTTCCACATATACATGAATTGCTTTGCATCATCACTCACTTCAATAGTATTAAGCAACTGCAAGGTATCAGGGGGTGCATCAATGCTTCCTCAAAACATAACAAAAGTGTGAATAATAGTAATAATAATAAAAGGTGCAATAGACTTTGGAATCTCCACCCCAACCTCAATCTAAACCTATGTTTAAGTTCCATAAAATAAATCAGGTAGACATTAATTTTCCAGTTGGAAACTTGGAATCACAAATAATAAGCTCTCAAAATAAGGTCTACATGATGTAAAATTCAAATAACTTCTGTTAAGAAAAATAACATATTATAAGTAAAAAGGAGATTCTTATTGGTATAGTTGTTTGTGCATTGCACCACGTACAAGGTGAGACTCAATGAATTCATTTGATGATCTGTTTTAAAAATGCTACAAGGCACATGCACAATTCTTGGCACGCATGTTGCATGTACTGACTTGAGAAGCCAAGTCAAGTGTGCAATTCTACTGTTAGTGACAGTAATGTGTTCCGATTTGAAGTTTGAGTGCTTTGGGTATGGAGCTGACATTAAGCCTGGGTTGAGGTGGTTGTGATTTGTGATATTTGCTGCAATGGGCTGTTCAAAAGAAACCACCTGCCTTCTCTCAACTCTTCGTTTGAAAAAGTTAATTGCAAGTTTTCATTTGGTATATTCTTAAGCCTGTTTAGTTTTAAGACTTTATGGAAATGATTTCTACTTGAGCTGCTGTTGTACTTTGGTTATATTGGGTATTAACCACAGGTGAACTATCATGATGGTAGGAAGTTGTGGTAATTTCAAAAGTAATTTGAAGCTAAGGCTAGTTTCGTTGTTATCCCACATGGTTCATGCAAGAAGGCAACCCATTGAGTCATCATGGAGGAATTTTGAGTGGCATGGGGAGTTGCTACTTCAGATTGTAAGCACAGCCCAAAGAGCTGTTGATCAGATGACAACTGTAGTCCTAGTCGGGGAATTTATGGTGCAACCACGGGAAATGTGAGCTAAATCAGGATGAGATCAAGGGATCTGCATCTGGTCGCAGGAATTGACAGTGCCACTTCAGATAATGCCTTTGTCTAGCTGTTGACAGTGAGTTGGTTTGAAGAATTGCAAACTGTTGGTCTTTATGAAGAAAGGTCAAAGTTCTTCAAGAGCTATTTATAAAGGATTTCTGGAATGGCAGTGTTATTTAGGGGAAAGTGCCACTTGCCTATGTTCTCTGGCTAATGGGTTGAGTTTTTATATAGTTTTATTTGAATTTAATTTGAGTTTTCATATTTCTGACTAGAAAACTTAATAAGCTTCCATCATGAAGGGAAGTGTTAAGGAATACAATATAATATTGAATAATTAGGAAAATCTTATGTAATTAGTTACCTGTGCACTTAAGTAAAGGGTTTCTTTGTAACCTTTGTATTAGTATAAATAAATAAAGGTAAGGTCAGCTTTTGTATTTCAACAATTTATAATAAAATTTGGTAAAAAAGACCCTTTATGGCTGAGGCTCACAGACGGGGATACTTCTTTAGAAAAGGTATATATATATTTATCACTTTTAAGCTCCTGCCAGTCACTGATTATTACAAAGCTTAACCAGAATTTTGTTCAACGAACAAAAGTTATTATTAAAGAAAACAAAATTGTAGAAAATTAAAACAAAAGATCACTTATACATACCCTTCGATCTAAAATCTCTGTACCTATGTCATCATACATTTCATCTTCACTGTCATGATCTGATAGTACTTCTTCCAGGGCCATAGGCTTTAACCAAAACAAAGAGAGAGAGAAATGAGTAAAAATCCCATCAGACATGTGATAGAAAAGGTAAGTATCCAACAAAAACAACAACCAAGTCTTTTCTGTATGCTGTTCAGGCCACTACAGTTCATCACAACCATAAGTTAATATCTGCAACTATCAGTATAAATGATACCAACAGAGTCCACAACTTGACTGCCAAATGCATTATTGCAATGTTGTACCAAGATCATCAAAAAAATACAATTATCAAAGAAAAACCATGTACCTGATTTGTGATAGTTTTCTATATTTCATACATACAACGCCCAATGAAATTTAAGCATCTCCATTGTCTAGAAACGATAATTTAATATTTTAACTGATAAAAACAGGTGTCAAATAAAAAATAAAATAAAATAATTAAACACTGATATTTGATTTTAAGACTGAAATTACATCTGACCAACCAACATAATTTCCACACATTTTGTATGAGAAGCAGTGTTTAGGCCTCTCAATGGCACTAAGTTCATGATTTCTACAACACAATTCCAACTGACATGCAAAGAAAATAGAAGTACAAAAAAATAAAATAATAAACGGCCATCACTCATCACCTGGTATGTGCGAGAGTGATGAAACTTTCGCTTCTCCAATTTGGCAATGCTGAAATGTTTTGAAAAGAACTATGTCAAGGTTGTGTCCATTAAGTTATTTGTACGTTTATAGCAAGAACTATAATCACAAGTAGAAAATGATAAGTGAATATTTATTTAAACATAGCCTGTACAATGAACCACTCATATAGGTATCACATGAAGAAATATTTGTAATGACATCAAGAACATTTGACCAATAAATATAGCAAGCAATCGTGAATTCTGTAATAAAGCAGAAAATCAAGTTCACGCACAGTTAACAGACCTCGCTAGTTAACATACACTTACGAGCAGAAGTTAACAAAACTCAAGCAAACAAATCAAAGCCTGAAAACCACATACAATAATAAAGACCCCAGATCAGATGTACCATTTGACAAGCTTCTATGATCAATCAGTTTTATACGTTCAATAGATTACAACGGTACCCAAATTGATCAAGATAACTTTATTTAACAATTAAGGCATCATCGATCTATCAGGTGAACAGTTTTATTATGCTAATATGACAGGAAATTATTACATCAAAAAATATTAAAATTTGGAATTTGTTTGGGAACATATTTCAGCAACGTTTTCGCAGTGTAATTACAATGAGGGACAAAATGATTCCCTGATGTGTACTCTTAATTATGCATTTTCCCAGATACAACACACGTGATAATTCCTAACTATTTTCACTTTTATGTCTTCTTAAGCTTCCATCAACTATAAACTACGATTATATTAGAAACCTGAAGGATGTAAGAACACTTTTTGTTTTCCAAGGATAGAGAAAAGATTCAGGACATACATTTGTGGGTCATATTGCACAAGTGGTAACTTCCCTTTCTTGTCAACCTGTTGCTCTGCAGGGGTCCCATGATCATGCTCAGATATTGGTGAGACATCATCCTGATTAGGATGTAAAATAATTGCATTTGAAACACCTTCCTTGTCAACATCCATTGCAGAAGTCCCTTGATCATGCTCAGATATGGGTGCAACACAATCCAAACCAGGATGTAAAATAATTGCAGTTGAACCTGCAATGTTATAGCAGTATGTGACACACTAATGCACTGCAGCATTACATGACTCTTTCAAAATCATGCTCAACAAATATATTAACAATTAGAACATATGAGAAGAAGGAAGTAACCATAGTTATCAACTACATGATCCACAATTCAATACAATTTGGCAAGCCAAAAATTCATACCATGCAATGAATTGCAAATGATTTTGAATCATGTGATACATGGGTGAATCAGTACAATTATACATCACCAATGAATCACATGATTCAGCAATTCGTTATTTCTTTAGTGCTTTGCTTTCACCAATTATCTTCAAAGAAATCAAAAGTTCGATAAGATTAAATTGTTAAATGAAAAGGAGCTCACGGAGCTCTACTGAAGACAACCTACCCTTATTTGATTCATCCACTGCTCTGCTTCCATTTTATGAATCATGAATTTTACAGTCACTCACTCAATCTATGCACTATATTTGGCCGTTCCATACTCTCCTGGCCTTCATTGCTCTAAAATATGGACTCCATACACCTAGTTATGACATGGTTTTCTTTTGTTAGACTTATGGTAAAGACGTTTTGTCAATTTGTAATTTAAAATTATTACATTGGTCCTATATACATCTTTCATACAATACATTTTAAGCTAACTTTTTATTGTGTCCCTGAATCTTATAATTTTGATATGATCCACAATCCATAATGAAAAAATTAACTCAGAGAATCACGATTTCAACCACTTTGATAACCTTGAAATTAGCAAACCTTTTTTGGGGGAAAAATGTTTCAGCTCTCTTGAACAGGATGAAATAATTATCCATGTGGATAATGGACAAGGACGTGGCATCAGAGCCACTGGTTAAGCCTGCTCGATTTCAGAGTTGTTTGGATACCATTAGCAGTACCTTCTCACTTGAAACAAGCTTGCAACCTCTGTTCATTCTATAATGCACACCTAGCTCTAAGTGGCTGTGCACAACCTCCTAACAGACTGTAAGATCTCCAATCCATGCGATTAGACTGTAGAGACTGGTCAGAATCCGTCAACTATTTTGGTCATGATCACTGGCATTGGTGATTGGCTACAAATTTTCTAAAACACACTGCTGCATCAGATTTCATGGAAATTATATTGCCCAATGACCAGGTTGACATCACACTCCTCTGGACCAGATCAGATCTCTAATCACATCTATGCAATGAGGAGATTGACCTCCTCTATGGTGCAATTTTATTTTGCTTTGTTAATGAAAAGGAAGCACTATTTGACTAAGGCAGGCCTAGGTTTTGAAGGTGAATTGAACTCTTACGATATGAAGTTGGAAACAATAGTTCAATGAAACCCTAAAAACTAGCAGTTTCTTCTTCATATTGTGTGATCCTTAAACTCCCCAAAGTTATTTTTCTACCTTAATCAAAGAAGGCCCAAATTTTTCACACGTTATATCCTTAGCCTTTCACTGTAGTGCAGAGAAGTAATTTGCAGATAGCTGCACATGTCCCTAAAACAAAATTTCAAAGAATTTTTCTTTGGCAAAACTGAGTTGGCATTGTTATTAATTCTTAGATGGATTAGAGGTCCCCACCACTTTGACATATCCATCTATCACCCTTGAATTCATGTCAAATTCTAACTGGAGTTCTGTCAAATTTTGCTGGCTGTGTAGACATAAATTGTATCCCCAACTAAATTAGTTTAGATATTACAAAAGTAAGTTACACACCCTCAGCTTGCTCCAAAAGCTCAGTATCTCCTGCAGGAACTTCAGGATCGGTGAGCAGTTGGTCTGTCTTATTTCTACTAATTGATCTAAGAGATGTTTTCTTTGGTTCTCTGCGCTTGAATGGCTTGGCACTGCATATAGATATTAATTATATTATTAGTTGACCATTGTACTTCAGATTCAGAGCATCAATCTATAGGAGGGGCTGAGAGAGTTCAGAGCAGTGTGAGAGTAAAATAGCTTACCAGAAGAAAAAAGTTTGTACTCTTGGATCAACACCATCTGCAACAATCTGGAGGGAAATTAATTAATAAGTTTCAGGAACAGTCATAAGATTCCAGATACATTTGTGCTAAGACTTTAAACAGTTTTGTCATGCTTCTTCCAGGTTTCTAGGCAAATGTTCTCTACAAGACTAATAACATGGAAAAGAACAAATCATCCTACGACATTAAGCTATTGTGTACCAAAGCAACAATGTTGTAGGACAGGACTTCATCTCATACAGAGAGCAACAGATATTTCAAGTTCCACAGAAAAGAGACCTAAAATATTAAGCTGGAAGCAATGACTCAAATATTAAGAATGGCTTTTATAATGCACACTCCCAGACATGAGGGTACACTATACATGGACAGAGCATCCTTACATCCAACTATCCTTTACTAAAATTACATTTTACTTGAGCTGAAAATCAAAATGGAGAGTTTACTTTTCAGAAAATAGAAATGTTATTAGAAAGAAAATGAAGGAGTAATATTAAAAGAGGACAATAAGAAATAATAAAAGGTGCAACAAATAAAATGATTTTGGAGGCAAACATGTTGAAACAATAAAGCTCTCTGATAATTTCCCATATCTACCAGGGAAAGCCTATTCAAAAAATCATATGCCAAGCACCCAAGGGCTAAAAATATTATTTTTCCCAAAGTTGGGGGATTCGAGTAATTCCTAATAATGAAAGCACTTTGCCCTCTTCAATACTATCAAAGTCAAGCAGAAAGGAGAACTTTTCATAATTTTTGGGGATTCTATATCTAATTAGAACACTGTCCTGTGCAAAAGCACAGGAAAAAGCCTTACCCATTCAAATAAACTCTTCCAGCTTGTGAGGAAAAGAAAATTACAAAAAATCATTCAGCAGGAAGAAAAAGCCAGAACAACTTTATATCTGGCAATATTTTGGACAGGTTTATTATATGAGTCTTGCTAACCAGTGCCCTAAAGACACTGGCTAAGGAATCAATAAGAATACTTCTATTGGAAATCATGGTGGGAATTCATTAAAAACCCTTCTTAATAAAATGTGTTATTGGGCAATACCCAATGACTTGGTCATGTGATGTTTGTGTTAACCCCCATCATATAAGTTGTTTTTATCTCATTAAACATTTGTAAAAAATGTCAAGTAAAACCTTCCATGATATGGACCAAAAAAATGTTTTATTCTTTCCCTATTTGTACTTTCTCCCTTCTCTTTCTCAACAAATTTTCTTTCATAGAATGTATGGACATGAGTGAATGGATGAAGAAATAAAACAAGGCACAAAATAAAGAATCTAATATTGTAAGGTCAAAAACATGAGAGGTCCCAAATGAAAGAGTAAGAATAATATTTCCAAGAATAAGATCGCAAAAGATAAATAATTATAACCCATTTGATATTTAGAAGTAATAATAGATTCACCAAAATTTAAAGCGAAAAAAATTGAGGGCAAACTGTTCTGACCTCTGGTCTCCAGCTATCACTTTTGACAGACACATGTACATCAGGACAATCCTCTGATGCCTGCAATATTATTTATATTTGAAACCATGGCTTACTATGGCTTACTTGTTTGAAAGTTAGCAAGAGTTAAGAAGATTACTGACCGAAAATTCAAAGTTAAAAAGATCATGAGATGATAGCAGGTGACACCTCACTCCCTAAAACAGGTAGAAGCATTAAAAACAAGTTTCTATTATCACATTGGTAAAGGTACAGCTTTAAATCAGTAATCAAAATTAGTCTTAACCTTATAACTTGCACACTTCACTAAACAGAATGGACAGCAGAAATCTTCAGTAACTGCAATCAAAGTTTTCAGTTACTATATAAACTGATTGCCCGTAAACAATGATGATGATAATAATAATAATAATAATAATAATAATAATAACAGCAGCAGCAGCAACAGGGTAATCTCAGCTGGCAAAAATTAATCTTCAGCCTAATAATCAGTAATCAATTGTTCTAACCAAATCAACATAAATATAATATATTCTACATTAATGCTAATACTCTAATGTAAATGTTCCAACCTTAAAGCTAAAGCAATAAGCTCTCAGCTTATTAAAAATAAACCCCCTCCAAACCTAACCAAACAGAGTCACCAAGAACTCAGCAAGGTAGGAAAAAGACCAAGACAAACAGCAGCACAATGTAGGTAACACATGACCAACCAGCTGCAGCAGATACATGGTATAAGATGCAGCAGATACACGGCCAAGCAGCCACTTGGAGTGGTGGAACCAAACACACAGGGTGATTTAGACAGGGAAAGGGACACCAAGCATCTCTGTTTAAGTCTTCTAGAAAAGGTGGAACTGGAAAATGGACCATCTTATGCTCAAATAAAGGAAGAGGAACACAGTTGATGGAGGAATAAATCCCTGGTTACTGCACAGTGCATGAGAATGGATACAGCAGCAGGAACTTGCTGGAATTAAGGCATGATTAGGGAAAAGGTTGAGGAATTGAGCCACAACAAATGAGCATGAGTTGATCAATGAAGTCGGTGTGGTCTGAGAAGGCAGGTAGAGAGGAGCTCAGACCATGCAAGGAGGTAGGAACTGCAGCAGATCAAGACCAGGGAGTGACTGGAACGGTGGAAACACAACATTTTGTGAAGAACAGGCCTGATGAAAGGTCTTAGTCACTGATGAGGAGAAACTCTCCAGCATTGAGAACCCGTGACTAGCACAGCCAAAATGGGCGGGGATCGCCAGAAAAACAATGACAAGGTGTTCTGTAGTGATCCCCAGCATATTGGACTGCAGAAGCACCCCAAACTTCAGCATGTGGTCGGAAAGGTTGCTTGAGAATGCTGGCATATGAATGGTTTTGCAGCAAGTATCTTACACCTCATAATCATAAGCCTCTGGATGCAATGGCAATGTTCATTTTGTGAAATAGTGGCCAGAAAGGGGAAAAACAGAAATAGCAGTTGCAGATGAGTTTTCTGTTCTGAAAGCAGTAATATTCCAAGGAGAAATGAGAAAAAAATGGCCTGGGATTGACCAGAACAATTGAGCTGACATGGTGTGGCAAGAGCTTGGCTGGGAAAGGGGCTGGTTATGGGGGTCAAGGTCAATACTTTTACAATATGAATTTTTATTTAAAAGAATGGAGGAGGCAAGGATGGAACTCCTGACCACTTGTTGAATGATGCTCTAATACTACGTCATGAACTAACTATTCCAAAAGCCAAAGTTACTGGATGAAATCCCAGCAAATAAAATTAACATAGCAAATTATTTTATTGCATCTCTTTAACAGTAAGAGATTGGCAAAGTCACTGGGAAATGAAACAATCACCAGAAGTTTGTGCAGAAGGGTAAAATCAGGCACTAAACAAAGGGATTCCATATTTTGGAAACCTGAAGCAAAATAGCTTATTAGGTTATGGAAGATGATATTGCAATGATACCATGTTCAAAGACAGAATTATTGAGAAACTGCATGCTAGGCTGCACAGATATCATGGTGTTTACTGATTGATTTACAATCAATAAGAGTAATTCCAGCAGGCAAAAACAAACTCTATCCTAATAATTAGCGATCAATTATTTGAATATAATTAATATATAAATATAGTTGACTCTATATTTTAACATCAATGCTAATATTATAAACATGTATATGCGCCTATCAGTGACTTATTTGTTTGGAAAATACATTAGTTAATCCACCAAGTAAAATAAATAAATAAGCAAAAGAGAGACTAAGAGAGAAATATTCAAATTACCTTCAGTTCTCCTCAACTTATCATTGTAATACCTGTAATATTTTTTATAAAAAAAAATGATTAAAACAGACAAGTACTGATCAGAATGATCATCATTTCTTCTATCAACAAAAAAACTGTCAAAAGGGAGCAAAGGAGAAGTAGAAAACATCCCCACAAGAAGCCATGAAAAATATCACATCACAAAGAAGTTAAAATATAATACCTGTAATTGAATGTGACAATTCCTTCTTTCAACCTGAACAATACAACCAGCTAGAAGTTAAAATGTGCACCAAAATTTATTTAATAGCAATTACATCAAAGTTCAATCACCCCTTCTCCCTACTCAAAATAAAAAATAGCTGGCACTTTAGTTATGGAACCTCCCAAAAATGTAGTGTAACAAAAAAAGTTCATAGTGGCAAAGAACCAATACTTATGAAAACCTCAATGATCTAGGGTTGTCAATAGAAAGAGGTAAAGCCAAGAGATGAAAAAAGGAATCTGTAACCTTTTCAGTCATTGTTCTCTCCCTTTATTGCATGATAAGAGAGCTTGCTTAGCAAGGTTTAACAGCTAAAATAGTATATAAAATTTACCCTCAAAGCTAAAGATACATGACTAAATAAGACTAACAGTAACGTATCCAACACTCCACAACAAAAGCTTGGGACAACATGAATTTACCGAATGTTACGGGATGATGATGACGATGCTACATCGCTGCTTGCATGTATATGGTAGGGAGATTTCTCCTCAGCTCCAAATCCTTTAGCAGAAATTGAGATTTGAAGTCGCTTTAAAATACTCTTTGGAAACCATAAGAACAGAAAAGAAACAAAAAGCAGTCAATACAAGTTTTCCATCAAAGAACTAAGTCTGTTGTGGTGAAGTTTTTGCTTAGTGGGTAAATGATATTGATGCTAGAACAAACCTCATCCTCAGAATTACTAGGCTTTTGAATTGAGATGCTCTTGTCCTTTCCTTGAACACCACACTGCAATTGTAAAGAAATTTGTTATGCCATTCATCTGTCATAATTGTGAAGACTAAAGAAAAGATAAAAAACTTGAAATGGATCGCTAGATAAAAGCAGTACCCACAGAATAGCACATGATTTAACTGGCACAATAAAAACAATATAGATCATTAACCCCACATAGTTAACTGTCATACCTCCAAAATACATGGAAGCAAATCAATAGCAGACATGATCTCAGTTTGCTGCCCCAAACTAAAATTTGGATTACAACAACAAACCGCATAAATTGATTGTAAGCATAACTTCCCAAATAAGAAGCTCTCTCCAGTTCTTGCTGTCAGGTACAGAATGAAAAGATACAATCATATGAAAGTTCAAAATTCATCCTCTCCATAAAAAAGCCAACATAATTCGAAGGAAAATAAAATAATCCATGAGTGGCTATACTTTTAAAATATATAAAAAAAAAAATATCTATTTTAATGAAAGAAATTCATTAAGAAAAAGAGAAGATGATTACAAAGTGCTAGGAAGATAAGAAATCATCCTTAAAAAATAAAAAAGAAAACAAAATAAACAACAAATAAAGCATTAAAATATAAGAGAAACTGATGCAAAAAGATCTCACTTATAGAATCTTATGATTTTCAAGAGACTAATTTTATCAACTATTATGAAACTCATTATCTTGGGGGAAAGATATAGAATTTCAGAGAACTAATAAAGGATAGAACTTTTGGTTACTTGGCCAAAGAGCTTCTAGTACAGTGTTGACAAGTTAGAGAGACGGATATCAATAGTAAGATATAGAGTGATAGACAAACAAAAGAGAACCAATGTAGAAGCACTATAGGTTGAAGCACAAATCCTATCTAGCCTGCATATGCATATACACTACAGAAAACAGTATATAATTGTATAGATGTCAATCAAATGATCAACCACCCCTTAAATCAAGCTCCAATCAATCAGCTACAATCAATCCATCAACACTGCCTTAATTCACAAGGCTTTTCCATAATAGTTTGCTAGACATCACTCATTGGCCTCTCAATAAAATAACCTGGGCAAATAGTTCTCCCTACCTAGGTGACATCCCCAGTAAATAGTTTCCTTTTTTCCTTAATGAAAATGATATACGTGTTGGATGGTAACGTCTTGGAGCTGCCCAAATGACTTCCATGTTACAATGGAACTGTGTTTTTATAATTTAGGGGTTTAGGGTTCCCCAGCTTGTTAGCTAGGTTCCTAGCACCACTCTTTCCACAATGATCTACACAGCTTATCGTCAGCACATACTAATAAACATGACACAGCTTAAGAAGATCTCTGAACTTCACTCAACCTTCTCCATATGGTCTACACAGCCTAGGTCTCACACCACCTAGCAACGTGCTCAATTTCATTGCCATCAACCCGTCGTTGGGCCATAACACCATTGTACCAAATCATAAGAAAAGAATTGTTGGGCGTCCCACGTCAACTATAGATATGACTAAATAAGAGCTTATAAAGGCTAAAGCAATCCTCACATTACAAGCAAACTTGTGGAATTGAATTAGGCTTAAAGCCCAAATCAACAAGAATAAACAAAGCAATACATCAAAACCACTTTAACTCCTCAGAACTACAACCTCTCCTTGCAATCTTGTTCAGTAACAACTCAAGCCATAACACCATTGCAATAAGATCCACACAGCTCTCTAGACCTTTACAAGAGAAAGATATTTCCCTAAAACAAACCCATGAGGTTAACCCACAAATTATAAATAAATTCAAAAGAACACATGGAAAAGGATCTATTACTGAAAATCCATGCATTTATGCTTAAACCAAATGCATCATACTCCACTAAAAGGGAACAACTCCACAGCACCCTTTCATGGATCTCTTGATTTGATTTATTATTTCAGGTTCTACCACTCTTTTGATTCTTTATGAAGGATTTTTTGTTGTTTTATATGCAATCCACTCAATGGAATTCACTCTTTTAAGATTTAAAGAAGAATATTATGCAAATTGTATATGGATGTGGCTGAAGTAATAGTAAAGTAACGGTACAGCCATTGGACAACCATATTTTGCATATCAGAAGTTAGTGGTTAAAGCATATCTCACATTCAATAAAAGCCACATCCAAAGGCATCACACTTGCATTGGCTCCAGATGCTGAATTTGGGTTTTTCCCTGCAAGTAAATAGAAACAGCAAGGAATTTAGCAAACATTGTGCTTGTTTGTGTACTCATGCTAATTGAATCACACAAGCATATGCATACCATAAACCAAGATAAAAAATTTGCCAGATTCCGCCTTCTTGGCTAACTTTTCATTTTCAGGGAGCATAAAGTTTGCCTTGACTTGAGTATTTCCATTCCCATCAATTTCAGAGGAACCTCGAAATGTGAATATCTGATTGGTTTGATAAACAGCAGAATACTTTTCTTCCTTTGGTCGGTTAAAACAAAAAGTATTATGCAGCAGAAAAAATTATGATATAAGGTGTTGTACACTGAGAAAGTAATTCGCATAACATAAGGAATACATAAAAATTCAACTTAAAAAGCACTATTCCCACCTCTTCATCTTCACCAATAGGATGGAGCCTTGCCATACAAATGCATAAAGGAAACAAAGACTGAGTTTCATCATCTTTCCATGACAATGAAACTGTCATTAGTATCCTATACATTCAAATGAGATATCTTATTAGCATCTCAAACTTGAAATTTATACTAGACTACAATCAAAGGAAATAAAGCAATGGCAGAATGAAAACAATGACTTCGTATAACTAACTTACAGGAAATTCAACCTTACTGGAAAAAATAAATAAATATGCCACCTGAATTAAGGTAAAAAGAAAAGGTATTGCAAGGTCTACATAACAAAAACCTCATCTACCTTGAAACAGCTTCTCATACTAAACAAGAGTGCCAAATACCCTGTTGAGGATCAATGAGGTATGCTCCAAGTACTATTCTGCACGTTTATACATAAGGTGTGCCCTAAACCTCGAGACATTTGGTATTGAATCAACAGCAAGTTATTTGTTTGTGTATAGATTGTTGGATACTACTAACATGATTCCATACTGATGTTGACTTGTAGTTGGTGATCACAGGGTCAGATAACTTGGATGTTAATTGGAGTTACTTCAGAAGTTAAGTCCTTATAAAGGATAAACACAACAACGTTCACACATGAATTGGCAAGGGCCAACTGTGCCTTATACCTGAACCAGAACCTACTTCTTGAGCTCCACTGTTTAAATTTAAGGTAGCATAATTCTAGTATCTGGGTGTGTCTTTTGTACTGATGCAATGTGTGCATATGAATTTCATTTTGGCAGGTGTTTTCAGGTGTTTATATGCACACACTATGTATGTAGGCATGTGTGCATGTGAAGAAATTTATCAAGATGAAGAGAAAAAATTACAAAGAGAAGGGATGATAAGGATTCCTCCTAAACAAAATAAGAAAACAGAAAACAACCAAAGAAGAAAGAGAAAATCAAGGGAGCAAAGCTGCCCAGTCCTTTGTTATATCTGTCAGTGAAACAAACCTCATGCATCAATGGCTGTTGAAGACAGTCCTACTTTACATCAATATCAGCTGAATCTTCCCACTTAAATAGAAACAATATTTTGAGATGGATACATTAACTAGGTCAATGCCACACAAATAATGCGCACAATAGACCACACCGACAGTATTCATAGGACTCTATGTTAGAGGCTCAAAGAAACTGGTTAGAAATGCCACACTCATTGACCAAAACTAATCCTGATTAGTCTTTGAACCACAAAACTATACACATTGAAGCACAAATTAGCAACTTAAATACATTCATTTCAATTGAGTCCACACACTCCTTTTTATATCTATGTTGTCACTAAATTTATGATAATAACATATTCACATTATTTTTATTTTCCATACCAAGCTTAACATATAATATTAAATACATATGTCAATTTAAATAAAAAAGGTTCAATTCTATATCACCACCACAAAATGCCTCCTAGACTTCACAGACATATTCCTGAAAAAATCTCTGTTTAAACTGAGCATAGCATATACATCCGGATAGCCATATAGCAGATAATAAGTATAAATCTGTTAAAGAAAAGGGAGTTAACAGCAGAAGGAAGATTATATATGGTAGATTTACCTCTTCTTGTTCTTCGCCTTTTTCCTGTAGTCTAAACATCTTGAAAGGAATAATGGCTGTAAAACAGACATTTGAACTATTAGAATACAGCATGCAATAATATTATCTTCAGAGACTAGAAATTGGGGGATTGAGAAGTAAAAAAAGAAATTAAAGAAGAAAATAGAAAGTACAAAAATTCCCCAAAAGCAACAGGTATAAAAAGAGACAATAACAATACCAATAATATAATCAGCCCCATGACTCATGCAATCTATCCCAGTATAAGTTATAAATACAACAACCAAGTCTTATCTCACTAGGTGAGGTGTATAAGTTATAAATAATCACATAAAATATAATTTACAATGGAAGGTATTTTAGCTAATCAGATAGAGCACATTTCTTACCATTCGATGTTGAAGAATGTTGTAGAACTCTACAGGCTTGCAATAAATTGAAAGACTCTCTTCTGCAGCAAGCTTCTCTTCCTCAGATAAATGCTCACAACCATCTTCATGGTTTGGTTCATCTGTGTTTCTAGCATATCTGCAGGGGCAAACAGATAATCAGCATATGTTGAGTTGCACCTGGGGGGGGGTTGGCTGCAGTTGTTTCCCTTTTAAGGAAAACTACCTAGATAACATTTGTGAATGGCATACTTTGTTTAAAAGAAAACATACGATGTTTCACAAGCCGCAGCAGGATAGCCTGCCATTCTTGTTGAAGAAATCTCAGTTATATGCATTTATCTGGACCTTGAAGTATGTGAAATTTTGTGAAGCAACAAACCTACATATATAATGATGGGGTGTTAGAAAAGAAAATCCATGCATATCACTTGGGGACCATAACCCTTTATATATGATAGTCAAATACGCTTTCATAAATAGTCATGTCTTAGAAACCTTATAATGTTTCATGAAGAGTAATGAGTATCAAGCTCTTTCTTTTTTCTAATTTGCCCATCAACAAAACAGAAAGAAGACTTACGGTGTCTACACATTATAAAGTCCATACCAAATGAGATGTTATAAATCCCAAGAAACTTGTTATAAAATTACTTCAATATAGATAAAACTTCATAGATAACATATAATAGATGATTATAATATATGTATGCTCATATATGAGAAAAATATCCAGCAAAAACTACTCTTACTGGCATGCCTGCAGGATTTTAATCAATATACTGACAATGAGTGTAAATAAGAAAAACAGAAAGTGCCTGTTTCTATGCAGTTGATGCACACTTGCATTCGCCTCCAGGGATGCAAATACAAAATTGGAAAGTTGCTCAACCACCCATTTCAAAACACCCCAAATTCTCTTCTCTCTCTATCTCCATTTTTCATGGCAACATTTTGTTTGTGGCATATCACACACATAGGGAATGCAGTCAAGTTAGCTAAGACCTTTATTTCTTTTCAATATTACGAAAAATCCATGTTTCATTGTGCATGTAGAATGCCACCTTTCTGCAAGAGGCACGCTTCTACCAAAACACAACACATGGATAAGGGACAGGAGTGGAATGTGTGAGACCATGGAGATATCAATTACAAAACAATAATCAAAAGAATGGATTGAAAGAAATAAAAGAGATAATGTAGAACACCCAAACTAAAAAGGATTGTGATACACATTGAGAGAAGTTCAGGACCCAGAAACAATAGCAACGTGTTGTGCACAATAGATTGTGAAAAGAAAAGAAGCTTAAGCTGCAAAAGAAGCAAATGGGTAGCCCCAAAAGGGGTTAAAGGGTTAGAAGATGAAGGGAGTAACATAAGGAAAATAAGAGCAGAGAGAGAAAGAGGGTGAAGCCAATGCAGGGCCATAGAGAACTAGGGATTGATGGTGAGTCCAGAAGGAAGAACCAAAAATGGCATCAAAAGCCATGAAGTTTGTTCCAAATTTACAATGCAACCACATGAGAATGTGTTGGGTTTAAGACAAGAAAACTGTTAGCAAAGTTTATGAAGAAACACCAAATTTATATCCTTGCGACGACAACAACATACTGCACTGTTCCTATGTCGTTCTGTCTCTCTTACCTCTTAATAATTAATTCTTAGTGAAATTTATATATACAAAAATAAATTGTAAAAAGTTAAAATTATATTTTATAAAGTAAGTAAAAAATATGAAACAATTTTTTGATAAAAAAAATTCATATGATATTTTTATAAAAATATTAAATTTATAGTTTTAGTAATTATTTTTATATAATATTAAAAAATTATAAAATATTAATAAAAATATAATAAAAAATTATCATATTACATATTTTTAACTCATCACTCAGATAAGAATTTAAATTATAAAAATAAAATAAATCAACTCAACAGGATAAGCTAATATATTATTTTATTTAATAAATACTAAAAATAAAATAAAATTTCTTATCTTAATCACTAAATAAGGTCTAAAAAAAGTATTGAGAAAAATAAAAGTGAATAAAAATTTTAGATAAAAAGAAATAACTCGACGTGTTATTAATTCACTCAAATTGATAAAAATATATTGTAAAAGTAAAGGTAATTAAGAAAATCAACAAAATAAATACGTGTTATTTCGCATAATTATAAGTATTTATTGTTTAGTTTGATTATACTTATTGTTACGCATGTTTTATCAGCTTATTCAACAGATTTTAAAAAAAAATACGACTTCTGCGTAAAAAGAATAAATTACAGACCTCACCAAAAGTAATTTTTATCCTTAGTAAAAATGATTTATAAAAAATAAATATATAAATTTGTAGCTATAACAAATTAAAATTTAATAAAATTCTCCCCAAAGTTACACAACAAAATTAAAAATCAAATCCATTATGATGAATATATAGAAATTAATAAATCACAATCTCTACTAAAACAGATTACAAATTACCTGGTGTGATTTGAACTTCGATAATCTCCTTAAGATACTTTCAATTATCTGCACAAAAAGGAGTGAGCAAAAATAAGTAAAATTAGAGAAGCCAATGTATGAAACTTTAAAATTGATACAAATAAAGCAAAATAAAAAATAAAAAATAAAAAAATCAATACAATGTATGCATTATTTGGACAAATTAGTGATGATTTTTTTAATATAATGTTTATTTTTAACATTAGATTAATAATTAGATCAGCAAAGGTATTGACTTGCAGTTTATAAATTCAGTTGTAGTTGAATCGAGTCAAATTCGTAATTGCAATATATTTTTATATTTTTTAATACATTAAATGATAAATTAATATAAAATGTAAGAAAATAAGGTTAAGTAAAATTTTAAATTAGTATAAAAAACATATTACACGTCTTTTAATAAATAAACTCTTGTACCGATCCTTGAGATTATATGAATTAAACATTTAAGTCTCCAAATGCTTTAAAACTTATTATTAGTTATCAAATCTTAGAATAAAACAATAATAAAAGTAAAAAATAATAAATATCTATATCTATATATCTATATATATATATATATATATAAATCAATACAAACAAAATGTTTTAAAAAAATTATGAGTTAAAATAATTATTCATACTATCTCAATAGCTAACTTAAAAATTTACTCGATAAACAAAATTATAATAAAAAAGTTTATTAATAATAATAGAACTCATGCACGAGCATTTTTAAAATGTTTTATGAAAAAACAATATTAAAAATATTATTCAAACTGTATTTTTTTGTATCGATTTTTGTTTTCCATCAATTTGTTGAGTAGTCCAAATTGATGACCTAATAAATTTTCCATTAAAAAAATCAAAATTGACATCAAATTTGGGATTGAAAAAAATGCAATTTTAAGAAAAATTCTGATAAAATAAAGCTTAAAATAAACACAAAAATTCATATTATATGTAGTATAAGGTAAGCAAATAAATAAAAACAATCTACAAGTAAAGTTAAATGTAGATATGTTAAAAAAAATATCAAAGCAAATGACCTAATTAATTTACTAATTTTTTTATTAAATTGATAACAAAATCAAATCATTGATTTTTTTTTTCTGAATCAATCAACATGAGTTAAAAAACAAAAACTTTTGTCCAAGTTGATCTCAAACTTCAAGTGTTTTGATAGATGAACAGTCTTTCCTTGTCAAATAAACACAATGCATATTTTTTCATAATAAAAATACACAAAATATAATAAATAGAAGTTAAATTTATACTTAAAAATAAATTTCACCTGATAAGATTTGATCTTTCAGCGATCTTCTCAACAACAGAAAGAAAAACCAGATCAAGATTTTTGTGACGACTAAAGATTAGGGTTTGAAAGCGGCGCAAAAAAGAGTAAAGAAGTACAAATGAAAAACCTAATATATAGACCTTTAAAATCAATATAATCATGATAATACTTTATTTGGTAATCCAAGTCGAGTCGAAATAACGAATCATAATAAGACAGGTGTATTAAATTTATTATTTTTACAATGAAATAATTTAATATATGCGAATAATATTATTTTTTATTTGAACAATATTTTTATTGATCTAATAATGACCAATAAAATAATTATTAAATTTGTTATCTTAATGTTTATTGATGTGTTTTTTTTTAATTTTAGATTATTTAAATTGTATAAATATTTAAAAAAAATTAAATTTGTTAATATTAGATGTCAAATTTAAACACTTATATCACTTAACAACTTTTAATAGAATGTGAAATTGATCAATATAACTATTGGTTTGAAAGTATAAATAGAGTAAATTTAACTTTACAAAATATCATATAAAAATAAATATTAAATTTTAAACATATTTATAAAATGTTGATTGTATAAGTGTCAAAGTTTGATACATATATGAATAAGTAGCGTTAATAACACACTTTTTAATACATTATATTATTTATTAAAATTTATTAAAAATTATAAAAATCATTTAAGAATAAATTAAAGTAAAACTTATACAATTTTTATAGTTTTTAATAAATTTTGATTAATAATAAAAATATGTTGCTAATGTTCCTATATATCAAAAATACTAACATTAATGAAAAGCATTAATAAAAAAATAATATTTAATATTATTTTAAATTTCTATATAAATAAATAAATAAAAATATATTATTTATTATCTCTCAAAATAAATTAATAAAAATAACATATTGATCACTTGAAACATTCCATTATCAACAAGCATTAATTGAAATATTTTATAAGGTTAGAAATCACAATTAGAAAAATAAAATTAGAAGTTATTAATTTATTTAGACAAAAAGACATATATTAGATAAATGATTTAATACACCTAATTTTTATAAGAAAAAATTTAGCAACTTATACCTTCAATATATTTAAGAAAAAAACAATAAATGAAAGTCAGTAATTATAAGTGCTAAAATATATTCATATATTGTATTAAAATAAATACTTGTTTTAAAAAAACAAGTAAATATATATTAGCTAATCTCTTTAAATAAACATTTCCTTTTTCACTTACCATTCAAATGAAAGCATATATCCAATGAAGGGCACTTCAAAAAGGTTAGTATTGGTTTTAACTCTGTATCTGAATGGAAACTATTTATTTCCTTTACTACGAATCACGTAAACAGTTTTTTTTCCTATTTTACCTACTTTTCACCAGTTTAGTTTATACAATAAAACTTTAATAAAGTCCAATCCATAAGTGTTATTATTTTAATATAATTTTAGTCTCATGTCAACAAAATTAGGTGGCTTTAATTTTAAATTATTTTACTTTATTCTATTTTATTTTATTTATACATTCTATTTAGATAAAATATTATCAAAATAAATAATTTTTTATGATTTTAAGTATTATATTAATACATATTTTTATTTATTTATTTAACAAATATAATAAACGTTTTATGTTTTTTAATTTTTTTATAGTTTTGTTTCTAAAAAATATAAAATAGTTATAAAAATATTTGGAAAAACTAAAACAGGTGGAATGCACAATATCAATTAACATATAAATAAAATTTCAAAAAAGTTGTTAATGTGTAGCACAATTTCCTAATTTGTAGAATTAGAGACATGTTAAGATCTATTGGATTAGATTTGTTAGAATTTTGTATGTCTAGAGAGAGAGAGAGGGGCAAATTAATATGCTCATTCTTTAATTAAACTAAAACTTGATCTTTTATCTTCTTATTTTGAGTTTAAAGTAATTCCTCTTTTCCTTATTCCTTTTTTAAGTCTAGATTATAGTAGCATGTCATATCCTAGAGCTATTGATTAAGTGTTGTTGTTTTGGGCCTTTAGTCCTATTGAATAACTAAAAAACAAAAAATGAAATTTCAATGAAATATAATTAAAATAATAAAATATTAATTATAATAATATCAATGTTTAATTAATAAAATATATATTTATAGTAGAATATTATTAAAATAAATATTTCTTTTGTCATATGAGTATTATAATAATGTATATTTTTATTTTCTCTATTTAATATATATAATAATAGTAATCATTAACTATATATTTTTATTTCATAAAAATATAAAAGAACAAGTCACCTATAAATAAAAACATAATATTAAAAAATGTCACATAACATTATAATAAAAAAATGTTTAAATATATAATTAGTTTTTTTTAGGATTTAGTCTTTTAAATGTTAAGAAATTATAATTTAGTTTATGTAGTTAATTTCTCTTCTGTTAAGTGTTAAGTTGAGAGAATTAGCTCAATATTCTTATGTCATTTAATTTTTAATATTTTATTATTTAAAATTAATATTTATAATAAAATTTTAAATATATTTAAATATTTGCCAAAAAATTTCTAAATCTTATTTATTGCTTCTCTTTAAAAGGATTTGATTTGAGCTATTAATTGTTATAGAAAGTTACACTTGATGTAATGTGTTGAGTAGGGTGTTAACGAGAAGGAAGAGTGAGGGAGAAAAATGACATAAACATGGTGTGTGCAAAATAATAGTAATATAAATATAAATTATAGATTAGAATGAAAAGTTATAGAATGATGATGGTTACAAAAGATTTAGGGTTTAATTATATTTTTGATCCCTATAAATGTTGAATATTTTATAATAAGTCTTTGTAAATTTTTTATTAAAATTTAGTCCCTAAAAAATAAAAAATAAAAAGATTTACTTCAAACCTTTAACTCTCTTCTATTAAATGTAATCTGAGCTCAACAATTATATGTGTCATTATATGACATGTCATGTCATTTATTATTTTTATTTTTTATTTAAAATTATATAATTACAAATAAATCTTTAAACATATTTTATATAATTATATAAAAGTTCTTTTAATTTTTTTTTCTTCTTCGTACATCTCTTCTTTCTCCTTCTCCAACCCTCAACCTTATTCTCTCATTGTAGGAATTAAATCTTAATAAAAAATTATATAAAGATTTATCATAAAATAAATTATATTTACATAAACTAATAACATATTTAAATTTAAAAAATTATAAAAAAAATACATGATTTAATAGAAAAAAAACTTTACTTATAATTAAAGATATTGGGTTATAAAACTTAAAAAGTAACCATCATATATGAATGCAAAGTAAAAATAAGTACTTTACCCTTCACTTTATCAATGAACTTCTACTTCCCCCTTCTGCTCCATAACATCTCGTTCGCTGTAGCAGTAAAGTTTTTGTTAGGATCAAAATGGAGAATAGAAAAACCATAGAAAATATCGTATTATGGAATTGCAGTTTTGGGCAATCATATAGCAATGAACCAATTTTCGCGGTAGCCTTTAGATATTTTTTCTTCTCTACACCAAATGAAATTTCGTAATGAGAAAAACTGAATCAATTGAAAACATTACATTAGGCCAAAGTCATAAGCAAGACCATTTTTTCCTACATGATAAGTGAGTTGATTGGCCTATAAAATAAACTTTATTCAAAAATGCCTTTTAGAAAAAAAAAATTAAGATGATGGGTTTTTCACATACTTATTGTTGAGATAATAACATTTAAGTGTCATTTAATTTTAATTCTCATTTAGAATAACAATAATGATGACGATATACATTTACTGTTGAGATTACGAATGCATTGAGTACATTGAATATTTGGCTTTTAAAGCTTTTTAATTAACTGTTTTATTCTATTACTAAAATGGTTGTATCAGTTGGCTATTATTTGGTCACTATGCCATTGCTGATCACTATAACTGTTTTATTAGCTTTCAATTGCTATTATTTGTGAGATTTTGTTTTCAAAATCCTCTCTTAAGGTATGTGGCCAAAGGAACAGCTTTTCAATTATTTTTCAAATTAAGTAATTTTAGTAAAAAAAATCAAATAATATTTTGAGATTTTAACGAATTATAGCTTTTTATTTTATTTCTGTTCCAAATAAACAATAAATGTAATGAATTTCTATTACCGTGTGAGTCAGCTTTTTTTAAGAAATAAGAACAATAAATAATAATGATAATTTAATTATTTTACTTATTAAGATATTTACTACCTTAAACCACATATAAAAATAAAAGTCTAACAATTTAGAATCAGCATTAGTTGCTATTTAGTTTGAATTGTTTTTCACCTTTAATTTGCAGGAAAAATGAAGAAAAAGTAACGACTTGTTTGTATACACGTTGGAAACCTCCTTTCTGTGGAATTGATTTTTACTTTTTTCTAGAGAAACCCTATTAAATGTGTCTGTAAATTGAAAAGAAAACGTTAAAATAAGCTCGTTTATCTGCTATCCAAACAGATTAATCAAAGTTGTTGCAGCAGAGTTTCTTTCTATTGGCTTCTTCTAACACCTAAAGTTAGACAACACAGAGATAAAAACAAAGAAACACAAAAGGGAAATCAAATCATATGCAGAGGAATAAAATTGAAAGCAATTGAAAAGTGAGTAGCAGAGAATCATTACAGTGAAATATCTCTTGCCCTCTTTTCTCGCTGATGATCTCCTCCGCCACCTTATGATCATCCTCTCCTCAAACATTATTTGGGATTGGAGCATTTCAGCAGTTGCACTACTTGAACCTTTTTTATTATATGATCAAAAGGTTTTGATTCGAATGCATAGAAACTTTTATGGGGTTTGCATTTTGATAACTCATAATGGACACCGGATCCCAAAATTGAATTTCGAATTAACAAATGGAATACCAAATATCGCCTTAAAAGGAATAAAAATTATGCTTCCAAATGTTAATATTAGTTTTCGTTGTTGATTTTAAATATTTAAAAGTAATAATATTAAAAGTATTTTTATATAACAATTTTATGTTAAAAATAATAAAATATTATAGAATTAAATATATTAATAATATTACATGTTACATTTTCAACTTTATTTTTATTTTTATGATCTTTTACACACATTAATAAAATAAAAAAGTAATAACCATATTATATAAAAACATAATAAACATTTTTAATAAAAATATGACTTTTAAATAATTAAAATTAACTCTGAAAATTAATGTTATTAAAATATTTTTTGAAGACCTATTAATTCTAACAGTTAGTCACAGATTGATCATTCTGAACTTTCAACGTGTAGATGTGAATCTTTAACCGGGGATCCTCTCGAAACTCAAAAGAAAATAAGAGTTAAAAAAAACTTAAATAAAAAAATATTTCAAAAGAAATTAGTCATTATACTAACAATATGTTTTAAAATATTTAAAATATTAGATAAAAATTTATTACAAATTATAAAAATAAAAGATATTGACTTATAAATAAAAAAATAAAAGTTGTGTAATTTTTATAACTTTTAATAAACTTTGACTAATAATTAAAAATATCTTTGAAAAAGTAAGTTATCTATCACCGGACAAAGAAAAACTGCGAAACTTGATCTTATTGTAATTAATTATTGCTTTTGACAAATTCAGTGATTGAATTGGTAAGAGAAAATGATAGCGAACTCAACGAAAGCGCCTTCATTCTCGCAGAGACTTTCCCCATTTTGCTTACTCTTTGGAGTTAATTTTTACAGAGCTCTTGTTTTGATGAACAACCATTTATGATCATTTAAAAAAAAAACAAAAACAAATATCACATAAATTCTCTCAGCAAGAAAAAAGAGAATCAAGAAAGTAATTAAGATGTACAGATCTGCAAGCTTGAACAGGTTCTCTGATGATTACTTCAAGCATGCGACGAGTTCTTCATCTTCAGGATCAGGGCGTAGATCATCTCATTCTATGTTTGATGGCAACAATTTGCCCACATATGACCCCATTGCAGAGTTGGCTAAGAGGGAGAGGACGCGTGTTAAGTACGCTGAGAATGCAGTGCATGTTATCCCTTTGGTGCTGATTGTTTGTGCATTCATTCTCTGGCTCTTTTCAAATCCAGGTGAATCATACAGAACAACATCCACTCAAATTTGTTTTATGAGTTTCAAATTCTAGTTCTTCGTTGATATGATTTCAATTTTGAATTAATTGACATTTTCTTTTGAATAGATGCTGGATTTATAGGAGATCCTATTGGAGCAAGAATTCAAGGATTGAGTATTGAAGGAGAATTTGAAAGTGATAGCGATGGCACTCAAATGGGTTTCTTACCCATTGTGAGCTCAGAAGACATATCCACAAAAGAATTTGCTGCTGAAAATCTAAATATGTGGAAGGGCTGAAGTTGGTCAAAGTCCGGTTTCAAAGGTAGAAAGTTAATATACAAAATAAATATTTTTTATAAATTTAAAATAACTTATATTGTTTAAGTTTTCAAAATATCAATTACAAAATAAAGAAATATACGTAAAATGTTTTATTATTTGTTTTTTAATTCATCAAAGTATTTATTGAGAGATTTGTTTAAATTCAACTTAAATTTAATATTCTTTATTTAATTGAATTATTTCTTAAGCTCTGTTTAAAGAAAACATACATTTTTTAGGTATGCATTGGGAGATTATCCAAGTTAATCGTCACGAAATGTACAAAACTGTTTTAGTTTGTGGCCACATATATTAATGTTCAACTATTAAATATTGTGAAATGTGTATATAGTTATATTTTTACATGAAATTGAACCCCAGAAAATTGATTGGACATGAATTCATAGGCTTCTTTTTATCTTTAATTCAGATATAACAAGATTGTTTTTACAGTAAATTAAACTAGAAATAAAATTTAATTAAATAAAATGTTTTATTTCTTATAATTTACAATAATACAAAAGAGAATTGATATTTTTCTATTCATGTTGCATATTAGTATTACATGAATCTATTTTCACGTATATCATTTTTAAAATTGTACCGGTACTCTCTGATAAAGTTATTACACATATTTATTTTATATTTTAATTTAAAAAATATTATTTATTAATAAAATTTAATATTTTTTCTATTGTGTTTTTTATTGATTCTTTTTTTTTTTTGCTATTTGATACTTTTTATTTCTTTGTAAAATATAAATTAGTAATATACTTTTTAATATATTTTTAATTATTAATTAAAATATATTATGACCAGTAAACCTGTGAATGAGCCTTAATAAACAACAAATAAATCTTACATCATTCATAAGTATTAGTAAATTTTGATAAAAAAAAGAAGAAGAAGGTCTTAACAAGTCCATGAACCTACTGTTTTTGTGAAAGTATAAACGAGTTGAATTATTTTAATTTATTTTATTAAATACTCATTTATTTTTCTTATTTAACTAAATAAATAAATTTAAAGTTAAAGGTAGGTTAAATAATTTAAACGACGCAAATAATTTATATATGTATATATGTATATATACACACACACGTTTTATTTATTACATTTTAAAAAAATTATAATTTTATTTATTATCATCTTATATGTATAACACTTACCTAAATAAATTTGATATCAATACTTCTATTTTAAACAAATTAAACCATTTTTATTATAAAAAAATTTATTTATAATTTTGCATTTTAACTTGTCTTAAAAATTTTATTATTTTAAAATAAAAAAATAATTTGAATAAATTTTATTAATTTTTAAAAAATGTTTAAATTATATTTTATCTTCTTAATATAACTAAATCTCTTTAAGAATTAAGAAAAATGAACAATCATAAATGTATGTTTCTCAATATTATCTTTTTATATTTTTTTATAGCTTTAAATCTTTATTAACTATTTTTCAACATTTACAATATAATTTTATACTTTAAATGGTAAAATAATTTTTAAAATACATTTATTATGATTTAAGATTTTTTTGAAACTATATTTCATCTTCTAAGGTAAAGACAAAAAAATTCCAAAACTAAATGTCAATCGCCTAATGTAAACAATCACAGTGAAAGAAAAATTACATAGAAGTTTATCTGCAATTAAATGAGTTGAAATATAAATTTATATTTATATTTATTTTTTGAAAATTAAATATTTTTATAATAAGAGAGAGAAAAATACAATTGATTTTAATTCTTTAATAATACTGTCATTTGTTTAATATTTTACTAAAATATGTTAATAAGTTTATAACAATTTTTAGTAAAAGTACAATTTTAAAAATTAGTTTATTAAAATAATTTATATGCTTCACAAATTTTTTAAAAATACAAAATTTTAAAATAAAAGTAAAAGCTAACTGTTTTAATTCATAAATATTGTAATTTTATAAAAATTACGCATTTCAATATTTCATTAATATTATAAATTAAAATAGATGAAAATTATAATATTTTCTAAAATTTAAATTAAATTATTTTTATAAAATAGGAGATAAAATAAATAATATTTATCATTTTAAGAAATAAAATGACGATTTAAATATACGTAATCTAAATCAGATATACTCTTAATGCTGCCACTTTTCTGGTTAAGTCTCTCTCTCTGTGTCCCATCTAAACGTTATCCAAGGTTGACTTATGAGGTGACTCGTTGGAAGTGTATTTGATCTTATCTCTTTGATTTTATTTATAAAAATAAATATTTAATTTATTGGAATTAATTAAAAATAATTCTATACTATAAATATACTTATATTTAAAAATATTTATGATAAAAAACAATTAAATTATTGTAATATACACTAAAAAAATAAATATTTTCACTTATATGAATAAACAATAAATAAAAATATAAAAAAATTATAACACTTAAAATATTTGAAAAATATATTCATTTCTTCTAATTAAGATAAAAATACCAATAAATAATTTTTGTATAAAATTTATCATAATAATACTTTTAAAACTCGTCATTAAATTAACAACGTAATACATTGATTAAATTAGAGTTATAATAACAATAAAATATATTAAATAATACATTACTAAAAAATTTAAGTTGAGTAAAATTTTTTATTAGTATAAAATAACTATGTCATATATTTTATAAGAAAAATATAAAAAATAGTTATACACTAATAAATTATAGATAAATGTTATATATGAGTCTTTATTTATTTAAAAATAAATAAATAAAATAAGTAAAAGTTTTAAATAGATTTTTAATTATTTTTTAACTTTATAATTTAATCAAAATTTAATTAATCCCATTAAAATTTTAAATTATTCAAATAAATTAATTCATCGATTATCAGTGTAATATATCAAATCAGCACGTACAATTAAGTTTTAATACCCATCGTTGTAACAAAGACTAAGAATTTATTACAATAGATGCCTTGTTCTGAATGGTATTTTCCTTTATTATTTTCAAAATTATGTCAAGTACTGATGCTTACTGCACATAACTAAATGTAGTACATGATAAAGACAGGTTCAGCAATTTATTTTTTTTACGGTTTTATTAATAATTTTTCTAAAAGTTTAAATATTTAAAAACAACTCCTTTTAAAAAATATAATAAATATTTTTAACAACTTTTCTTTTATTGTTTATAAATATTTAAAATCAAATTTATAAATTGCCGGTAATATGTTTCTTTTTCTTTATTATGCACAATTTAATTCATACAATTAAGATTTCTAGTATAGTGTAAAAATTGTTTTACTGAAACTTTTATGTGATATATTTATGCTCGTATTATTTTTAAAATTATGACCTCGTTTTAACTGTTTTATTTTATTTTTTAAAGTTTTACATTTCTTTGTATATATATAACATAAAGATTAAAAATATGATTGGGTAGATGCTTGGCTGGAAATCTGCAATGAGGTTGTGGTTGATAAATTCGCTGAAATAAATTCGCTGAAAAATGCATTTCCAGAATAGATATTTGATCTGCAACATGACAAGTAACGACTTTTCTTGAACCCAAAATGAACCAAAAGATATACCAATTCCACTGTTTGGGGGCTCTAATTTTCTGGCATTTTGAGCAGAGGAATCATCAAGAGACACTGTTCAGCTTCATTTGGGGTAAACAATCAAAATTCCTTCTTTTCTAATTTCAAACTAAGCTTTGTTGTTCTGTATTTTCTGTCCCTTTTCATATTTCTGAACAACATAGGAAGCCAAATTAAAACTTTTCCATGGCTATGCACATAAATCTGAAGCTCCATAAGCTATATCTTATGATCTTAGTAGCATCAAAAGTAGCATCTCAACCCATGCTACACTGTCCTCAAAACTGTGGCAACCTTAACATTCCTTACCCATTTGGGACAAGCAAGGGTTGTTACATGGACGAAACTTTTCTCATCACTTGCAACCATAGCTCCACCACACCCATTCCTCGATTGGGACCTGACAATATAATGGTGCTCAACATATCACTAGACGACGGAGAACTTCTAGTTTCAAGTCCTGTAGTCCATGATTGCGATGGTGCCAAAGGCAATCATCAAAGTTCTATAGAGGAGAAAGGTCTCAATTTGACTCGGTTTTCAATCTCACCAAGTAAGAACAAATTCACAGCACTGGGTTGTGACACTGTTGGAATATTCATGGGCTATGATAAAAATAAAAACCGTGCCACAACACTGGGATGTGTAGCCATATGTAGCACACTTGATGAAATCATGAAGAACAATGGATCATGTGGTGGCACTGGATGTTGCCAAATTAGTGTTCCCAATGGAGTCTATGGTTTTGAAATGCAAACTTGGAGTATGAACAACCACTCCCCAGTACGTGACTCCTATCCTTGTAACTATGCGTTTTGTGTTGGGGAAGGGTATTACAACTTCAAAACGACAAATCTTGAGAATTTGGAGACTAAGAGCATGCCCGTTGTGCTTGATTGGGCAGTGGGAAATCAAACGTGCGAAGAGGCCCAAAATATTGGTAGCTATGCGTGCAAAGATAAGAACAGTGTTTGCCTCATTTCAACAAACGGGATTGGTTATCGTTGCAAATGCAACAATGGTTTCCAGGGAAACCCTTACGTCCATGGTGGGTGCCAAGGTAAAATTCTATTTGTCTGATATGTATTTTACTTACTTCATATGTTTTATTTTAACCTAAAATTATTATCCTCTTAAAAGATTAGAACCTATTTCAAGGAGATAATTTGTAAAACTCTGACTAATATGATTTTTGTTAAATAAAAAAAATTTAAAACTCACTCTTTAATATACTTTTTATAATTAATTAATTTTTCTTTAAACTGATTATTCATAAAGAGAATGTTTAAGGACATGTCTGAAAGAGTATTGTTAACACTACTATGTTGAATAAACATTGATGTGTCAATATAATTTTCAATGTAATAAATTGTTATTGCATATCATTTATAGTTTTTTATCTCACTTTTTTACATATCACCATATTAACTTAATTCTATAAAGCAATCTAGTCGAGATATTTTTATTTTTATCAATAATTATAAAATATCACGTTATTATAGTTTGTTACACTGTTTAGGCTCGTTTAATAGTAAAAATAAAATAAAAATATTATTTTAAAAAAATTACTTATTTCATATATTTTTTTATAATTTTTGAAACCAATAAATAAAATAAAATAATCATTTTTATAATTATCAGTGAAGTAAAAATATTAGTCTCCATATGTTTTTACTCTCTCCACTCATTTTATAAGCTCTTGTAGCATAGACAATAGTCTTAGCTGGAGCATTGGTTAATAAGTAAATTAATATAATTTTTTTAATTAGAGATGTATTGAAAACGTATTAAAAATTATGGTAAGCGTCTAATTAATGACATTTTTTAGTGATATTTTTTATTTCTCAACTAATGTATTTAAAATATTAATTAATCTGGGAAATGTCTTTAGGTAAAAGGGTAATATAAAGCAATCCTATTTTTATTGTTTCTTGATAAAATTGGATAAAACCAAATGAAATTCTATCTTTTTCTTTCCTGCAACTAAAGAATAGTCATGTTGAAACTACATTAAAATAATGGCTGCATTATGTTTCCTTCAGATATCAATGAATGCAATATGAAGCCTAACCCATGCATCAGCAGCAAAAAATGCCAAAACTTTCCTGGCAGTTTTAAGTGTTCATGCCCGAAGGGACAGAAAGGAGATGGATTGAGAGATGGAGAAGGTTGCCGACATATAAACGACAAATCCATAGGAAATCTCATACTAATAATTGGACTGAGTAAGTATAAGTATGCCATGTTTATCCTTATTTCATGTTAATTATATTTTTCAATGAGGATAAGGGTTAAGGTCAATAGTATTTTATATATAAAACTATAAAACCAGAAGTTGAAGTAAATGGAATATTATATATTAACGACTAAATTAATTTTTTTACAAAGTTAAGAACCAAAGTTATCAATGCTTACGTAATCTCAGAAATTATAATTGAAATTGGCTCAACAAATGTTACTATTTCTTATATGTAAATATTATAAAAATTATTAAAAGTTCATTAAGTTTTTCAATGCTTAAGTATTTAGAACAGGATAAAGCTGAATAGAATGATAATTACTCTTTTCTCTCTAGATGTAATCTTGATTATTGAAGACTGAAATAATAAAATATTCGACTGTTTTAATAATATATTGCTTTTTTTAATCTATTCACTTATGAAAATAACACATAGATTAAAGAAATAATTCATATCTTTATTTGTTTTTATTGAAATTATTTTAACTTTCGAATATGACATTTGTTATTATTTTTAATTTACGATAAGTTTGTTAAGTATTCAATAATTAAACAAAGATAAAGACACAATTAAAAAGATAACATAAAATCTTCTTTTAAAAGTGGCATTAAAAAAAAAACTAATAATATGAATAATCGATTACGAATGTGATGATGTAAAAGCTTCTACATGAACATTATAGTAAATATAACTTATGAAAACCTTCAGCTATATATTTACAAATGTTGGATCCACTTCGTGGGAAGTGAAATTCCTGAGTTAAAAAAAAAAAAAACCTTGTAACTTTTATATGCAGGTTTGAGCTTAACTCTATTGGCAGTAGTCGTGGGATGCATAAACATATGCCCTCAAATCCGTGAAAGAAAGCTCATCAAAATGAGAGAAAGCTATTTCCAAAAAAATGGTGGTTTATTATTACAACAACAGATTGATTCACATCATGGCTCATCTGAAAGAGCCACAATCTTCACTGTTGAGGAGCTGAAGAAAGCGACCAACAACTATGATGAGGACAGAATCATAGGCAAAGGGGGCCATGGAACAGTATACAAAGGTACATTATCAGATGGCAGAGTTGTTGCCATTAAGAAGTCCATGGTTTCTAACCAAAGTGAGATCGAACAATTCATAAACGAAGTTGTTGTGCTTTCCCAAATCAACCACAGGAATGTTGTCAAACTCGTAGGTTGTTGTTTAGAGACACAGTTTCCCCTACTTGTTTATGAGTTCATCACTAATGGGACCCTTTTTGACCATTTACACATTGAGGGTCAAGCATGTTACAATAACAAACTTTCATGGACAACACGTTTAAGAATTGTAGCAGAAACCGCCGAAGCACTTGCATACTTGCATTCAGCTGTTTCCACGCCAATCATTCATAGGGATGTTAAAACTGCAAATATTCTTCTAGATGAAAATCTCACAGCCAAGGTTTCTGACTTTGGAGCTTCAAAGCTTGTTCCTCTTGATCAAACTCAGTTAACCACTTTGGTGCAAGGAACATTGGGCTACCTTGATCCTGAATACTTCCAAACAAGTCAACTAACTGAGAAGAGTGATGTTTATAGCTTTGGCGTTGTGCTTGCAGAAGTGTTGACAAGTAAGAAGGCACTTTCATTTCTCAGGCCTGAGGTTCAAAGAAACTTGTCTATGTATTTTGTTTCTTCAATTGATGAGGATCGCTTGGATCAAATACTAGACAGTGACATTGTGAGTGATGCAAATGTTGTGTATATAATAGAAGTTGCTAATCTAGCAAAGAGGTGTCTTAGGCTAAAGGGGCAAGAAAGACCAAGCATGAAAGAAGTGGCAATGGAGTTGGAGGGAATAAGGGTCATGGAAAAACATTCATTAGGAGGAGCAAATAATGTGTCCAAAGAAGAGACCGAGTGTTTCCTCAAAGTTGGTTCACCCACTACCAACTTTAATGTTGATTGTGGAGTTGGTAGCAGTAGTAGTAGTGCATTTTCTAGGTTCTATAATATGCAAAACCAGATTTTGGAATCACTAGGTGCTGGACGATAATTGAAGGGCCACAACGTGGATCATGCAGGTTGCAATTTAGGATTTTAAATTCCTTGACCAGCTTGTAAACGTGGATCTAAGAAGCTACAACCTGTAGCATTGAAGTAAACCTGGATTCACCTCCTAACGTAAAGCCAAACATGCTATAAAAAATGCACAAAATAGTCTTGATTTATATTTCTATTCCAAGACATTGTTTAACATGAGTCACTTTTATTTATTTAACATTGTTTTATTTGAGTCCTTTGTTAAGACCAGAGTACCAGTATAATAACACACAACTTAAATAAGAGATGAAAAATAAGAGCCAATAAAGACAACATAAAATTATCACAGAAGAAAAAAAAAATTACACTACTCCTCACTCTTAAATTTACTCCTCAAAATAGGAGACTATTACTACCGAGTACAAGATCTCAGTGTAATATAAAGATGAGAAGGAAAGAAGATTTTGGAATGATTGTTAAGGGACCCTTATGCCTCCTTTTATAAGCCAAAGAGGGTCCCTTCCATTTTAACCCACACGATGTGGGACTTCTATCATTCTCCCACTTGAAGATTATGATTAAGTTAATCATATCTTCACACATTATAATTATATGTTGCTTATATTCTTAATAGGCCATACAAGGATCGACACCATGTAAACTTGTCATTATTCACTGGCTTTGTCATTATCTCTGCTATGTTGTCTTTGGTGTGAATCTTTTGCATATCCACTCTACCTTCCTCTACTACTTCACGAACAAAGTGGTATTGTATACCTATGTGCTTTGTTCTGTAATGAAAGGCTGGATTCTTTGCAATATGCAAAGCACTTTGACTGTCACAATACACAGTAGTAGTCTGCTGTTTGTGCCCAAGTTCCTCCAATAGCCTTTGAATCCAGATTGCTTCCTTGCATGCCTCAGTAGCTGCCATGTATTCAGCTTCTGTAGTAGACAAAGCCACAACAGTCTGCAACTTAGATAACCAGCTTACTGCCCCTCCAGCAAGTGTAAACACATAACCAGTAGTAGATTTCCTTTTATCCAGATCTCCTGCAAAATCTGAATCAACATAGCCTTTCATAATAAATTCTGATCCTTCAAAACATAATGCAACATTAGAGGTTCCTTTTATGTATCTAAGAATCCTCTTTACAACATTCTAATGCTCTCTACCAGGATCTGCCATGTACCTACTGACTACTCCCACTGTTTGTGGTCTAGTACAAATCATGACATACATAAGGCTTCCCACTGCTGATGCATACGGTACTCGAGACATTTCCATCCTCTCTGCTTCATTGCTAGGACACATACTTGAGGATAATTTATAACTGACAGGAAGTGGGGTAGAGATTGGCTTACAATCTTGCATGTTGAAGCGTCGCAAGACTTTCAGTAAATAATTCTTCTGAGAAAGCCAAATCTTTCTATCTTTTCTGTCTCGATAAATTTGCATTCCTAAGATCTTGTTTGCTGATCCCAAGTCCTTCATATCAAACTCCCTAGCTAATTGTGCCTTCAATTCTTGGATTCGATCTTTGCTGGGGCCTACCACCAGCATGTCATCCACATACAACAACAAAATGATGAAATCATTATCACCAAACCTCTTGTAATACGTACAATGGTCTGAACTCAGTCTATTGTATCTGAAGCTAACAATGAAGGAATCAAATCTCTTGTACCAACACCTTGGCGCCTGTTTTAAACCGTACAGAGATTTGGTCAACCTGCAAACCAAGTCTTTCTTTCCTTGTTCTTCAAAACCTTCTGGTTGGAGCATATATATTTTCTCTTCAAGTTCACCATGAAGAAAAGCAGTCTTTACATCTAATTGTTCAAGATGTAAGTCAAACGTAGCACACATAGCCAACACTATTCTGATAGTGGTAAGTCTAACCACTGGAGAAAATATTTCATTGAAATCAATGCCTTCTTTCTGAGCAAATCCTTTAATCACCAGTCTTGCACGATATCGCTCCACTTGATCATTGCCATCACGTTTGATCTTATAAACCCATTTGTTTCTAATGGCTTTTCGACCTTCTGGAAGTGTTACAAGTTTCCATGTCTTGTTTCTATATAAGGCTTCCATTTCTTCCTGCATTGCTGCCATCTACAGAGAAGCATCTGAACTGCTCACAGCCTCTTGAAAGGTTGATGGTTCTCCTTCATTTGTTAGAAGACAATATGCATCGTGGCTTGCCATCACATAGTCTGAGTGCCAGGATGGTCTCCTTATCTCACGTCTTGTTTGTTGAGTTTCTCCATCATTGGTATCATTTGGTTCTTGTTCTCCGTGCTCTTGTTCTGCTTCAGAGTTATCATCTTCTTTAGCCTTCCTTTCTATCACTACTGAAGTAGTGTCTTTGGTAGTACTGTCATCTTTCTGCTCCTTTTGTAGTTCATTTTCTGCAAAGATTACATCTCTGCTAACAACAACCTTGCAGGCAGTGCGATCCCACAAGCGATACCCCTTAACATTGTCAGCATAATCCAATAATATACATTTCCTGGATTTTGGATCCAGTTTTGTTCTTTCTTGGGAATTGTACATCACGTACACAGGACATCCAAACACATGTAATGAAGAATAATTAGGTGGCTTTCCATTCCATATCTCCATTGGTGTCTTTAAACCAATTGTTGTTGATGGTGATCGGTTTATTACATAACAGGCAGTTTTCACTACTTCTGCCCAGAAAGATTTAGCCACTCCTGCTGTTCTTAGCATAGCTCTTGTTCTTTCTAAAAGAGTTCTGTTCATCCGCTCTGCTACACCATTCTGCTGAGGTGTATAAGGCACTATGAATTGCCTTGAAATACCCTATTGCTTGCAAAATGCTAGAAAATCACCATCTACATATTCTCCTCCATTGTCTGTCCTTAAGCACTTAATTCTTTTCCCAGTTTCAAGTTCTACTAGTGCTTTGAATTCCTTGAACACTGGAAACACATCTGACTTCTTCTTGATTGGGTACACCCATAATCTCTTTGAGTGATCATCAATGAATGATACAAAATATTTTGCTCCTCCAATAGATACTTCCGGTGATTCCCATACATCAGAATGAATCAAGTCCAGTATGTGTCTGCTTCTTGTAGTCACGTTGCCAAACTTCAATCTATGCTGCTTACTTGTCACACAGTGCTCACAAAATGGTAAGGTTATCATTTTGAGTCGGGAAAGAGATTACGTTCTGCTAGAATTTTCAGGCCTCGTTCTGACATATGACCAAGTCTACGATGCCACATCATTGTTTCTTCTTCTTGACTAATTGCAACTGATGCATCTGCTTCTTTCAACGTATCTCCCAAAAGCATGTATAAATTGGTTGTGATCTTTTCTGCTTTCATCACCACCAAATTGCCTTTAACCACTTTCAAAATTCCACTTTCAATGTGGATCTTGCAATTGAGGTCATCTAATTGCCCAACGGACAATAAATTCTTTTTCAAGCCCTTCACATGTCGTACCCCTTGAATTGTTCGAACAGTACCATCATGCATTTTCAATTTGACAGTACCAATTCCAGCAATTTCTAGGGCATGATCATTTCCCATGAATACGGATCCTCCCGAGATAGGTTCATAATTGTAAAACCAGTCTCGACATGGAGTCATGTGCCAGGTTGCACTTGAATCCAATATCCAACATTCATGAAGTTGTCTTCCACCTCTAGATTTTATTGCTTCACTATATAAGATTTCACCATCATCTGAGGTACTTGCAACACAACCTTGAGAGGTTGATGCTTTAATATTCTTCCCTCCTCCACTCTTCTTGTTCCAACAATCTTTCTTCTCGTGCCCTCTCTTGCCATAGTTGTAGCATTTGAGGTTCTTCCTTCTCTGAGATTTTGATCTACCATGATTCTGGCTCCCACTAGAACCACGTTCCATTGATCTTCCTCTCATCATCGTCAATGCTTCTGCCTGTTTAGAATTTTCAAGTCTATCTTCTTTATTCTTTCATCTGGATTCTTCTTCAAGAACTGCTCCAACAACATCATCAAAGGATAGACGACCGATAATGTTGTTGTTTGTTATATTGATGATGAGTTGATCATATGAATCTGGTAAACTCTGGAGTAGAAGCTCCGCACGTTCATTTTTTACTATGTTGAAATCTGCGGCTGTAAGCTGAGCAAACAGCGTATTCAGATTGTTGATGTGGTCCGTTACTGATGTGGACTCACTCATTCGAAGAGTGTAGAGTTTCCTCTTCAAGAATATTCTGGTGTGAAGTGACTTGACCTCGTACAACTTGATCAGTGTGTCCCAAATCTCCTTTGCAGTCTTCTTCTCTGCAACACTGGATAACACTGAATCTTCTCGTGCCCTCTCTTGCCATAGTTGTAGCATTTGAGGTTCTTCCTTCTCTGAGATTTTGATCTACCATGATTCTGGCTCCCACTAGAACCACGTTCCATTGATCTTCCTCTCATCATCGTCAATGCTTCTGCCTGTTTAGAATTTTCAAGTCTATCTTCTTTATTCTTTCATCTGGATTCTTCTTCAAGAACTGCTCCAACAACATCATCAAAGGATAGACGACCGATAATGTTGTTGTTTGTTATATTGATGATGAGTTGATCATATGAATCTGGTAAACTCTGGAGTAGAAGCTCCGCACGTTCATTTTTTACTATGTTGAAATCTGCGGCTGTAAGCTGAGCAAACAGCGTATTCAGATTGTTGATGTGGTCCGTTACTGATGTGGACTCACTCATTCGAAGAGTGTAGAGTTTCCTCTTCAAGAATATTCTGGTGTGAAGTGACTTGACCTCGTACAACTTGATCAGTGTGTCCCAAATCTCCTTTGCAGTCTTCTTCTCTGCAACACTGGATAACACTGAATCTGCCAATGCTAAGTGCAAATTGGCAACAACATTGTTATCCATTTCTCTCCATTTTTCTTCTGAAATATCTGCGGGTCTGCCTTCAATTGCATCAAGACAATTGTCTTTCCTCAAAATTGCTCTTATCTTCAATTTCCACAAGGAGAAATTACTCCCATGAAATTTCTCTATCTCATATTTTGCTGCCATAATTTCTCTCTTAATTATACCGACTTATGTAACTTTCACTGTAAATAGTATTACCTACTGGAACAATAATAATGGTAGACTGTGAATAAGTACACACTATATATGCACTTTTACACTACCAAAATTGTATACCCAGTAACAAGAATAATTCTTTTCTGATGTGGCAGATCAGACAATACTGCAACCACAGAGCATACTAAGAATTTTCTCTAGCACTATACCAATGTACACTACAGCGGAATAATATAAACAACCTAGTGGCTCTGATACCACTGTTAAGACCAGAGTACCAGTATAATAACACACAACTTAAATAAGAGATGAAAAATAAGAGCCAATAAAGACAATATAAAATTATCACAGAAGAAAAAAAAATTACACTACTCCTCATTCTTAAATTTACTCCTCAAAATAGGAGACTATTACTACCGAGTACAAGATCTCAGTGTAATACAAAGATGAGAGGGAAAGAAGATTTTGGAATGATTGTTAAGGGACCCTTATGCCTCCTTTTATAAGCCAAAGAGGGTCCCTTCCATTTTAACCCACACGATGTGGGACTTCTATCATCCTTTTTATTTATTTAATTTTTCTGCATTGTTTTTTAGGTCATGTATGATAGAGATGTAATATAAAACTAGAGCTATCAACCCTTGCATTTGCACTAGAAATAAGAGCAACAATTTCCAAACAAAGCACAATCTCCCTGTTTCACAATAAAATTAGACAGGTTTAATATAATGTATAGATTATATATATTCATCTAACAATGTAAATATTCGGATGACATAATATCAGTTTAAGCACTTTGGCTTTTATTTGAAAGAGCCTGTTAGACGTATAGTATAAGATCTTTCCATATATATTTGTCTGTATTATCAATATTTTCAAATCTTTGTTAAGAGATATCTTATTGTTTTACCACAAAACTACAGTAGGTACGAGTTGAAGTGTTTTCATCTAACATATTTAGACACAATTTATTTCATACAATCAATCATCATAATAATTGATTATACATATAATTGGTTTTTAAAATAAAATTTTTTCAGTTCATCAAAACTCACAATCTGGTCAAAACCAACTTTTAAATTGCTTGGCTCAATTTTTTTACTACTTTTTTTAATATAACTTTTATACTTGTTTGCACCCTTAGTTATTTGGACTAAATTGTTTATATTTATTTCGATAGTATATTAAAAAAGAAGAAGCAATTCTGAAGATAGAAAATGTTTGTGACGAGCTCCTTTATATTGTAAATATGTTAAATATAAAAAAAATGAAGGCATAATGAAAGGGTACACTAATAATAGAATATGATAAAAAAAGTAAGAATTTTACTTGTCTTTGTCCATATAAGTGAGTCATTGATACACAAGTGAAGTATTTTTCAAAATAAAAAGAAAAAAGTAAGCTAATTGATGAGGTCGTTTAATTTATAAAGGGCTGAATTAGGCTCACGTAAATTATTAATTCCCAACTTAAAACTCGAAAAATATTCGCCTAATGCAAATCAGCCTGAAATGATACACAGTTTTAATTTTTTCATTATTTTTTTAAAAAATATTTTCTTAACTAATTATTATCTTGAAAATACTTGTTAACATTCGTGTAGATTTTATCATGTAACGGAGAAAACTTGAGTTCGCTAAAATTATGCCATGGTCAAAGCTTAACCATTATTTGCTTTCTCCCAAGATTCCTATCAAGTCCGAAAGTCATTGTTGCTTGCATGCGAAAGAAATGACTTGATCTCAAATTCGTGCAATCGTTGCACCAATAATTAGTAGAAAAATGTTACCTTTCTCAGAAGATAAAAGCCAGCAAGACAACTTCCACAAATTGAAAACCATAATTAGATTGTAGGTTTTTGGTTTAGGATTAGAAAAGATTTTAGTGTTTTATAAATTTTGAAAACCTTAAAATTATCAATTAATAAAAAATTAAACATTACTTTCGTGAATACATTTATGATTATTACAAAATTGATTAAGTAAATACATAATCAGTTTGTATGAGGACTTAGCTTCATAGTAGGATTGAAGAAAAAGAATGTACATCTTGAATAATTTTAAAGTCAAATCGAAAGGCTTAATGGCAGTTCAATGTCGTTTAACCCCTGCCCAGCTAACATAACCCCTTCTCAGAGTATTCCAATGTTGAAGCAGCAACTATTATTTTACTTTTTCCTTTTATTAAATTTTTTTTTTCTATTTAATTTATTCTTTTTGGCTGGTAGGTTATCCAATAAGGGTAAACTTCAAGTATATAAGATGGACTAAATGATGGCCCAACTTGTTAGTTCCCACCGCAGTTAACCAACATGGAAAAGGTGCTTCTAGTTTATTTTCTTCTTTGTTCTTTCGCAATTATCAGATGCTCAGCAACTAATTACATTGTTGGAGATAACTCTGGCTGGGACATTAGCACCAATCTTGATACATGGATAGCAGATAAGAAGTTCAAAGTTGGAGATGCTCTTGGTAAGTATTAAATAGAAATTGAAACTTCAAAGATCTAGTAGATTATGGACTTGCCCAAGTTTTATGTATTGAATTTATAATCTAAACAAAAATTTTATTTGTCTGGGATATGCATAATTTCATTGTTATTGTTAACAACAGTTGAGAATTTTTTTTTTTTTTAGTTTTTCAATATTCATCAGGCCAAAGTGTAGAAGAGGTAACAAAAGAAAACTTCTACACATGCAACACAACCAATGTTTTGGCAACTTATGGGAATGGGAACACAACAGTGCCATTGACGAGAGCTGGGGACAGGTATTTTATATCTGGAAACAAGTTGTATTGCCTTGGAGGGATTAAGCTTCATGTGCATGTAGAAGGTGATGACAAATCACTAGCACCAGCTTTGGCACCTAAGGCTGTGGCTGGATCAGATCAAACGACTTCTACACTTACACACTCTCGATCATCAAAGAAAAACACTCATTTTTCAAAGGGAGCTGTGAACTGTGCAAGGGATGCGCTTCAGTTAGTTTATATTGCTCTTATGGCCACTGTCTATGGGATGCTGAATATTTGAGCATCTGAGGACTACCATAACAGAAACGGATATTACTTCATGTTTTGAATACATTATTTAATTGGAAGGGAAAAAGGAACAGTTTTTCTAGGTTTGAAAGACTCATATACAGCATTCGTTGTACATGATTGTTGAACACAATTAAATGACAGGCACATTCTTATTATTTATGTGTAACAACCTTACCATATTGTCCCCTCATGAAAATGTTATGCCCAAGATTTGAATACGTATTTACTCTGCCTAGTAGGGGTGCTCTTACTTTTCACCTGATACACATTCAGAAATCACCTTCGCTAAGGACATCTGAAAAATGGTGTTTAAAAATGTTTACATTCATGTATAGATATTTTTTAATCATAATATTTATTTGGATTTAAAAAATAATTTTAAAAAACCCACGTTTCCTTGTGAGTAATGAGAGTGGTACAACATTACGCCGAAGCACTCTTCACGTGTTATTGTACAAGCCACACAATGATTCAGTCTACGTAGGATCTGATTGTTTTAGCACTCATGGGTCATGACACCTAACTTGATCAATATACTAGTCCAATCAGCTAAATGGTGAGTTGATTGTGTTCTCCTAAATTGTCCTATTCTTGATTAAACATTGGAGTAGTATGGCAGATAATCAATCTTTAAAATCAACATCAAACTCAAATTTTGAAGACTCAAATGATAAGACATGATGATTTCCAAGCATTGCCACTTAGAGCAGCACAGAAAGCAACAGCAAAACTGATTATTTCATCAGAGATATATGCAAAATCCATTTAAAAGCTTAAACATAAACCAATTTTAAAGCAACAAAGTAATGACCTAGAGAATGAATCAGCTAGTCAAGGATCCCCCAATTGCTCCCTACCGTTGCAAAAGCATCAGATGATGAACTAAGCAGAAGCTGTCTTCTTTTGCTGGAAAATGACTGCATAGACAGGAACTGCAACACCAATGCTGAAGGCAGTGAACACAGCAAGGGACATCTTCAATTTCTGGTGTTTCATCCTGTCCAAGTTGTACATGTGTTTGGCATGAATATAATAAGGTTCATCATGGCCATGTCCACCTCCCATCCTTTTCAAGCCAGTGGAATGAAATCCTCTGCTCACTGTCAAAACATAAAATTGTTGTCATTTATCACAGGGTTTGTAAACTGATGAAAATTGTCTTCCATAGGCCAAAAGTTTATTGAACATTGTAATAAACGACTCGTCAAAAGTTTATGTAAATCTCAAATGACAACATGACAAGCATGATAAAGGTGTAGGTAACGGATGATCCAGGAAATAGATGGCACTAAAGTCAATAGAAATCTTAGAAATTTCCTATAAAGTTAGTGATATTTAGAATTCAAAACCTGATGCTTGGTAGTGAAAATAGCGTGAGTTTAATTGGATAAGAATCACTTGTATCTGAACTGAAAACACATTTTAACAAAATAAAATAAAATCCACACACACAAGCAAAGGGTTAACGCTACCCAATTGGGAAGCATGTGTCAAGCCAAGTTGTTGAGGCAAAACAAAAAGTTTGCGCCTTTAAGACATTCCCCCGCAACAAACATTGGAATATGGGCATTTGAGAATGATGTGTTGATTTCAACGACCAAAACCCCATAATAGTGACAGAGAATCACAAAGAAGATAATTGGTTTATGGTAGGAGAGAAATTACCTGATGCTGAGTTCGAGAGAAGAGATTGAGAAGAAGGAAATAGCTTTGCCGCAGATCTGAACGCCATGGCAGAAGATTCAACACAAAATTCACCTTTTCCTCTCCCACTCTGTTTATAATATTTTAATTTCTTACACTTGTCACTATGCCATTAATTACATCAAAACTCCATAATTATTAGCCACAATTCAATTACATAAGGGCAAATGTATCAACTTTATATACTTTGCAAATTAAACTTTTATATTTAGGTTTAATTGTACCTTCTTATTCGGGTGGGATTTTAGTTTGTTTAGTTTTAATAGCTTATATTTAATTTTAAATGTTTAAATTAAGTCTTTTATTTAATAATTATAAAAATATAATATTTACTAATTTATACAGATAAATAAAATTAGGGCAGTTGTATTTTCAAACTGATGTGAAAAGATAAAGGTTATCCCAAAATCAATTTATTGCTGTGGAAAGTCGAACATAGTAGATTGTTAACTAACTTAGAGAGATAGAATAAGAGTATGACTGATATTTTCATTTGTCTTAAGTGTGAGACTAGTTGTGAATCTATAATTCATATTTTTTGTGATTGTTTTTATGCATAAGATGTTTGGAACCATTTCATATTTTCTAATAACTGGTCTGTTCTTTTTAGTTGTAATGTTGATAATTGGATGAAATATAATCTGTTCAGCAATCATCATAACAAGTTCTCTATGTGAAATAGACTATTTTTCTTTATTATCTAATTCATTTGGAATAATAGAAATTTCATTATTTTTCAGAATACCTCTACTTCTTCTTACCAATTAGTTGGAAGGATTATGCATGAATTTAACTTCTTTAATTGTTGATTTAATCATTCTTTTCACTCTATCTTTGGTTTAGTGGTCAAGCAAACTCAAGTTAAATGGAACCCTCCCAGATATGGACATCTTAAACTTAATGTGGATGGATCAGTCCAGCCTAATAAACGGATTGCTGGGTATGACGGTCTTATTAGGGATGATTGGGAAAGTTTTATTGCTGGTTTCCATGGTAATACCCACTGTTGTCCTCCCTTAGTTGCAGAGTTATGGGCCTTTTATTAGGGTCTGCATCTGGTCATACAAAAGCAAATGTAATGCATATGGATTGAAGGGGACTCTAAATATGTTCTTCAACGTGTTTTGAATGTTCCATCTACCTATCATCCTTTCTTTTCCCTGCTTTCTTATATCAAATTTTTATTGGAAAAAATTCAATTTGTTAAATTTAATTTTGTTCGTAGGAAAGCTAATCAATGTGCTGATTGACTTGCTAAGTATGAAGTTGAGAGTTGTGATTCTTATGTTTGTATTAATGACCCTCATTTCCCTCTTTTTCCTTTCCTCTATTTAGATGCTTCTGGCTCCAGAAGTGTTAGACTTTAGGTTTCTTGTTTTGTTAGGCATCTAGCCCCTTGTAATAACAAAAAATAAAAAATAAAAATATTTAAATATAAATAGAAAATATAATAAAAGGCTTAATTTTAAGATAAATGACTTAATTTTAGCATTTAAAAAATTAGATCAACTAAATATAAACAATTTAAATTAAAAAGACAAAAATTGCACATATCTCAAATGCAATTATACTTTACATTTATTACACTAGTATTTTTAATTTTATATTTAAATATTAGCTTTTTAAATTTAAATAAATTTTACAAGTAAAAAATATAAATACTTTATTTTATTATATAAAAATAAAATAGAAAGATAAAAATAAATTTAAAATATAAAAATATTTAAGATATAACATATTATCTTTATAAAAATAATTTGTCAAATTTTACTTTTAAAATTCAATTTTAAATTACGATCTATGAAAACTTCGATAAAAAATAAAATAAAAAATCCACAAGCCACAAAAATTTAAGCAATAGTAGGAAACAAGAGTGAAAGACACGTGTTTATGAGGTCATATTTTTTTTTATAAAATAAAATTTAAAATCGAAAATATTAAAAAAGCATTTTTAATTGCTATAATGTATAATAATTTAATAATTAAAATTACAGATAAGTATTAATATTTTTAATGTATAAAAATGTGAATACGCAAAAAATTAAGTACTTAATAAAAATGTCATATAATTTAGCAAGAAAGCTAATAATTCTTAAAAATCTTCTATTAAAAAATAAATGTTCAGATTTATAATATAAAAGCAGGATATAGAAAGTTAAATGTGATTAATTTATATAATGTAGTCACAGTAATTAATATAGTATACAAATTAGATTTTTTTATAACAGTAATCAATATTTTTAATTTTTTTTAAAATATTTTCTCCTAACACATCTATTCAGTTTTAAAAAAAACAACTAAATCTATCCACTGACACGTTAAAAATACAGTAATTGACATGGGGATAACACTAACTACTAGTTATGATATACGAGAATATTTATATTTATGCTTGCAATAATTTTTATATTTGTTGTTTGCTCTAATTAATAGAATTAAAAATTACCTCTCTTATCAAGATTGCTCTAATGCAAAAATTTATTTTTTATGCAACCGTGTTTTTGTTTCTAAAATAAATCTCAAGAGGAATAAATATTTTTGTAAATTCTGTTTATAACATAAAGCAGTTTAAATTAATTAATAATGAAAATTTATTATTTCATTCAAAAATTATATTTTTTTTAACGAAAGTAGTTCTATACGTGTCACTTAATATTTAATAGAGAAAATTTAAGAGATACTAAATATTAACTTTTTAATATTTTTTAAAATTAAATTTTAATAAAAATTTTATAAAGACTTATCACAGTATATTGTGTTAATTTTATAGAAACTAAAAATATAATTAAACTTAATATAAAGTAGTTTAAATTAATTAATAATAAAAAAATTATTACTTCACTAAAAAATTCATATAATTATTTGATATATAAAATATTATTTTTGTTGTTCGAGTTAGATGTTTTTGGGCAAGTGGAGATAGGATATTACTAATATGTCTTTTTTTCTTTCCCTACAAAAAGACATACTTAACAAAATGTGATTAACTAATAAAATAATATTAAATTAAATTTTTAAATAAAAATAATATGTTAATATCAACACTAGATTGATATAATATAATATATTAATAAATAATTTGATTAATATAAGATATTGACATGTATTATTAATTTAGATCTTCAAACTTTATATTAATAATTTTTTTTTATCAAATATAGATTATATATCCTAATCAAAATAGTCCTAGTGCGTGACAAAATTTATGTTAGCAAATAGAAACATTATTTTTAGTGATAGAAAATGAACAACATAGGAACTTGTACTACTGGTACTGGGAAATTGTGGTGCTCTTTCGTACTTGCACACCTTAGTGTACTACAACATTGGAATTGTACTGACACCATTTTCTTTGTTTATATTAGCCAAATAGCCATGCAAGGAAGAGGTTGACCTTTCTCCAAAATCCACACTCCGACCACACGCCTCAGAAGACATGGCTTCATTGGGTGGTACGTATTGCCCAAACTCTTTCCTTATGCACTCTTTTTCCTTCACATTTTCTTCCTCCAATTTGACTAGTTAGTGTTTGCTTAGCAGGGTTCCAAACTGTAAGCGGCATCAATGTGCTTATCAAAGAGGTATGTTTTCATAACAAAGTCTAAGTGTGATTGCATTGTCTACATCTTTTGTTCATCTGCATGCTGAAGGTTTTTTGCATGTATACTTGTTATACTTAAATCTCGATATTTCTCACATAACTATAATGTTATTTTAATTGAAATCCTTATTCTTATGCGTGATTCTGGTTTTGACAAGCAACACATACGATTGATGTTTGTTGGGCACGATAGAACACATTTATAAGTGAAACTGAGAGTAGATTGCCAGTGGGAACTAGCAGCTAGAAGGAGGATTTCGTGCCAAAGTTTAATATGGTCTAATTTGAATAAAGTTTTAAAAAAGTTCCTTTTAAATACTTGAAATTTAATAATAATCAGAATCAGTTCAGATCTTTTAAAACAAGTATCATAACTTATTTTATGTTAATTATTGATGAATATATATATACATTAATAGTTTCACTTTAAAGAATTAAATTATACTTTCAAATCTAAGTATATATGTTAAGAAACATAGTTTGCAAAAAGAAAAACAGAAATAATTGAATAAAAGATAAAATTATATTGAATAGAGTAATACTAAAAGAATAAGTTATACGATAAATAATATGGTTTATACAATCAATTAATTTTTTATTTAATATCATTAATCTCTAATTAAATTTTATATATTTAACAATTTTTTAGGGTAAAAAGTGTGTAATAACACATCTACTTTAGAATAAACGACATAAATGTACGTAAAAGAAAAGACATAATAAACATTGCATAAAATATATTAGTAAAAATGAAAATTATTAAATTAACAAATCAAGAATATTTGTTTAACTACTATAAAAGATAGAAGCCAATTATACTTAATTAGTAAATAAAAATTTCACTCATTATTATCACTATATAAAAGCTTCACTTATTATTTAATTGTCTAACAAAAGTAAGCATCATTATTAATAATAATAAACAATTTAGCCACTCAAGTAGAAGATACTCTTAGTTTATAAAGGTAAAGTCATATGAAAAAACAAATAAAGAACTGAATCACCCAATACTTGGTGTGCAAAAAGGAACAAAGATAAACATACCACAAATGTGACCATGAATAAGGTTAATAAAACTTTATTATCTACAGCAAGAAGAGAGATAACAATAACAAAAATCATCTTTTCTTTGTTTGAAGCAAGAAGTGAAAAATGTAACTATGTAGGAAGTATCAATCTGAAATCAAAGAAAGACTTATGATGGTGACAACAATCTATGCACAAAGCTTCACTAAGGTCAATTGTTGCCTGGGTGACCAACAAAGAAGAAGGCCTCGAAAGAAAAAGGAAGAAATAACAAGAACATATTAGGATTTGATCTTGATGCATTTCTTGATTAGTGGAGTGGAGTCCTTCGACTCGGTTAAGACCTCATATGCGTCATGTCGAATTGCTGGGGTAGATGATTCTTCCATCTTCAAACCCATCCTCATTTACTATCGTTGCCCTCTTTCTCTCTTCAGACATAGGGCAGCTCCAAGACAATGACCTTTTGAATTTTGAAAACTAGTGTGACATGATACTAATCAACCTAACTACTTCACTAACTGAATTCAAAGGCAACAAGATGTTTCCATTGAAGGAGAAAGACACACGATTCCAAGCACCATTGGATCGATCACGAGACCTCAGAATGAGAAAAAGATAGAAAATTTTTGAGGTGGGAATTAGAATTTGTGTGCATCAGGTCAATTTAGAAATGAATAAATGAGAAGGAAAAATAGAAAACACAATTTATGTTGAAACAAAGTAGAAGAAATTAGAGGTGTGTGAAACAAAGGGTGAAAATGAGGAAAACTTAAAGGAAATGAGGTTAAAAGACCTTTGTTTTCAGTGATTAGCAGTAACGAATTTAGAAACCATTCAAAGGGGCCAAAAGAAAATAAATTTAATATACCACTAATTTTTGTATTTAAGAAGAATGATTGCTTAGAGTTGAAATTTTTTTTGAAATGTGATGATAGAAATTAAAAGAAAATATATATATAAAAAAATAAGATTTTCACTTGTCTTATTAGAGAAACTTTCAAGTTCAACTCTCAATATAGAAAGTAAAGAGTGAACTAATGTAGTAATATTGCTGAGTATGATACAATAATGAATTAAGAAAAATTGTACTCAAATATCTAATTTTTTTATTAATTTCTTAAAGTTAATATTAACGTTTCCTATACTGGCAATTAGAAATTTCTTCTCAAGGTGGGATCACTCTAATATCATATTAAAAAATATTATTTATAAGAAGAAAAAAAAAGTTAAGTAAAAAATAAATATATTAACTAAAATGGTCACAAAAGGATGAATTATCAAATGAATAACACGACTAACTAATTTTCTATTTAATATAACTATCTTTTACTATATAAAAGGAGAGATACGTAAAATTAACACACAATTACACTATAACCAATTTTATGAGATTTTAATATACACTTAAAAAATGAACAAAAACTAACATTGAAGTTTCTAATGACTTGTAAATTATTATTTTCAAATTTTACAACCTGAAGAGACTAAATCTCATAATTGATAAACTGCAAGTTTGGATTGTCGCTCACCTCTTACCTTAGAATTATGTAGCATGAAAAGAAAAAAAATGTGCTCAAATTTGACAGCCAATACATCTTTTTGAGTATTAATGGCTGCAAGTAATGGATTCTAACTTCCTTGACATAAATTATATTTGTCATAATATATATTTCACCTTTTAATATGTTTGATAGGTGGGAGTAATACATGTTAGCCAATTAAAAATTTAAATCTCCTCTCCTTGTCCTTTTCAGGTTTTAATAATTTTTTTAAGATCTTAAAGCAAAAAAAAAAAAAAACATTTTGATTTTATATTTAATAAAGTTGTTAAAATGGATTTAATTTTGTTAATTGATTTATTTATCATGATTTAAAGTATGAGCTGTTTAGATATATAACTTTGACATTAGTTAGTCGACAACATATTAAAAGGTATATAACTACGACAAGTCTTTTTAAAATAGAATATGTCATTATAAATAATGTTATAAGTTTTTTACATAAGAGTTTTTAGTTACCTTTTTTTATAGGAGTTTTATGAAATAGCTTGCAATTTTAAGAACTTAGTGTAATGTGTGTGTGTCACGTCGCATGTTTGTGTCAATGTTACTTAAGACATGTCTAGTTTTCCTTTTCTTTTATTTTAAGAAAGCATGTTGTACACTGCAGGGTCCCAAAGTCAATGCAAAGTTTGAGCTAAAGCCGCCACCGTATCCACTAGTAAGATATTCATTTTTAAGTTAGATTTCATTGTAATTTTTCAAGTGGAGCTATGCTTCTAATCACACATCGTTATATCAATTTCAATTTTACATTCTACTGAAACTATGGTTAGTCTTAATGTAGAAAATAAACTTAAAATTGAATCAATTTCAATTTTATGTTCATCCTATCTTATAAAACCCAGTGTAGCTATTAAGAGAATTTCAAATGCAGAAAAGTACAACAATATTTTGATAATGAAAAATTTCAGAATGCTTTGGAGCCGGTTATGAGCCAGAATACACTTGAGTTTCATTGGGGGAAGCACCACAGAGCTTATGTGGAAAATCTGAAAAAGCAAGTTGTTGGGACAGAGCTTGATGGGAAGTCACTAGAGGAAATTATAGTTACATCATACAATAAGGGTGATATTCTTCCAGCTTTCAACAATGCAGCACAGGTTTGCATGCTTGTAACCAGAAAATCTCATTCAAGTTTCAAAACCATGGCATAGTAATCTTGTTATGCTCACTGCAGGTTTGGAACCATGACTTCTTTTGGGAGTGCATGAAACCAGGTGGTGGTGGAAAGCCATCAGGGGAACTTCAAGAACTCATTGAAAGAGACTTTGGTTCATTTGAAAAATTTCTTGATGAATTTAAGACTGCGGCTGCAACACAATTTGGTTCAGGGTGGGCTTGGCTTGCATGTGAGTGACAACCCTTCAGAGGATTACTAAGAACATATTCTCTAATACATTCCTTTTAATATACCGGTTAAAATTTATTGAAAAATGCACAAGTATCAATTAAAATTGTTAAGTTTTAGGTAATTATGCTAGGGAGTATAGTAGTAGCATTTCTCTAACCGTTAATAGCTTTCTCTCCCATTTTGTGGCTTAATTTTGTGATATCTGTTAGTATATCTGGCTAATCATAACCATTAGCTTTGGTTACCCCTCTAGTTCATTCTTCTTTTATTGATTAAATATAGTTAAAGCAAGCAAGCTTGATGCGAGCAATGCAGCAAATCCTCCATCAGATGAGGACAATAAGCTAATCGTGCTCAAGAGTCCCAATGCTGTGAATCCCCTTGTTTGGGGAGGTTATTATGTAAGTAGAAAGAAACTATAGTAATAATATTCATTATTCATTACTTGTCTTATATGGTAATTGGGTCTATTGAGTTTCATTTCCCTGATAAATTCTTATGTGATTTCATATTAATTTCTTGCAGCCACTCCTTACAATTGACGTTTGGGAGGTATCTATTACTCAAATTTGCATTCTGTTTGTTATTTGATGAAAGAATTTGCACATGCAAGCTTTGTAACATTCACTAATAACATATTGCTGACTTTGTAATATTTTTTTTTCATTTTTGTGCAGCATGCTTACTACCTTGATTTTCAGGTGACATGTTGCTCCATGCATTAAATAGTTGTTATAATACTATCTCTTAGAGTTGTATCGAATTTAACTATATGACTTTTTTATATTATATTTTTTCCAGAATCGGCGCCCTGATTATATATCAGTGTTCATGGATAAGCTTGTTTCCTGGGATGCGGTTAGCTCTAGACTTGAAGAAGCCAAGGCTTTAATTGGCATTGCATGAAGCTGAATTGAATGCAGAATAAGTGATTTATCCTCATAGTGATGCTGAATTGGATGCGCAATGAATTGATTATTTTTATGTCTATGCACTATAGATAGGTGTGGTAAAAGGGTTAATCACTTCATCCTGCAGATTATGTTCTATGGTTAGAAATCCTAGTTATGGTTCTCTTTTTTACTGCGTGAATAATAAGTTTGTTTATGCATAAACAAACAGTAAAATAATACTATGATGGAGAACTTGATGTTTTTTACATAACTTCTATGATGTTTAAATAACACATTTTTATTCAAAATACATATATGCTTTGAATGCATATGTCAAGATTACTGATTTTTTTTATTTGATATTATATTTAATATTATATATAATAAAACGCTATTTTTAATTTTTAATCATATATATATATATGTATTTAAAAAATAATTTCTAAAATTAAAAGGATTAAGTTTCACACGCACAAAAATTATATCTAAATAATTTCTAATCGTCGAAAATGTATTTACTTAATTAAATATAATCGGTCATAAAATATGGTTCCCTTTGTTCATATAGATAGATATACTGAAACTATGGAATCCTTTATAATTATGGGGATAAAAATTAATTTAAAATAATATTTTAAAAATAATAAAAATTATAATCAAATATTTTTTCTACGCTTTCTTCCCATCTTTATTATATATTGAATAATGTTAACAACATATTTTCTGCTACACTCTTTATAACACATTTTTTATTATTAGTTAAAATTTATTAAAATTTAAAAAAATCTTGTATGTTTCCTAAATTAATGTTTCTTTCTTATATTTTTTTAATTTTCAATAAATTTTAACTAATAATGAGAAGTGTGTTGTTAATATTCTTTTTATATTTTTTTTCATTTTTCTCATATTTCTTTTACATCGACAGATTTTTTTAAAAATTTTTTTTTGTGGTTCAAAGTGCAGCTTAGTATTTTAGTAATTATAGAAAATAGATATTATGTACCATTTTTAGCACTACACTTTACATATAAATTCTAAACATTTATCTTTCACTCATTGTTATTTTTAAGGTGAAAATCTTTTGATTAATGAATATAAAAGTGTAAAAAAGATGAAAAAATAATATGGCAAAAGATCATGTTTCACATTTTAGTAAAGAGTTTATTATTTGAAGTTCTCAAAATTAATAATATATAATATCACATATCATTGTTTTTATTTAATTTTATACACACATTTATAAAATATAATGTGTTCAGGACCTTAAAATAAGAAAAGGTTTTTCGACGTATATTTAGGTTTAGTTTGATTATTTTTTTTTAGAAATGTATTACTTTTAAAGAGAGAAGTTATATATATATATATATATATATATATATATATATATATATATATTTATTTATTTATATATTTATTTATTTATTTATTTATTCTCTAATAAGGTCTTGTGGTGAAGTTTACCAAAATCTATGTAACATCAAAAGCTAAAACAATCTTACCGGTCCCTTGGCTCCATCCACAACTCGGGGAAGTGGAATGGATTCAATTTCTGTTCTCACAAAAGATCCAGGAATTCACTTTCATGTTGCTCAATTCACTGTTATTTAATTTGTGACTTTCTTCACTCACTTGCCACTCTAACAAGACTTTGGTTTATAGTAATCTTATGAACGATTTAGTATGATATATAATTGGTGGAAACTAAAATTCTATCAATAAAGGGCCCTGAATAAAGGTGTTAAATTGGATATTAGTTTCAATATACTATTATAGGAAAACAGACATTTGATGATTCAGTATAATGTGAGGTGTTGGATGGTAACTACCAAATCTAGAATGAACTAATGAGCTTAACACTGAAGCTGTGGTCCAAGTGAAAAATATAATTGTAGATCATACAAGAGCTGTTATATGTATGCTTTCAAAGTAAGAAAAAAAAAAACATTAAGTTTATCATGAATTAGAGACTAAAAGTTCATCCCAAATAATATCCATGTCTAAAGAGGGCATTCTACTTAACTGAACAGCCTCCGCATCTGATATCTCATGGTGTGCACTTTTGCTCCTGTCAGTTACCTCAGCTCCAACCCTGTTCTCTATATCAAATTGCCACTCCTTCATGGTTGAATCCTTGCCATTTACATTTTTCAATTTACCATTCTCATCACTGTTCTTGCTGTTTGACCCTCCAGGAGAATCAGATGGCTTCCTATGAGAAGACACACCTTGTGATATTGCTTGTAGTTTTGCCTCCACAAGTGCAGCAGTGGTTCCATTAAGAGAATTGGCCTTAATTACATGCTTTAGATCTGGAAAGTTCAATTGAGCATAATCTCCTCTAAGTATGTATGCTGCTGTGTCATATGCAATGGCAGCATCTTCAGCTGTGTCAAAGGTACCTAACCAAACTCTTGTCCTGTTTCTTGGTAATCTAATCTCTGCTACCCATTTGCCCCAATGTCTCTGCCTCACACCTTTAAACGACTTGCCTCTTCCAGCATACTTCAGAGGCTGAGTCCTAGTGGTACTCAACCAATTGTCACTGAAGGCCTTGGACTGTGGATTTGTTAGATTCTTGCTCTTCTTGTGTGAATCATTACCTGCTTGATATTGCTGGGTTTGGCCAAACTGTGACACATGATATGAGGGGTTTGAAGTTGTTGATATGACTTCACCACCTTTGATATGTGAGGATGATGAGTATAGCATGGAGGGTTCCTGCAAAAACAAAGTCAAGTTTGGAAATTTGGGTATGGCAGAAGAAGAAGAAGAAGCTAAAGAAGTTGCTGGCTCATCAAAAACAGGTGACATGGTTAATGCTGGGAGAGTTTCCAAAAGGTTTAGAGGAATAGAGCTATGTTTTGTATCTGAGGCTTGGAAGATAGAATTGGATCCAGAGATGGATTGGTTTTTCTCTTTCCCATTCTTGATGTCTTCATGACCATTGAACTTTGCAGGGATGTGACTAATCAAAGTGGCTAAAGGCACCTCTTCTTTCATTGAAGTAGAATGTGAACATGAAAGAAACTTTTCAGTTGCTGCTATTGGTGAGTTTACCCCACTTTGAACATGATGAGAAGCCGTGAGAGTGTGGGAAACTCTTATCTTAGCATCGTCCAAAAACTTTGATCTTGTTGCCATTTATTGCATACAAGTTGGAAATTCCTTTTGGGTGAAGTTTTCCTTCTTGGGAAATATATCCTTCTTATAGATCCTTCAGACGGTAAGTTTGAGATAAAATACTGATGGATAGAAATGATTAAAATGCAGGCATTACAATAAATACATTTCCTTGGGGTTAAGGAACATCTCATATTGACAGGTATCAGTTAAAGCTTATTATTATAATAGTAAAGGAACCTACTTTGTGTTTCATTAGGAATTTGTTATGGCTTCAATTAGGTATATTTCTTTATTAGGATTCCATTTTCTCCTTACTATTTATGCTTGTATTGTATAACATTATTTTCCTTCACAACCAATCGGAATCAGACAGCTCAAACTTTTTTTGGATCAGCTGTCTTACAGGATGCAAAGCATGGAGAATTGACATTCTTTTCATGACAGCAACTTACTTAATCTAAGACCTTGGTGTTCATGTTTTGTAATTATGTGGAGTATTACTATTTTCTTCTCATTAATAGTCATGTGATTTTGTTGAACACCCCCACATGCTGTATTATTCTCTTCACTGTGCTAATGTAATTTAATGAAGACAGCCAATGCACCAATGACACAATTTTTGTTTTTTGTCACTGATACATTTCATAGACAATAAGCATGATAAGAGATGTAAATTTATAAAAATAGATAACCACTTATCCACTAGTTGAAATGTCTTCCTAATCACCAAGTTAGGTGGCAAACTACATAATTTTTCTTCGTTAAAATGCATTGATTTTGGAAGGCTTAGCGGTGCAGGTAATTAACAAAGGTTTATTATCTGTTCTCTTGTGCGTGTGTGGAGAACAAAGGTTTATTATCTATATTATCATGTACATGAATATTATATTTTTCAAAGATTTAATTTTAATATCCTTTGTGTTAGTTTTATGAAGTCATTGCTACCTTTTCCAGGTTTAGTATTAAACAAATGGCCAAAGAGAATGACCACAACAAAGGTATGTACTTTATGTATTTTCTTTTCAGCCCACCCTTCAATGTCTTTTGAGAACGGCTTAAAGACACTGAAAACGCCTCTAATGGTAGATGCAAAAATGAAAGTGTAGCGGAAGCTAATGGCAGTATCCACCTCCAAATTTGAGGCTATAATGATTAGAACTGAAGTGGGATTCATTGCTCTAATTTTAAGCCATTCCATTTGTTTCATGCCACATGGCATGACCAACCTAAGGAAGTAAACACCATTTTTTAAATGCTTGTATGTGAGACAGATTCTTGGCATCTTTCACTCTGCATGTAACTTTTTATAACACTTTATACCATTTACAATAGGTTCATTCAATAGTGCAGCTGTTTTCCCAATTACTTTATAATAAACATGCACATGGTTCTGACCAAGAAAGAATGTGATGTATACCACAAACTAAATTGTTAAGTAAAATAAACAGGACAGGAGGTCATGCATCAGATGTTGCTTTTGTTAGCTGTCAACTTTTCCCACATCAAGTATGATTCCTAATTCCTTGCCTTGTTTTGAACCTCAACATGATAATCAAGAACAGATTAATTAAAAACGAACCTCTTCCACATCATCTTTGTCTAAACTGAGGACCATTCTTGCTGTTCACCTAGTTTATTGAAATAAAGATTTAGCTTGGTTGTATCACATAACAAAGTATTAATGCTCACATCTTAAGGAAATAACTAGTTTTATAAGTTACTATGATAAATTAAATTAATTTTCCTAAATATCTCTATTAAAAGTGTTCAATTTATTGTAGTAGTTAGGTTATAAATAATCTTAGAGTTTTTTTAGTAGTTAGTTGACTTAATGAAAAAGGGTATTATTGAAAAAATAATAAAGACTTTCTTGATATTCTAAAGTGAAAAATTGAAACAAAAAAAAATGTTTAAATGACATCTAATATGAGATAAGGAAGTATCATATTTTTAATTTTGTGTTAATATAAAATTTAAAATAAATATACAAAATAAAGAAACAAGGAATATTTGAAATGTTTATGCATCCTCGTCAATCACTCCCTTCACTATTGCCTTATTGAAGGCACAAATCATACTTCAATCTGAATTTAACGTTTTAAGCATACACAAGCTAGAGCTTCTTTGACTATGTAAGAATCGTTAACCCTTATCATCGCCTCAATCTCTTCTAAGTTAAAAAGTTTCAGTACAATATATGACTAAAACTCTAAATATGCTCGAAACTTGCTAATTTTTAAGTGATTTACAGCCTGCTTAAAAATCTATCAAAACTCAGTTTACATGAAAACTGAAGCAAGTTTTTGTGAGAAGTTAGAATTTGTTTATTCTGTGGAAACACACATTTTTTTTTTGTATCCAAACAAGCTCTTAATGGATAGTTATTTAATTTCCATCGTTTACTTTTTCAACGCAAGCATTCATATACAAAGGTATAATCAAGTCAAAATTTAATAGATATTATAATCCACATTTTTTTGTAAGCACACTTATATGTCTTTTTATATAACACTAGTGCTGGTGTATGAAATATAAAGGGCCTATGCTACAGGAGGATATGTTAACTTGCACCACTACCCTATGATCCGTCTATTAAAATTTATTATGTAGTGGGTCATAAGTTTTATTTTATTTTTTCTTAGTCAATAGTGGGTCACAAGTTAAATATTACAAGATGTATTTAGAAAATAAAGCATCCCAAAAGGATATATCCAATCTTCACATAACTTCTGAAATCAAATTGTTGTAGTTGAGATCATATGGGTTTCAATGGCTGAATGTTAAACCTCATTAATTCACTCAAAGATTTTGGATTTAATTCACATTGGTTGGGTTTTATTACTATATCACTTGCAACTTTTTCTACAAGTTATCACAAAATAACTTGTAGCTGGCATGCCTTTTACTTAAGAATATAAGAGAATCTCGTACCAAGCTCCTAAATTTCGATTCCACAAAAAAGAAAAAGAGTTTCATTGAAAATATCAATACATTAGCAACCACTCCGATCCATTTGATGGAAAAACGTCACCTTTTTTACTTTTGGTAGTCCACTATACGGTATGTTGTAGAATTCATGAACCACTCTGAGAAGGATATTCTTGAACTATGGACAATAATTAATTACCAGTTAATGTATTGAAAAAGATAGATCGATTTCCAACAAGAAAACGTCATAGTAAAGGTGAAAAAGAAAAAGAAAGCAAGAAGATAATACTAAAAGAATAATAGAATTACGTCAACCTGAGTACCTTTGTCAAATGATTCTGTTTTATCTTTTTATCCAGCACATATACCTCTTTCAATCTTGAAAGAATATGATATAGTTTTGTCACCCAGGATACAGAATTTATTTCTAATTTAAGTCTCGTGGTACAAATGTATGGGCAAATGCATGAACCCTTCGCTTTCATATAATAAAATTTGTCTATCATATTTAAATGTGACAAGCTTGATCGTGAAACACAATATGCAATTATGTTTATGATAATTTTTCTTATTTTCTTCAAAATGATCCAGGCATGTCAAGCATGTCTATGCTATTGCTATTGCTATGTATTCCTCAGCCATAAAACCATGAAATATTTTCTTTCAAAATTTTAATTAATTTATTCCCATATCTTTTGTTTTTACAGTATAGAAACATTAAATAAATGGAGTTACTCTTTTAGACTTTTGCCTTAAACTCAAGCTTTTGGCAAACAATTTCATAAAAATTATAGTTATTACCATAGTTAATTAGCATTAATTATAGCCTTCTAATTCAAGAATGCTGGCAAAGTGCTCTAACTCTTTTTATTTTATTTTTATCTTTTTCAGTCTATAAGAAGACTCGTGGAAGGTTTTATAAGGGGGGAGGAATAAAAGAATGAAAAAAGATGAAGTGCATTGTGAATCATTAAACTTACACTAATAATTAATGTTTCATCACATAATTAATTGAGCTGAGGGACAAAATTCTCTAACACTCTCAATGAAAAAATTGATATACTAGAATTTAGATCCTGACATTAGTTCTTGAAAAAGATTTGAAATTGCCTACAAATCTTTGAAAACAAAGTTATATTTTTTTAATAATTATTAACAAAACAGGAATTAAAAAGAATATAAATAGACCCTCAATTATAGTACATTAAACATACATGAACACACATTTCTAGTGATGATGACAAGCTTGGGTGGCCATTGAAAGAAACATCTCCCTCTTTTCCTTGAAATACTCAACTGTTTGTTCATGAAGTGGGAGATTGTGTTTAATAGTAGTAATTTCCAAGAAATTGCACACCCAAGAGTGAAGGTAAGGAAAGGCTTCAGCAGTGATGAACTTGACTCCAACCACATCTTCCATGGCCACTAAAGTATGTGCAACCCATCCTAAGGCAAGGTCTGCCAATCCAATTGTGTTGCCACCCATGAATTTCTTTTCACCAAGCCCACTTTCATTTTCTATGACTCTCAAAGTTTCCCAAGTCTCTTTCATTGCCCCCTCTTGTAGTTCTCCATCGTACCGAAAAAATTTCATCATGTGCATTGTCTGCAATAAAAACAAGTTATGAAATTGAAAGTTGTAACTTTAGTCAAGATAACAATTGAATTATTATTATTATTTAAATAATAAGTGAAATATATAATCGGTGTTTATTTAATTCTTTCAATTTTTGTCACTACAATTAATGAAGGCAAATAACATGCTTAGCATTTTGTTATTTGAGTGTCCATATTTTCAGCATTTGGGCTTTGATATATTCATTGTGACTATTATAATATATTTAAATGTGGTAAAAGAGATGAGATATATGTAATAACTAATAAGTGTTATAAAAAGTGTTTTCTTATAGTGAGATTATTTTTGTTTATTTGAAAAATAAAAAATGGACAAAAAGTGTGATCGATTAATTTGTAACGATAGTTTTCACTTTTCAATTAAATTGTATTAAGTATATCTTTTTTAAAAAGCAATATCAAGTGGAAATGTCTCTTTTCTATAGTAAATTATTACAAATATAGAAAATTCAGTAAGGAGTACTCTTGTTCATATTTTCTTAGAGAAGAACAAAATTTTAAAAATTCTTAATATCAACCCTTAAGGATCATTTTAAACATTGAAAAGTAGTAAATTTTTATTAATAAATGTTTTTAACAAAAAATAAGTGTAATAAATAGTTTTTAATAAAAATTATTATTATTTATGCTTATAATCAACTTTTAAGGGTACTGTTAACAAATTCAAATTTGAAAAAAATGCAAGAACATGACATGGTATAGTCATATTAACAAATTAAAATTATTTTGGTATACAAGTATTGGTAAATATAATTGAAAATACACGATAAATATATGTGATAAAAAAAAATATACAAAAAGGTTCTAACAAGTAACTGTTTGGACAAAGTTGAAAACTTTGTTCTACTAAAATTGAAATAATTACCTTCTTAAAAATGTCTGGAGATATGGGGTTTTTCGTTGAAAGCTTTACAAACAAGCCTCAAGAAATATCAAACTAAATACTTTTTATGTCTAAGAGTTGATGTTTATTTCATCATCATTGGGAATGGTTGTTTGTTTCTAATGTTTATGACTTCTTAAAAAAGAACGGTTTGAGAAAAATGGAAAACATATTACAAAAGTTTGCATATTTAATTCTCACCTTTTGATCGATGAATTTTGACCAAAAACGAACATAGGATCGCTGGTGAGGATCTTGGGGCAATAGAGGGATTTGAGGCTATGTCTCATCAATGTATTCAAGAATCAGCATTGACTCTGATATTGGTTTTCCATTATGTACAAGAACTGGAACCTTCTTGTAGATTGGATTGTATTGCAATAAAAGGTTGCTCTTGTTAACAAGATCTTCACCAATGTACTCATAAGTCACACCCTTCAATTTTAGTGCCCAAACAACCTCTGGGTAAATGGACTTGACCACAAACCAAACACCTTTACATCCTCCATCATTGATTGCTTTAATGTTTTAATGAATGTTTTATGTGGTGCATGAATAATGTTTTATCTTGGCACTTCTAGTTTTATATAGCTGAAATGAGGAAAATTCGTGGTTCTAGTTATTACCCAAGAAAAGTTTGAGACGCAAGATGAATAATCAAACATACGCGGGGGCCAAGGATGAAAAACTTGACTGTCATAAAATCATACACTTGATTGAACTGAAAAGGTAGATTAGGAGTTTAACACTTGTGTTTTTGTTGCCATTATGTTTTATTTGGAAACAAGGAAGAGGTCATTGGCAAATACGAAACAGTGTTATGTACTATGCATATTTTGTCATATTTAATTATTTATTAAGTATTAATCTGTTATGATAATTAAATGATTGAATTAAAATGGATTAAATTTTGTTAAAGATTTTACTAATTAAGTATATTAGCTTTTTTTTTATATAAATAAAAGTAAAAAACATTCTTTCCATTTTAAGATAAAGGCATGCCTCTAACATCAATAATGATTTTGGAAGTTAATTTCTATCAATTGATTTCTATTTGAGAAGTTTATATAATTATAGATAGTATTTATGATAAATATTTTAAATTGTGCTTCCTTTTTTTTTTTTTTTTCATATTTACACAAACTGTTCAACGTCCAAGTATTATATCCCAAGTGGCTACTATTTGACAATGGTTTAGCTACAGAACAGTTGTGGTTTAGTTCCAATTTGGCAATGGAGTAGTTACAAAGTAATTAGCATCACAACTTTTTTATTACAATTAGCATCACATTTGATAATGAATAAGATACGGATTAGCAAGGACATGGTCAACTTAACCTGGCAATAGCTACAGATTGAGTTACGAAATTTCATAGCGAAATTGAAAACCTTTGAAAAATTTCCGTGTGAATTTGCTGCAGAAGTTTTGTGGTTGTTTAATGTTTATGTCTGGCTAGTTACCGAGTATCAGTAGAGTATGCTACGACAAGAAGGGTGATTTATAGAATTAAAATAACAATGTCATATGAGAGGATAAATTTCCATGTTATTATTATATTGTTTTCCATCCTAAATAATAGACGATTATACTTCTATATAAATAATCATATGCTAGCTTGAAGGGTTAATTCATAAAAGCTTATGAAAATGCACCCTTAATTAGTACAAAGAGGCCATCTTAATTGTTTTCTAGTTTAAATTAAACTTCCTTTTAATACGAATCCAACTCACAATTGTAACAACCAAAATCCTATCTTTCATAGAATCAACAAACTGGAAATAGGCAGGCCTCCAAGATTCCTTCGTTACTAAGCTGCAACAAACAGCCCAAAATCCCAAAATGTAGCCAAGTCCTATACTCAAATAGAACCATAACTTATCATGAAAAGTGTCTAAATTTGGGGTCTTCATCAACATGATCTAAATACTAAGTGGGCAAAGGCATTCCACAAAGGGTGTAGATTACCCTCATAGATGGAAGGATCTGTTAAAGTATGGAACTGATTTGCATTTGGTATTTCACCAGACAAGTGGTTACAGGACAAGTTCAAATGGCCCAAGAATGTCAAGGAAGCCATGCTAGGAGGTATTGCACCTGAGAGATGGTTCCTAGAAAGGCCAAGGCTCCAATTGTTGTAGGGCTCCCATATTTGCTGGTATGCCTCCACTCAAGTGGTTATAAGACAAGTTCAAGGAAACCAAGTATGAAAGCTGTGTTGATGTTTGTGGGATCTCCCCGGATAGATGATTGCTAGCAAGATCAGCAAGATTAATTACATGCATTTCTTCTGTGTATTCCATTGATCTTCCTTTCACATGCAAGTCAATGTGCTCAGAGTACTGTACAGGATTATCCGAGCGGATTTTGCCAACATAATAAGCACTTAGTTCTTTGAAACCTTTCATATTGCCTAAGCATGGAATTTATTAGTTCCTCCTATGACAGAACATATTAGACAAAAAATAGAAAGAATAAAAAACATGATAAAATCTATGGTGTCTTGATTGAAGGGGTATAAAGTGCCCTCTTTTAAGAGTATTAAATTTATTTTATATTTAAGGTTTAAAAAAATCATTTACTCATCAATTCTTAAAATATTTTTTAATCATTATTTCTAAATGGTTCTTTGATTTAAAATTTAGAAATTACTATTATTTTGTAATTTCTTCTTCTCAAATTTAAAATAAGATTCCAAACTTTATTTTCTTCTCTATAAGAGCAATGATTTCCAAACATCATATTGGTAAAATAGATATGTGCCATCAAATTAGTTCTTTGATGTAGGAAAGATATGATCCTTTGTCCTGGAAAGAAATGTGCAATCTAAGATCAATGCAAGTATACAATTATTCACACATTTGTGAGTTTTCACGTCCAACCTGTAGCATCTGTAAATATGCATGAATCTTCTTCATTCATTAACCATCACAAATCTTATTTTAATGTGTGAATTTCAACATAATGCATACAGAAGAATGGGGCATAAGATATAGTTGAATGAGGTGGCAAATATAGGAATAGTTCTTAAATCACCATTTATACTGTTCCTCCTTCGAAAAACTTTTGTTCATGATATTATGAAAAATTTTGAAACTTTGAGAAATTAAAAAAAATTAAAAATTTTGAAGCTTTGATTAATCATTACTAGTTGTAAGGATTAAGGTATGCAGAAGTCATTATCCGATCCTCTATTTTTAGTTTTTTACTTTTCAAACTTTGAATCTAAAGAAGAAGGCATATAATACCCTTCAAATGTGCAGTTACTTTTTCATTATTTAAGTTTGGAACATAGGATTGGGATGGATCCAGATTTTCTCATTTTTTGACACCAATTGCAACTTGGAGTTAGGCCATTTTTTGTATTTTTGCTCAAGCAAAAATGTAAAAATAGCCTAACTACAGGCTACAGTTGCTGCCGGAAATTTGTGTCTGGATTGGGACTTTTGAAACCTTGTTTGTTTTCATTATGTTGTGTGCCCTGAGGGAAAGCTCTAGCATGAATTATCCTTTTAAGATACCCCTTTATAATAGAATGGGGTTTTCAGTAAAATAGTCTCTTTATAAAATTTGAGATTAAAAAAAATAAAATAATATATATATATATATATATATATATATATATATATATATATTGTTTGCATTAAAAATGGGTGAAATTAAAAAACCAAAGAGTGTCTATTTTGTTTTCTCTGCATATTAAAAATTACCTTAGCATACTTTGTTCTGTTTTAAAACATGTTGAGTTTATTGCTGTTTAGCTTTATTTTTATATCTTTTTAAAATCTCTCAAATTATTAATTAATTGTAAATTCTCTCTTTACTCTAAAATAATTTGTACTCAAATTTTAAGTTTTTGTTAGTTTAAACCACAAGTATCTATATACATTCATAAGAACTTAAAATCAAGTTCATAAGTTAAGAATGACTGACTCCTCTCTCAGGTTACTCAAATTTAGTAACTCATGCTCCTCACATTCAGTGAAACTCTTACTTGTTGCCGCAAAAATTATATTTTCCAGTTTTGAAGTTGTGCTAAATTTTAATTTCTTTGACCAGATATTTTTAGGAAATGTGATGTTTTTTTTATTAATTATTACTATTTAATAACCTTGAAATCATTTACATTTGAAAAGGTGTCATTTGTTGCTTTTTTGGACCGGTGTATAGGCAAAACTAACACATCAAGCGACTAAATTATTTTAAACCTTTATTTACCCAAAATGCACACATTAAAATATCTAATTTTAATTAAAATATTAAAAAAAAAATATTCGTCAATCCCTAATAGCCCATTGACTTAATAGCAATTTTAATCTTGTGCATTAATTTATATATAATTTTAGTCCTAATTTTAATTGCACATTTAATTTTCACAAATTTTTTATTGGTTCAAATTACAACCTTCCCCAAAGGATTTAGTCAGAAAAATTTGAGCCTATGATCTTCCCTTCCATCCTGATAAAGGAAAATTTACATACAGAAAAAATTTATATACAACAAAGGATTTCATGAAGTACACTATCTTTTTATTTTTAATTTACACTGAATTCTATCTCAAGGTTCTTCCAAATTTAAAAGATTTGAGCTTGGATTCTTCCTTGCTGTCATTGTGTGGAAGCCTTAGGGCTTCAGAATTTCTTGTTTTGCATTTGGAAAAAGTACAAGGTGGTCCTCATTCCTCTGCCCAGTCAGATTGCGAGATTTATATAGATCATGTTCCAAAGTTGTTTCTGTTCTCACAGCTTCAACCCCTTGGAAATTTGAATTGGTGACCGAATGGGGGGGATTGACATGATGTCAAGTTGTTCCATTCTCATAAAACAATCAACTGAACTTTGCATGCCTGTATAGGCAAGGTTTGTCTAGTCATTATCATAATCATCTACTTGAAGCACACTTGAGAGTGCCGACACCCACTTCTGCAAGCCATTGGATGCATCCTTTTTCACCAATACTTCTAATTTGCCAATAGCCTGTCTTGATACTCCATATCTCAGCAAAAGAATTCCAAGTGATCTAAAACTACAATCATCAACCTGAATGGAAGCTCTTACCATCTGCTTTAAAGTCTCTATCGCCTCCTTGGATCTCCCAGCACTAGCATACAGGTCAAGCACATTATTGTAACTTAACGAATCTGTCAAGAGTCCCATTTTTCTCATCTGCTTTGAAATTTGAATGGCTTCATCAAACCTTTGAATTTTCTTAAATAAACATAGCATCATTGCAAATGTAAACTCATTTGCAGCTCCATTTTTCTTTAAGGCCTCAAATATCACTTTTGCTTGATCAACCATAGATCGCTTAACATAAAGATTGATCATGCAATTTGAAGAATATACAGTTGGACCTTCTTCCGATGATTGGAGCAACTTGTATGCTTCTTGTGCTTTTTTCAGGTTGTCAATTCTTGTATACAGCTTGATCAAAGAATTATATATAACCGTATTACCTGGCAAGCCAGCTTTTTTCATTTCATCAACATAACTGATGGCTTCTTTAACCCTTCCAACATCAGAAAAAGCATTTATCAATATGCCATAAACTATAACATCAGGCTGCACACCATGTCCAATCATTTCCTTGTATATACCGTCAGCCATTTCCAATTGGCCTAATTTTACAAAGCTGGAAATCACAACATAATATGGGATGCAATCACTCACTAGTCCTGCCTCCTGCATTTTTTTCAGGTAAGCTTTGGCAATATGCGGCTGGTCAGCACTGGCCAAAATTTGTATGATAGAACTAAAGCTGCATCTGTCTGCAACTACACCATGTTTCTCCATAATATCAAACAAGTGGCATGCTTTCTCATAGCATTTCCCTATGCCATAAGCTTTAATCATCACATTGAACTCGAGAACACTGAGACTCTTCCTTTCTTGGCACCAAATGAAAACTTTCTCAGCTTCCAAAGTGCGCCCATGCTCACCGTATGCATCAATGTTGGCAGCATAGCACTCGGATGTCATATTGCCAGCTAGATGAAACCTCTGAAACCATAACATGGACCGTTCAATCATTCCTGCTTCTATGTACATCCTAGTCAAAGCAGACTGGGTATATTGATCAATTTCAAGGCCCCTCTCATCCATCTCTGTTACAAGCTCTTCTGCTTCATGAACCATTTTCCTTATCGAGTATGCATACAAGAGGGTACGGTAACTCACAAGATCTGGCTCAAGGCAGGCATCCTTCATTGTTATAAAATATTTTGTCGCCATATCTATATCATCATGCTTAGCATAAAGAGCTATGAGAATATTATATGTCCTTGTGTTAGGTGAGCGTCGAAGCTCTTCCATTTTTTGGAGAAGCAAACTTACTTCCTCTAAGTGTCCATGGTTTCCACAAATGTGAATCATTGTATTGAATGTCACTGTGGTTGGTGATACGCCTTGTTTAAGCATCACAACAAAAGTTTCAGATGCTTCTTTAAGTTGACCAGCTTTTCCATACATATCAATCAAGGTGTTGTATGAATGTGAGCTTAAAGACGCATTAGCATTGGGCAACCTCTCATCCAATTCTGGAGAATCCACCATGTTATTTTTGCTTCTCAACGGTTTACCTAATGACCACTTTCTGAAAAACTCTTCAGCTTTCTGAAACTCTCCTGCTTTCTTGTACAATTGAACCACAATCACCACAGTGACCTCATCAGGCTCCATCCCTTGTCTTAACATCATATCAAGCCACAAAAGTGCGTCTTCTCTAAGTCCACCTTTGCTATAAACATCAATCAAGGTGCCGTAAGTGGAATTAGTGGCACCAACGGCTCTTGCATTCATCTCATTCCACAAACTCTCCACACAGCCCCACTGGCGTGCCTTACCAAGGGTCCTAAGCATAATGTTATAATGAATCACATTCAACTCATGACCCTTCTTGTTGAACCACTGAAAAATCTCCAAAGCTCTATCCCACCTCAATTGCTCCTTCAAAATGATGCTCCTTTCCTTGTTGTTAAGCCTCTCTTCCCACGGCTTCAGAGCCTCATCCACGTCACGAACCGTGTCCAAGGCTTTTAGAATCGCTGGAATGCATCCACCATAAGATGACCATTTCGTCGAACACTTGGCGTGCACTGTCTCCGTTTTGCTCTTTCTGAGAACCCCATCATCTGAATTCTTCTCAAGACCCCGTTTCTTCAAGTGGGTCTCTTGCTTCTTAACGGTGCTGGTTCCGTTATGAAGCGGTAGTCTCTGTTTTCTGTTTGTGTGGGTAAAGTGTTCTGCTTTCTCTGATGGAGAAGCATTGTTTCCGTTTGCGAATAAGGGAGTGTGGGGGTACAAGAGTTGCAGCTTCACAAACATTTCTACCAACAGAAAGAATGAGACTTCGCCGTTGCTTCAACGTCACTCACCACATGAGATATCAAAGTTCGGTCATTGCTGACTTTGGTCTTTCAGTTTCGACGGGTCAGCGAAACTGTTTGCTTCAAGTTTTATAGGATCGAATTAGTTTTAGGCTTAAATATTATATTTGTCTCTACGTAGCTTATTTTATAATTAGTTCTTAAAAATATTTTTGTTAAAAATAATTAATTTAAGAATTAGTCTTTATTATTAATTCTCTCTGTTAAATATTAAGTTAATTAATAGAAAAATAGCCTAATACTCTACATGCATGTTACATTATTTATCTTTTACTTAAAATAAATATTTATAAATAAGTCTTTAAATATATTTTATATAATTTCGTATATCTTTTAAATTTATTTTTTTTTCCTGTACTTTTTTTTACTTTTTTTCTTACGCCTTTTTTGAGCATTTTTTTTTTCAATTCTATTCCTTCTCCTTCTCCTACAACCTCCTCTCTTACCTCTTCTTTTTTCTCACTCTCTTACTTTCCCCTACTTGTTCAAGTTAAAATATTGAGTTGTCATACAATATTGATATCCTGATTTTGTTTCTAGATTGGATTATTTTGCTTAAATTTAACTTGTTTTATATCAAAATTTATATAATGATTTTTTGGAAAGAATATGTAAGCATGAAGTAATGGGCACATTTGCCCCTAGTGTGCTTTATTAGGTATATGCTGAATTTTTATCACTTGCTTCCCCACCTTCACCTGCAAAAATTGGCATTCTGGCAACTCAACACGCAGCGAATTATTGAATTATAGGTAATTGCATCTGGGGTGCAACCACTCAAGCTCATATCTTCTACTAGATCCATAGTAGATTTTTAATGACCCCTTTTACACAAGCCACCAATCACTATGTTGTAAGTAATTATATCAGGAACACCACTAGACATAACCATTACATTCATTATTTTGCAAGCTTTATCTATCAGACCATTTTTGATAAAACCTCGAATCAAATTTGCACAAGAAAGGAAATTGGGTATTTGACTTTTGAGTGCCATAATATCAATCAACTTTGCCGCAACCAGTAACCTTCTTCGACTACAGAGCTTCTAAAGAATTTTATTGTTGGTCATCTCATCATTTTAGATAAACGGTCTTTTTGTTTATAAACTTGTTTGAATCTACTAGTTCCATGGATTTTCCCCTTTCATCGTCATAATCACTTCCAAAGCCCCAATCTTCATGGTCAATCTCATTAACTCTATCAATTAAAATATTTTCCTAAAATCTTCGACAATAAAATCCTTTCTCCGAAAAAAAATATTTAGGTGGACAAAAGTAATTGCTAAAACAAATTTGGTATAGGGTAGGTGATTTTTTTCTTGAACTATGATCCAAAGCAGAACTAGCACCTAAAAAACAGCTCTCTTGTTTGTTACAGCCGTGCAAACCATTCAAAGAATGAAAGTTAAAAATATTATTTTATAGTGTAGCCATATACCCCATCTTTATTGCTTAGATATACTAATCGTACTCTCTCAAGCCACAAAGGAAGGTGGAGCTCTCAGAAAACGATAAGGAAAATAATCTGCAAAGTTATACTAATGCCGACAACCCCTTCCCTTCCCTTCCCTACTCTAGTGAGATATATGATTTTGTTTTGGGCTAAAGGAGAGAGAAACTAACCTAAAAAATGAAACGAGTAAAGTGGATAAATACCGATTTACAAATATATAAGATATGTTTAAGAACTTATTTGTAAATATTTATTTTAAATAATAAAAAATAAAAAATAAAAAATAAATGATATCACATATCACGTGACGCCACATGAAGTGCTGAGCTGACTCTCTATTTTCCAGCTCAACACTTAACAAAAATAGTTAATGACAGGAACTAATTTTTAAATTACTAACTTTAGAATGACTACTTTCTAACAAAATTATTTTTAAGGACTAATCACAAAATAACCTATATTTATAGGATCAATAATATATTTAAGTCTTAGTTTTATAATCTTAAGTTACTTTTACTAGGATGTGTTTGGAGTACGACAAAAAAAATATAAAAAAATAATTTATAAGATAAATTTAAGTTTTCTATGATTTGACTATTTATCTATTTTAAGGCAATTTTTAAAACAATTTACTAACAAGCATAAGAAAATATTTATTTGTTTGAAGTAACTTTTATATCACGATAAATTAATTTGTGAGTTCATTATTTTTTTTACTTGTATTTTAATATTTAAGTTAGTAGAAATTTAATTAAAGTAAAAGTATGGGATAATAGGATAATATATTTAGATTAAATGAATATTTTTAAATATAAGTATCATTTGTTACGATGAATTTTACGATAGATACATTTAACATTATAATCATATTAGTATAAAAGTGTGTCTCAAGTTTGTACGATTTGTATGAGGTGGGTAATAAAATTTACATAGTATAATATATACGATTACAGTGTTGAATGATTAATTCTGTATAATAACAAATTATATTATAAAAATGAAATCATTCTATCTAATTTAAATTACTTTTAATAAAATTAGATTAAATTAAAATGAATCAACATTTATAATTACTTTTTTATTAGGTATGATTAATAATTCCTTTTAGCACAATTAAATTTTTGCATTGTAAAATTCGTGGTTGGCTTTTTAGTTTCAAATTAATTTTCAATTTAATGAGCGAGTTTCTTTGAAACTATATTTTTTATGACAAATTAAAAATCATTTTTAATTAATATTTTATTGAATTTAGTGAATTGAGAAAATAAAATAGTTAAATGATATGAATATTTGAACGTCCATGTTCAGAACATGCAGTGATCATCTTTGAATTTGCTTGCCTGTTAAGTCTTCATAAGACATTCACTCCAGTAGCAGCTTCCTAAAACTTTCATCTTTAGGGAAAATGGAAATATTCGATAATCGCATTGACAAATGAAGTATTTATTTATTAGTTAAAAAGTTAATGAATCTTTTATTAAAAATATAATAAAAGAGTTTTATTTACTTCAACTCTTAAAGTTGAGGTATAGTAAAATTTTATTAAAAAAAATATTTATATTATTTTATAATTTTAATATAATAACTATATATTTTTTATAAAAAAATTTTATCTGTGAATATTTAAACTGGCTGAAGTTAACAAAACTTATAATAAAAATGTATTAAAATAGCAAAAGTGTGTTTATAATAGCTTTTTTATAAATTATTTCTTAATTATTAGCTACCAGTTTGTGATGCAAGCACTTACGACCCCGATTTACCATAAGATGCTTATTATATTCCATACCCCTTTTCGATTATCAAACACCAAAATTTCTGTAAGAGATTATTCAATTCAAGCAAAAGTGTTGTGCCAACCAAAACAAGAACTCGTTGTCAAAGGACATGGCCCACAAAAAGCAAATAAGGATGAAGGAAACTTCGTACCTATACTATGTATTCTGTCGAAGTACAATGTTTATTCAGTTTGACAATTAATTTGTTAATATATTATTTAATTTCTGAGATTTGAGGTTGTTGAAAACCCAATTATATAAACAGGGTATTGTATTGTTGGCTTAGGAAAACACAAATTAGGATGGCAGAGGTTAAGTTACATGGATTTTGGTATAGTCCCTTTACTATGAGGGTGGTATGGGCCCTAAAGTTGAAGGGCATATCATATGAGAACATAGAGGAAGACCGTTTCAACAAGAGTCCTCAACTTCTTCAACACAACCCAGTTCACAAGAAGACTCCTGTGCTCGTTCATGGTGGAAAACCCATTTGTGAATCCATGATCATTGTTGAATACATTGATGAGATATGGCCACACAATCCATTGCTTCCTGTTGATCCTTATGAGAGAGCTTTGGCACGTTTTTGGGTCAGATATGCTGAAGACATGGTACAATGTTTTTTAATACTTAATCCTGTGCATTTTTCTAGCCTTTATTAGCTTGATTACAGTTTGTTTTCAATTTACCTTAAAATAATTTAGTTAGAATTAGTAAAACAAGGTGGACAACAAGTATTAGTGGGTTAGGCTATACAAATTTAATTCAATTTGTGTTCAAAATTTGAAGTTCAAATCCTAATTGAACCTGCTCTGAATTTAACTAATTCACTCGTGTGTTTTTCCCTAATCACTTTCTATGTATTAATTAATTGAAGTAACAATTTTATTGGGTTCAATCTTTAAAGGTTTCTTCTACACTTGCGCCATTCTTCCGTAGCAACAATGGTGAAGAGCGAAAGAAGGTCATAGAGAAGATATGGCAGTATTTCAGAGTGGTTGAGGATCAGTGCTTAGATCATCAAGAAAAATATCTTGGGGGGAACACTATTAACGTTGTGGACATAGCTTTTGGATCTGCAGTCAAATTTATTTTGGCTTTGGAAGCAATGTTTGAAGTGGAAGTCTTAGAAGCTCAAAAATTCCCTCGCTTGCATTCATGGTTTTATAATTTTAAGAATGTCCCACTAATTGCAGAAAACCTACCTGATCAGGAGAAACTGGTTACTTTTCTTAAGCCTCTTAGAGAAAAAATGTTAGCATCTTCCTAAACAAAACAGTAGTATTTATAAGGTGATATATAAATAAAGCATTTGTATCTTTCTGAGTCATCTTAATTTACATATTTCCTTATGTTACCTATCTTTGTTTTGGTTTACTTATTGTAACTGTGGAAGTAAAAGTTTAAGCTAATAGTATTTACTTTTATATTAAATGAAGATTCCTTTAAATTAATGCTCTGGAATCTCCAATATCAAATAGTAAGCTAGCTTTGCAATCTTTTCTTTTTCTTTTTGGGTCTTGCTTTTAACTAACTGACTTCTTTATAAGCACTCAAACTTGATCCAAGCTATGTGAAATATTGCATCAATCAGCTAATAATGGCATCTCCAACCCCTATTTGATGAGAGGAAATGTTTTTGACTTGGACAAAATGTGAATTGGACTACTCTGATCCCGTTTGCAGCAATATTAATTTTTAAGGAACATGCAGCTAGTTAGATAAAGCAAACGGTAACGAAGCAACAAAAAAGAATCCAGTACCCTTTTCCCCTTAAATATTTTCTGAATATACAATTCACGACACAATTTTATTCATACACCAATACCAACGTTTACCTACACAGATTTTTTTTAATTCATTTTTGATCTCTATACTTATATTCAATCTAGTACCTAAACAAGAACAGTTTTCAATTCAGTCATCATTAACTATTATTGGTTTTTAGCATCATTTGTAGAAATTGTCCCATATTAAGTAAGACCGTCAATACTTCTCATCATCCCTATACATAACAGTTAAGTTTCAATTTAGTTCCTGTTTTCATAGCATCTTCATGCAAATCTCAGAGTCTTAAAACAAGAATCTTTATGCAAAAATTGTTACCGTAACACAAGGAGACATGATTCTCACTCTAAGGAATGTATTGCACAACATTACATACCAATTCAATTAATTACTGACCTCCTTGTGCCTTGCAAATTCTTCATCCTCAGCATCACTTCGTTCCCAAGCTAATTTCATGATTTCATTAATAAATCTTTGTTTAAGACCCTAATAAGTTGGTGGTGGTGGGCTATCTTCATATCGAATTTCCATGTCTTGCTCATGAGGCTGGTCCATTTCTTAAAGTACAAATTAAAAATTATTATTTTATTTACATTAATCTGATTTATTGTTACAATAGGCTGAATTATTAATTGCCTTGGGGGAGAGAGCCTGCATAATCCTCAGCCTTGGAGTTCACTTTGACCATTCTCAAGATAAGTGAAACCATACATACTATGTGTAATATAATTGATGCCAAGTTAGAGGTTTATTGTTATTTTGACATTATTTAATAAATAGAGTATGTAGTATGATATACATGTTAAAATAAAATAGTCAAATGAAGTACCGACTAAGGTGTAATATTTAATCACTAATTATTAATATATTGAGAAAAACAACAGTTAATAATCTGTACTAATTAGTGAGAAAATCTGCAACTTGATTACACTCCCTCAAAACGGTAGTTGTGGTTACACATGGCCTAGTGCTGGTGATCATCATGCCTCAACAAAGACATTAACGTTGCTCAGTGTCCCATAAAGCCTTGGATAGCATACGAGAAAGGTTGAAAAGATTGCATATTATGGCCACAGGGTACAACTTCTAGTGAATTGGACTTAACAATTGATAAGATCAGAAGAAAGTTGTTGGGTTGCATTGTTATACTTAACAAGAAAAGAAAGACATATTTCGTGAGAATTAACTTTAAGAAAATGTTTATTTTTAAGAAAATATCTTTTAAAAAATAATAAATAATTAAGTTAAGGAAAATCACATGAGCTAAATTCATGATAATAAATAAAGAGTATAATAAAAATAAAATTCAGCACTAGTACAAATGGGTAGGTTGAAAGAGAAACCATGAGAAGTCCAAGTTTGTGTGGTTGTGGCTTTGGTGTTTGGTTCGACCCAACATTTCCTTTGGTAGGACACAGCTACCCAACTACATATCTAAATCAGAAACAACATCTAAATCCCATGTCAATGGTTTGGTTTGGAATTGTGGTAGGCTCTGTAGCAACCCAACCAGTCCCTGCCCATTGGGCTGTCACAAGATTTTGCTTTTCTGAAAAGTGCTTTTATTGAAAAAACAAAGTATATTACCAAGAAATGATTGGTTAAATAATTGTTACAACGAAATCCATATTTTCTCGACAAAAAATGCACACTAATTAATAAGTATAAAGATAATTAAGCCCATAACCAATATGATTGGACAAAATGCAAAATGATACTAATTCGTCATATACAAAAACTGAATTACGAAGCCTAACATGATTTCTATTAAGTAAACATAATTTTTCCCTCTCTCCTTTTTTTTTATTATAACCTTTTTCTCCTTTAGTTAATTATTTGACTAAGAAAAATATTAGCAACACATTCTTAGTTTCTGTGGTCTCATTCTTTTCCAATTTTAATTTAACAATTCTCTCTTACACTTTTATAATTTTAATAAGTTTTTAATTAATAATTAAGACTGTATTAAAAATAATGTGTTAAAAATCATTAATTAACTAATCACGTATTATCACGTCTATTCGTCTAAAATTTGTACCATTCCTCTTCCGACAATATAACAGGGGGCTCATAAGATTGCAAAGAAACAAACTTTTAGGAATGCAACTAGTTTAAATTTAATTGATAGGATTTCGGGCTTAACCTTAACACTAGTACATTTTAATTGTTAGCCTAGGTATATAATTTTTTTCCAATTCACTGGAGGATTAAATACTTAATATCACCACAGTCAGATCTTATCAGTTATCACATACACTACTACTACAAGGAGGAGCTGAAACCTTGATAATTTGTCTTCTTGAATCCAATAGGAACCAACCCATTTATCCTTAATTTGTCAACAAAAAACAAAATACTAAGAAGACAATTATCAAATAAGATAAGGTATAGTTATTGTCATTTTGCTTTTGGGATGTTACAGCAATAGTGAATGGTAAATGGAGAAAATGCAGATTATTAATAATATGTTGTACTTCGTTGGAACTTAGGTGTAGTGAGTTAGAGAGGAGGGCCGGCAAAGAGACTCAAAAAAAGGTTACACCCCACTCACTCCAATTTCCAACTGTAAGTGAATAAGCTGTCTTTAGTGTCTACCCTTGGATTTTCAGAATCTTGTTGTCACTGTGTATGTTGTCTACCAAAAATCTTTTATATATATATTCTAAAATTCCAAAACCCATCATTGTTTGGTACCTCCAAATTTTCACCCTCAAAAAGTTTTCAACTGTCTTTCAAACAAAACTCTGTGCCAGCTTCTCTCTCATCCTGTTTTGAGAACCCTGTGAGTGGTGGTGACCTTTACTCAATCACTGACACCCATTTGCCAAAAAGATACAAACTTTTGGTTCCTGCAATCCCAAAAATCACTCTTTAGTCTTTTCCTTTCCACCCCACAATTTCATTGTCATTGCTCTCCACAACACTAGTTTTGTTTGGCTTGGTTTGAAGGGTCTTAATGGTGGTGAAGATGATGAGATGGCCTCCATGGCCTCCTCTCTCTTCCAAGAAATTTGAAGCACTTGTCATTGTGCAAAGGCTTGAAGGGTCATCAAGTTTGAAGAAACATGTGGAGGTGAGGTCCTTGGTGGTTGAAATCAAGTGGAAAGGTCAAAAAGGTGTGGCCTTGAGTTCATTGAAGCGTTCCTCCACCAAGAGAAATTTCACCAGAGAAGAAGTGGGTCTGAGTGATTCAGGGGTAGTTGAATGGAACCAGGAATTTAGAAATGTGTGCACCTTTAATGGTTACAAGGAGAACGTGTTTTATCCATGGGAAGTTATGTTCACACTCTCCAATGTGAGTTGAGTTACTGATTAAATTTATAATAATATCCGCTGTTTTCTTATCTTACACTAGTCTATATTATTCATTTCAATTTTCAATTATAATATTAGTCCCCTTTTTGGTTGTTACATACACATGGACTTTGAATAATTGAACTGACTATGCATATTGAAATTTCTTCCTCGTATCTTCTTAATTTTTTTAAATCATGGGGCGTGTAGTTTTTTGTTCTTCTTAGGGTTTCTTTTGGCATTAAGGAGGATCATTGGTTTGTCCAAGTTTTAACGAGTAAGAACACTGATGTGCCTTTCTTAGTTTTGGAGGTGTTTCAGCACTGAAGAATTCTTTGATGCCGTTGGCTACAATTGGAATTTATTTGGGTAGGGGAGTAGGGCACGCTTGTTCTTTAGACATTCCTTGCTTGCACACTTACCAATCATGATCAGGTTTTGGAAAATTCTAGTAATTTTTGTGTGAAATCAATTCCATACTTGCACTACCCCTTTTGCTGAAGAAGGGGTTGTTCAGAATGAAAAGAGGAAATAAAAAGAAAAGAAAAGAAAAATTCTTCAAATCAAATAATTTTATCTAGAACAATTTGTCATTGAATTTGTTATCCAATTTTAAGATTAATTAAATGAAGTCATCCTTCGTAACACACTGGTTGTCTTGTCTTCCCAAATACAGACATTCATGTTCGATATTTGAAAACATTTGTTATTATTTTTAACTTTTTAATTAGAAATGAAATATTGTAGTACTTAAAAATGAAAGCATTTTATTAAGTAATATGAACTTTCTCTTTTAATTAAAGATTTATATTTTTATGTTAATTTTATATTTCGTATAAAATGATCGTGTCATCCCATATAATTTAAAAAATGTATCTATATCTACATTTATATTCTTGTCTCGTGCTGTAAGAGAATTAATTCCCTTAAATGCACGAGGATATATGAGAATATGCCCTTAAGATTGCTGGCTCTTGACTCAAAAGTTGTCACGAAAAAACCTTTACAGAACCAATAAGGACAAAAGATATACTTCAAAAGTTTAGAAGAATGGAAATGTTCTATATTAGAATTTTCTAGGCAGTAAAGTTTTCTGATTAGTTGTTGATATTACCTATTTATGGACAAATGAAATTGTGGAACACGAAATAATTTGATGTGCCATGAAGCACATGAAATGTTTTCTTGGCCGGTAGCGTGTTCTTGTCCTCTGATTACACTCTGATCTTTTTCTAAAGGATATTACAAACCAGTGCCCTAATGCTCAAGAAACTAATAAATAGTACTTTTTTTTTTATTGAATATTACATTGAAATGCATTAAAAATCATGATAGTTAGTATCTTTCTATGTTTTTTAATAAAAAAATTTACTTGAGTTCTTAACTGATGTCCTAAGTGTACTGATTAACATTACTTGTATGTTTGACTAGGATTTCACAGCATTTCAACTAAGATTTTTATTCATGCTGGAATTAAATTTTGAGAGGGAAAAACTGAGATTCAATTCTTCTTCTTGTTTTTATAGCAGTTTGAATTTTCCTTACTTTCTTTTGCATTGAATTAGGTGTGTAACCAAGGGGCCAAAACCAGGGCCTCTGTAGCTGGAGTTGCATCAATAAACTTAGCTGAATACGTGCCTTTAGCTGTGGATAAAAAGACTGAAATAGTAGTTCCTTTGAATGTCCCCGGCACCTATGATACTAATCTCTCACTTTGTGTAAGTTTCTTTTATGTCATTCAATCACCTTTGAGAATGTTATAATGATTTCTAATGATCTTTTTGGCTAACTGGATTGAATACTCAATCCACTTCCCTCATCCAATAAGAGAAATTAAGTATGGGAAAATTTTCATCTTGCCTTTTTGGGTTAACTCTATCAAACTTCATGTGTGTTTCATTTCAGTTATCTCTTAGTTTACTGAAACTGGAGGCCCTTCAAGAGGATTTGGATGCAGTGCAAAGATCAACTGTGTGCGTTCCTTCATCACCCTTTCCTGTAGAAGCTCTCTCAATAAATAAAGATGAAATTTCTACACTTAAAGCGAGACTCAGAAGAGTAAAAATCTTCACTGATTATGTATCAACTGGAAGAGCAAAGAAGTCAAGCTCCAAAGATGAAGGAAGTGATGGTAGGAGCTCCAATAGAGGTGAAGATTCTGAATATAGGTATACATCTGACACGGATTCACTAGATAATGACACTCTGATTATATCAGAGGAGAATAAGGACGATTCTTGTGTAAGACATTCATTGAATTATGAAACTCTGGCCTCAGGAAACAGTGTAGGAGGATCACCAAATTCAAGTTCAATTTTTAATGGTAAAGATGAGTGTTGGGTGTACTATAGTAGACAAAATTCTGATTTTGGAGGTGCACATCTTGAGAATTATAATGCATGTGATCAGATTGAATATCATATCTCAAAATACCGAATCCTTTCTTGGAGGAAGAGGAAACTTCACTTTAGATCTTCCAAGGTGAAAGGGGAGCTACTTCTGAAAAAACATTATGGAGAAGAGGGTGGAGATGATATTGATTATGATCGTAGGCTGCTGAGCTCTTCTGATGATTATTACACTTGTGGCAAGGTATGTATATGCACAATTTGACTTTTTGGTTCCAATTTTCTTCCTTTCTATTGTTGCTTTCATTGTCTTGTATTTTAGAGAAACTTTTGAAGATCTTTGAGTGAAGTGTACCCATGTTTGATGTTTCTTGCAGTGGCATAAAGTACAAGACTATATCACCACTAGTCAATCATTTGTTCCTGAATTCGGGGAGAACAGTTTCACAGTAGGAAGTTGGGAGCACAAGGAAGTTATTAGCCGAGATGGACAGATGAAGCTCCATACCCAAATATTTTTCGCTTCAATCGATCAAAGGAGCGAACGTGCTGCAGGGGAGAGTGCATGTGCAGTCTTGGTTGCTCTCATTGCTGATTGGTTGAAAGTGAACCAAGTTGTGATGCCTATCAAGTGTGAATTTGATAGCCTGATTAGAGATGGATCATCAGAATGGAGAATCCTTTGTGAGAACAAGGACTACATAAAGAGGTTTCCGGATAAACACTTTGATCTTGATACTGTTCTACAAGCCAAAATCCGTCCGGTATCTGTAGTACCAGAAAAGTCCTTCATCGGATTTTTCATACCCGAAGAACTCGACGGCGAAGGTTTTGACTTCCTTCATGGTGCAATGTCCTTTGATAGCATATGGGAAGAAATAAGCCATTCTGCATCAGAACTGCACATGTTTAGTGAGCCCTTGGTGTACATAGTAAGTTGGAATGACCATTTTTTTGTCCTAAAGGTTGAGCAAGATGCTTACTACATTATTGACACTTTAGGAGAGAGACTACATGAAGGATGCAATCAAGCCTACATATTGAAGTTTGATACAAACACCAAAATTGATAAACTGAGTAATGGAAATCAAGCATTGGAACCAAAACATCTCACTGTTGAAAATGAAGGAAATGATGGAAGGAAGGAGATTATATGTAGAGGCAAGGATTCATGCAAAGAGTACATTAAGAGCTTCCTGGCTGCAATTCCTATAAGGGAACTCCAGGTTGATGTCAAGAAAGGCATGAAAGCATCCATGCCACTGCATCATAGACTACAAATTGAATTCCACTACACACACCTTTAGTAATCCATTATGATACAAGCAACAATAGCTGATTTGTTAATAATGGCAGTGGTGTTGGCTGTTTCTTAGTGCAATTTCAGAGAGTTACTGTGATTGGTAACTAATGTTTTCCCCTTGAGTTTTTTCACATTAACTAGTGTTAGAAAACCATTTTAGTTGCTTAGCCTGAGCTGAAGATTCAGTTTTTGTGAATTTTTGTGGCCTGGTCTTCTAGTTAATAATGTTCCTGATCATGTTGAGGACTTTCGGATCGTAACATCTAACACATCACATTTCATGTGCATGTTACTTGTCATTCCCTTGCATGTTCTTTTTTATTTGTTTCAAGACAGAAAATAGAAGTTTACAAAAAAAAAAAGAAAAAAGAAAAAAAAGAAGCTATTTACATCCCTGTGTAACTCTGTTGTCCTCATCAAATATTGACAAAAAAAAAAAAAAAAGATTAAACAGTAAGATTGATAATATTAATTCTAAATAAAGAATTAAGAATGTATTTTTTTACTACGGAACAACACAATTAAAGAAATTAGAGTGACAAAAATGAAAAAATTCAGGTAAATGAGTAATTGTGTGAAAAAGTAACATGAGAATATTGAAGCAACACTTTTAATGGCAAAGAACACTTTAAGATTAGTGAAAAGAATATGGATATAATGGTTATTAGTTCAGTAAAAAGAGATCCAGAAAAATCTTAAATTAAATTATTAAAAGAAATCTTTTGATTAACAAAATTTGTAAAAATTTAATTTTTATCAAGTTTAATAAAAGTTGTGTGATCCATATAATCGACTTTACTTAGTATGATAAGGTTCGATTATTGTTGTATTATTTTTACTAAGTTTGACACTTGGTATCATATTTCACATGCATTAATTGTCAGGTGATATGAGTTGTTTATTTAACATCTCAACACAAACGTGCATTTAGACAAGGGATAAACAATGCTTTTATTATATGTTGCATCCCAAAAAAAATAAAACTGAAAGAAGAACATGACAAAAGCATTGAATAATGGCTTTGCAGAGGTAAAGAAAGAAAAGATATAGCTATTTGTGGACTTGTCCTGGAGATGGAAACAAAACAGACATGGGGGATAGTATAGCACGTGTGGGTGCATTGAAAAGTTGACAGAGTGGGCCTGTAGATGATAAAAGGGGTCTACTAATGCATTATGAGGCCCACTCTCTTATTTGTCACAGCCTGTATCAGTCTGGAAGACATCAATTGACATCTCTTGTGCCCCAAAACACCCAAATAATAATAATAATAACAATAATAGTATTTTTGTTTTTTGAACATTTTTTTATTTTTCTAAAATTATTTGTCGCTTAAAAATACTAAAAAAATTATTTATTATTTTTCTCAATAATACTCTTATTAAATATAGTTTTTGTCAACTAACAACTATAATAACTTCAAGATTAGTTATCACTTTAACTACTGCAATATTTTTAGTACTTTTAACATGAGTATTTCGGTGAAATCAAATTTTTTATTATATTTTTAATATGTATGCACAGTACTAAAATGGAGAGAGCAAATATAATATACTAATTTTATTTGTGTCCTTATTTTTTAAAACATAAAATGTACCCTCACTTGAGGGTGTTAGAATCTAAGCCTGTTGCTATGTGGCATTGTGGGAGCAGAGAGGCAAACACAGGGGACTCTGACCTAAATCTTCCAAACATATTGGACAAGGCATTACCATTATGTGCTCTCTTTCTTTTGTCAGAGCCATGGTGGAGTAGTGTTATCACAAAAATATTATTGCACATTATATTCCGACAATGTGTGGTTCTACATTCTTCTTATCATCATCATGTTCACTGTAGACAGAATATGTAACAATGCATATTTTGTATTTATTTGTTCTCTGTTTATTTTTATATGATCCTACTTATTTAATATCTATTAAGAGAAAAATAAACATAAAATTTATATATGATCTTATCATGTAAAATTTCAATATAAGAGAATCATTCTCTATTCACTCGGCTCAGCCTCGGTGGTTGTGAAATGAAAACCATGGTTTTTTTCCTTTTAGTTGAAGATTTGAGCTTTGAAATTTGCATTAAATTGGGCTTGGAGTTGAATTTTGTGTGAATCTTGAATCACTTGCCTAAAATTGCTGCAGTGCAGTAGCAATAAACAAAGAAAGTGAGATAAGAATGAAACAGAGATTGAAAAAGGAAATAGAGAATGGAAATCTTTCAAAGTTGAAGAAAATTAATCATTTAGGTTGCGTTTGGATAGGAAAATTAAAATTTTTAATTCTAAAATTCTAAAAAAATTAAATTACATTATTTAAATTTTCATTATTTTAAAATATTTTGTTCAGATAGAGTGATTAAATTACTTATATTCTTAAAAAAAGTTATCTCTATATTTGACAAAATTAATTAGAAATATATAATTTTAATTATTAAATGAATAATAACTAAATAAAAATATAAAGAAAACACAATAAATAAAAATAATAATTTCAAATTCTCACTCTTTTATTATGATTTAGAATTCAAAATAGTCTATTAAAAATCCCACTAAATTTTTAAAATATTTAAAATTAAATATACAAACAGCAAATTTAACACAATTACAATTTTTAAAAAAAATATAAATTATTCACTTGAAATATCTCATCTGTGTAGTTATCGGCTTGAAATTCATTGCAGAGAGAATAAATGAATTTTTTTATTTTTAATTTTTAGAACATAGGCATTCATTAGACTGTAAACAGAAAATTAAACATATACTTACAGACATATATATATATATATATATATATATATATATATATATATATATATATGTATGTATGTATTTTTTTTTTGCACAGAAGATATAGCCTCTGAGTTTTAGTAATGAGAAAATTTATAAAGAGACGCTTTGATGAGTTACTAAAGGCAAGACAGTGTAATTGAGATTTCAGTTTCCTGTTTTAATATGATTTCAGTCCTTTAATTCCGGATATTCTTGCCTCAAAGTATTTGATTTGATTTAGAAAGTTACTAATCATTCTTCCCATGGATTTTTTTCAAAAAAAAAATTATTACACTTAATGATTAATTTTAAATTGATATTTTATTTTTATTTATATATGCTAAAAATATAATTTTGTGTCGCTACACATATGATGAAACTAAAAAGAATTATAAATAAATCATTTAAAATATTTCATATTATATCTACTAATTTAATATAGAATTAAATTTTTACATTATATTCAAATTAAGATTTATTAAAAGTAAACTAATTTTAAAATTCAATTATATAAAGAAACACTTCTCTTTAATTTAATATGATATGATATATCTATCTAAATTTAAATTATTATCATTTTAATAAACCAAATTAATTCAATTATTTTTTTGCAGCAGTATTATAGGTGGTAATTAAAAATCTGTGATCAACCACCTGCAACACACAATATAAATGCTTCTCTTTAAGCTTGTTTTTTGTTCAGGTCAAGCATCTCTAACATCATAATTGAAGATATGCTATTATTACTATGAATTTGAGCTAGTTTTTCATTTTGGTCTCAATCACTCAAATTCTACTTTTAGTTTATACACGCATTACGGTTTCAAACACTGTCTATGCTTATTACAGAGCACTTTCACTAAGATAATACTTCAAGTTCTGAGACTTGAAGCAATTAATATTTTGGTGCTCTAATTTTTATGGAACATGCCAAATGATTATGCACACAAAAGTACAGAAAAGCCAATGCATAAAGTTTGTGTACCTTGGAAATAGTACAGCATCACTGTAACATATTTGGGAGTGGAAATGGATCATATGCAGTCCAAAAATTAACTGCACGTCATGCAGTTACACATCTGACTGTTGCCATTGGTTTAGCATTTTTTATATATAGTTTATATTATTAGGTAAAACAAAAACGTTTTAATGGTTGAGACTGCGTGCGTACAGTTTAGTGAAAACTGTAGACAAAAGGAATCCTGACTCCTGAGATGTAAAGAATGAGACTGCTAAGAATATATAATAGCTGAAAATAATTAGCTCCCACTTGAAGACATATGAGAGACCAGTTTGATAACTCCCCGCATAGGTGCATCATTCTGCAGGAAATAATGTCCAAGTTACAGTTAGCTGCTTAGTCATTCCTTCTCCTGTTAAGTTCACTTCAACTTAACATAAATTATAAGAAATTTCGTGTCAATTATATACCATCAATGAACATCAAACCCCATTGTAAGAGTAAAAGAGTAGTCATCTAAATCAAATCACACGTGCTAACATGTATCTACGCATTAATTCAGTTTAAATGACCTTACTCCCCATATATGCATTAATTTAGTTTAAAATGATGTTACTCCTCACAATTGCAAAAGCAATTATAGAATTAAGAATTAACAGGATTGTTCTTGCACAAATTGGAAGGAACAAGGAACCTAAAGATATTTTTCACCATCCATCAAATCCACTTACCACAAAAACAACATCAAAAGCTTCTTGATAGCAGCTAAGTGAGTTCTCAATGTTGTGGTTCCTGCAACAATAATTTTATACGGTTAAGCATTTTTATCAACTATCAAGTTTTTATACCATCCCAAAAACTAGGGGGGAAAAGTGTAAATTTTCAGATAATGCACATTAAAAAAAATTGAAGACCACATCAGATAATCCACATAGCTTCAGTTGTTATTTCATAACAGGTGATCATGGAAGGAGAAACAGAGAAATATAACTACCACTAGGTAGCATTGGCTACATGGATCAAGAGCAGAAAATCAAATGAAAATTTCCTTCTATTGCAGGCCCAAGTCTAGAAGTTTAGCATCCAATAAACAAAAGACTGTAACTGTTTCAATAAGTATTTTGATATAGACGTCTGTGAAAAGTGACAAAATTGTCAATCTACCATTATGCCCTGTCTAACTGGCCATATCCTATCCTTGGGCATGACACCAGCCATTTAAAATGTCACAACAATAATTATGGTAGAAATCAAGTCACATTTATAAGTACATTGTAGATTGTACACATTAATTGACCTCAAAGTTATGTGTTACCCCAAGGAATTAGAATATATGAAATTTGGAAAAGCACACTTTTAACTTACAAGAATCCCACAGAAATTCGAGTTTCGTAATTCAAACCATCAGACATTCCCAAGTCTCCAATGTGATCACCAAGAAGGAGAACATTGGTTCTCTTCTTGAATGATGCACTTTCATTAGTAGGATCGTCCATATCACCCAATTGCTCATGAACAGGAGCAGCCATGTCAAGAGCATGCTCATTTTTATTTAAGCTATGGATCAATTTTCCTGCAATTGAAATTTATAAGTAAAAAGTAAGAACTAATTTTATCATGTAAAGATGTTTAAAAGCCTAAAATAATTGTATTTTATCTGAAATAAATTCCAATTATCAACAAGCACTAGAATGTCAACCGTTAATTTCCAACCCAGCCGTAAGCTGCAAAGTTCTAACTCAGAATATTGGTACAGAAGAAAACACAACTGTACATGAAGGCTGATATCATCAATTTACAATTCTGTATCTTTTTTTTTTCAGGATACTGATGCTGAATTCCTTGTTAACTTCTGTGAATGATGGTTGAATTTGCATAAGATAGATTTATTAAAACCAAAAAGAATTCATCCATTAGTTGTAACTTGCATGAGCTTTTTGTTATTCTAGACAGTGAATACAGAACTTACTTAGGGTAAGTGTCAACTTAACTAACAATTGAGTCACTTTTCACACATTTCTTGGGCCCATTATAACAAGTGGTATCATTGGTGTTACGATGAAAATATCCAGGTTAAGAGATTGCAGAACGTTATTTTCCGCCCAGCAAAAGAATAGCAATACCATGTATCAAACTCCAAAGTTTTTATATTTTGGGAATCAAGGAATTCAAGCAGGTTTAAATGTGCTTTCAAAATCTAGCGGAGATTGGTATAGGCAAGGATCATAGGTTCACATTCAAGATAGTGGTCATATTATTTGAGCAAGCTGTCATGCAACAATGCATAGCTCACCCAGGTTTTCTGTTACCCCATAATATTAGACCCTGTCATTGATATTTCACTTCATAAGATACTGAGATAAGATAAATTTCTTTAGCTGTCAGTTCTCCCAAGCAAGCAACCATTTATTAAAGTATGCAATATACCTTGCATGTTTCAAACACTTCCCACCCAACTCTAAGTGACATCATCCATTGAGCTTCATGTTAGTTAGGCAGTCATAGTAAAAGATACTGTAGATCTTGCAATGTTATTTTATCCAACTCACTCCCCAAGATCTAAAGAGAAATAGATAAATAAATAAATAACAATTATGTAATGTTTGAGCCTCAAAAGATGTATTTGGATGAGAAAACTGTGATGAAAGGCCAACATAATATGTAGCTAACGCATGCAGGAAACATAGAATCACCTTTAAAAGATACAAGGTGGCCATCATCATCAAATACCATCCTGTTGGATACAATCCTCACATTTTTGAAGGATCTGTGAAGTTTCTGCCTCAGAACCTGTTATTATCAGAAAACGAATACATTGCAATTGAGAAGCACAGAAAACAATAGAAAAGAAACTGAAGAGCATATGTTCAGCAACCTTGCCATCATAAAACAAAATTGATTTTTCAGACCTCTTCAATGATATCAGCAAGCCCTGCGGAGAATATTAACACAGGAATGTCTCTTTCCTGAAAATTACAAAATAGAAAATGGGAACCAGTGTCAGCTATAGATTTTACATACCTATTTTACATTTCATCATTTCACCTGATATCGAATGAAATATCAAGGTGCAAGAACCAATATTTGCCAAACAAGGATGGAAAGTATACCTCCAAAAACTCAAAAAGCTCAATAACACCTTCCCTGAAAGCTATGTTGGCATTAGCAACTGACTGTCTTATTGATTCATAGGTAAGCCCTCCCTCAATGAGAAGAGAGTGTGTTTTACCCCACCTGATACACCAGATTTAGTGTTTCAACAGCAAGCATTAACTTCAATACTGAATGTCACTGTTCAACTTAGTTGTTATATCTCCACCATTAAGAAACTGAATCACAAACCACTCTTCCATGAGCTTTGTTTTCTCTGCAAGTCCAATTGCCGGTGAAAATTCTAGTGGATGATAATATTCGTATAACTTCTCCCTTTTGGCATCATATTCTGGATTACCCTGCTGCAAAAGGCCATGACTGCCTACAAATGATAGTATTAAGATATAATACATAGAAAAATTCTTGATGAGATATACATACATATATATATATATATGTGTGTGTGTGTGAAGTGCGATTTTCTTACATCGGTGTAAATCTAGAAACGTTTACACTTAATCGAGTCTTTTATTTAACTTATATCTAACGGATTATAAGTTATTACTTCACTAATCATTATATGCATGTATCAAGTTTTAGATGTTGAGGAAACATACTTTGGCCACGAGTTCCATTAACCCAAAACTTTGTTAACGTGGCATCAAAATCAGCAATCACCTGGTAGCAGGAATCTGTGAATACAATCATAAATGTAGAAACATATAGTGATGGGAAATTTTGAAAACTAAAAATCACTTCTTACTAGGTACCCAATTTTCTTATGCCACCACAATAAGCCAATTCAATAAGCACATAAAAAATCAAGGAAAATACACAACACAACACTTAATTATCATACAAATGCATGCAGAAACCTGAAGCTTGTGGGGGCCAGCCAAACGAATTGCATCAATTTTCTTCTCTAGCATGACCGGGTCACCCACCAACAAGTCTGAAACTGCCTTCACTTCCTCCATTTCCAAACCTTTCCCGCAACTAAAACTAGAAAACGATACCCTTTAAAGAAAAAACATCAGAACAATTAACAAATAAAGAAAAAGATAAAAATACAAACTTTAACTCATAGACACGGCATGCAATAGCAATATTATAAGGGAAAGATTCCAATTCAAGATGGTGAACCAAAAAAAGGGGTATGAAGAAAAAGGACCTCGGGGAAGTGTTGGGGGAAAAGCTGGGAAAGGGAGAGTGACGTGGGCGAATGGTGGTGACGATGATGCCTTGAAGTTGGAGGCGATGACTCATTTGAGTGTGAGAGAAGTTTCAAAATTGAATAGGATCAGTGGATACAATTCAAGTTTAATGGCCTTAATGGCACTTAATTAAGTGTTTTTGTGGATCTTTAACAGTGATTTGTGAGTGATGTTACCAAACAAATGTATGGATGCTATTTATCGTACAGTGGCACGACTTTACTGTCATACGGTCTTTCAAGCTCCTTATTCGTTTGTTTAACACAAGCAAGCGTTAACAGTTATCTTTAAATAATTAAAAATAAAAGTTTTTTCATTAACAATTAATATTAATATTTTTAATAAAAAACAGACCATAATTACATTAATATGACTCAGACTTGAGATAATAAATTAAATTAAAATAATTACATGTTATATTAATTAATCCACGTTTTTAATACTAATATATCTTAATATGATTCTTATTAAAAAATTATTTTTTATTTTTTAACTAATGTCTTTAAGATATTGACTAAAAAATTTTTAACATTAAATTATTTTGAGATTTGATTAGATTTTTTAAAGAAAATAAATATTCGTAACATTCTTTAATTTATGTTTTATTATTTATTAAAATTTATTGAAAATAAAAAAAATTATGAAAGTCTCATTATTAATTTAATGTTTTTCTGTTATAATTTTAAATTTTTAATAAATTTTATCTAGAAAAAAATATGTTAAAAAATGTGTTGTGGACATCTTTTCATTAAAAATATAGTGTGACTTATTTAATAAAATTATAAAAAAATATCTTATTAATGGCGTTGACTTTAACATAAGCTTAGTTATTTTTAAATCACTGTTTTAGATTTGATTAATATTTTTATTATGAATATTTACATTTTTTATATTTTTAAAAATATATATATCTTTAGTAAATAATAATAATAATAAAATCATACATGATAGAAAAATATATAATCTTAGATGTTTTCATTATTCATAAGATTCTTTTTATTAACTATAAGTAAAAAAGAAAAATACTATTTTTAAATTAAGAATTTTTTGAAATAAATTTTTTGAATTAAAATATATCATATATTATGTTTGGTAGTTTGATATATTGTGCAAAGAAATGAAATTGACTAAATATAAGTAATTGTGTTAAAAACAATAAAATATATATAGCTAGCTAACATATCTTTTCTAAAATATAAATTAGTATATATTAACACAATTTACTTGATTCAAGAAAACAAATCAGTTGTTTTATTGATAAATATGAAACTTTATTTGAGGTGTAAATTATTTTTAAGATTTAGAATGTTCAAAATTATTATTTCTATGTATGTGAGGTAATAATTACGGTGATGATAATAATAATAATAATGATAAAAAAATATGTTACACACATAAGAGTAACACTTAACACATTAGATTATAAACATACATTATACGATGATAAAAAGAGAGTATCAATATTTAATAAATACATCATTAATTAGATATGAAATGGGATGTCAAATAGGAATTTAATAATGATCATCAGATTATAGAAACTAAATTAAGATAATTTAATATGAGATTAGGTAGTAAACATCGATTTATTTCCAGTGATGATACATCGATTAATATTTAGGAAATAATCTGTAAAGAAAATTATTTTAAAAAACATAAAATATAATTTTAAAATCAATAATTTCAAAACTATACTTAATTATTTCACCTCAAATATTTACACCCACTGATAAAGAATTACTTATTTTTTTTAATTATATTAATACATGTTTAGTTTAGCATTTATAAATAGTTGATGTTTTATGAAATAATTAAAAGTAGCTTATAGATCTAAAATATTAGCTAATTGCCATTCAAATAAATATTTAAGTTAAATTTGGATAATTTTTTAAAAAAAATATATAAAAAATAAAATTTATACATGTGTTACATTTTTTTTTATATATAATGAACATATTGCAATGATCAAAAGTTCAGAGCGAGCCAAATTTGTTCTTAGAACAATGTAATATTTATACTATACACTTTATACAAATTAAAAAATAATTATACTATAATTATATAAAAAATTAATATAAACACTTAAATCAGATATTAAAATAAATAGGGTTATAATTTTACGAAAACGAATACATCGAATGCTAAATTCTGAAAAACAAATTTAAAAAGTTGGCAACAAAAAGACAAAAGGAACCTAAAAAGATGAAAAAGGAATAAAGAGAATTATGAATATACTCTTGAAAAGGTAGGCCCCTCACAACCAGGAACGTTATTTACAAATTTTCTGTGTTCTCAAATTTATATTTATATTAATAATTTTGTTAATCTTAATTTTAAAAATTAAAAGTTCAAAATCAGTAAAATTTTATTTAATTATCTTAGAAACAATAAATGTTTTAAATAAAATTTTACTAATTTGACAAACTTAAGATTAATTCTTAACATATATCTTATACCAAAAACAAAAACAAAACCTTCCATTCACTTAACTGAACACGTGGCACGCATCCATTGGAGAGACTTTTTCCAGAATTTTAAAATGCGTTGAGCAAAATTTCTAGCCGTTGGAACTGTGTCACATCAGACACTCTCTCCTACTCTGTTCGTGGAATCCAAGAAGAAGAACATCATTGATACTCTCTGTTTTCACACTTCAACCACTTCAAACACCAAAAGCAAAATCAACCCATTTCAATTTTCTGTGTTTTGCAGATTATTCCGTTGGAAAAGCTCACACAAAAATGAAGGGGATGAAGGGAAAATTCATGAAGAAGCTCAAATCAATCAAGCAAATCGGGTATCTGAAGCAAGATCGAATCCTTCAGCTAAAGGCCTCAGATGGGTACGTCGATTTTCTCCCCAAGATTTCTTCTTTCAATCTTCGCACCCCGTTTGTTTCCCGAGAAAATGAACCCAAGAAAAATGTCCAGAACTGTGAGAAAGTGCAGGAGGAACCTGAGGTCATTGACGTGACAGAACTGATGAAAGACCTTGAAGATGAAGATGAAGATAAGGAAATGGATTTGGATGATTACAATGACAACAAAGAGAACATAGGACCGTGTTCAATGAAATCCAAACACCAACTTTGCCACAAAGGTAGTTCAGAGAATGAGAACGAAGGAAAAACAGATTCGAAACAGAGATGGGCTTTGGAGGAAAAGAGATCATCACCAGCAGAAGCTGATAGGGATCGCAGCAGAAAAACCCCTTTGTCGGAAAACAACTTTTCGTCATTCCGGCGGCCGGACTTGGATTCCGGAACACTATTCGATCCGAATCTGTTAGCTGCATTTGAGCAAGCTGTGAAGGAACATACTACAATGACAGAAGAACAGAGAAGAGGCAGAGTTGAAGAAGAGACTTCACAGAAAGAGGAAGGTGAAGACCCTGACACTGACCCTTTGATGTGCTTTGAAGAAAAGTGTCCTCCAGGAGGTGATGAAGCTGTGATTTTCTACACAACAACGCTTAGGGGAATCAGGAAGACATTCGAAGACTGCAACAAAATTCGCTTCCTCCTCCAAAGTTTCAAGGTTATCTATTTTGAGAGGGATATTTCAATGCACAAGGAGTTCAGGGAAGAATTGTGGAGCAATTTGGATGGGAAAACATTGCCTCCAAGGCTTTTTGTTAAGGGGAGATACATTGGTGGAGCTGAAGAGATTCTGAATTTGCATGAGCAAGGAAAGCTGAAGCAACTCTTTGAAGGGGTTCCAATGGATTGGTCTAATGGTCCTTGTGATGCATGTGGAGGGATAAGGTTTGTTCTGTGTTTCAAGTGTAATGGTAGCAACAAGGTCATTGCAGAAAATGGAGAGATCAATCAGTGCTCACAGTGTAATGAGAATGGCTTGATTGTATGCCCTTACTGCTGCTAGCTGCAGAATATCAGTTAACACTTCTGTGTTTTATTTAAAGTGATAGGAGTTTTATACTTACTATGTTCTATCCATAGTAATAGAGTTTGTAAGTAATTGAATTTGTGGGAACTGGATTTTTTATTTATTTATTTGGTAATGATCATTCTTTCAATTTTTTTCACTGTTGATAGGCCCTTGCATTGCCTGTTTGTATTGGTTCTTGGACCAAATCTGAAATCCTTTGAATTTCAGATTCGGTGTGCCTTTTTATTTCAATGTATATCTAGTTTTAAACCTTAATAAAAGGATTCTACTAGTTGCAAGATTTGAATATTCTATAGTAATTGCTTGAATCAGAAGCCAGTGGAATATCCTTCCTTTCCTTTGTTAATGTGAGGACTACTTTAAATTTTATTGTAGTCTCCTATTTTCTATCGTCTTGATATATATAAACAACAACATATATGAAATAAGAAAATTATAATAACACAATCACCAAGAGTATCATATCATCATTTTGCTGTAGAAAAAAAGATGTTAGAAAAATAAAATGCGGAGCTACCTTTGCCTATTATGAATTTAGGAACCGAAACAGTTGCATGTTGAATCCCATTTATCATATTAAAAACCGTAACAAAAATTTTACAACACTCATTCCCTGGTTTTATGTTTTTTAGTGTAATAATCACCATAATTGAATTCATAATTCGTTTTGAAATAGTAAAAGACATTAATCATCAAACACAGTTTAGTCTCATTTTTTCTCTATAACGTCAAATCCATCAATGAATATTATTAATATACGGTTACATCTCTGAATGGTTTACCTTGCATGCCAACATTTTAAACAACTCTTTGGGCTGCTCCTCAATCTTTACCTTGGATTGTCTCTCTTTGCTCAAAAGGTCAACATGTTGCAGCATCAAAACCCTTTTGTTCTCTTATTTTCAGCATTGTTTTTAGCATTCTTTTGTCACTGTTCTGCTACACAATTCACAGTGGGGGATTCATCAGGCTGGGTTATTCCACCATATCCAACCTACTACAGTAATTGGTCGCATTCACATTTCATAAGAGCAGGAGATTCTGTAGGTAAAAGTCGATGAAATGTTCTTAAATTTGGAGGATTTTGTCTTCTTATTTTTGCTTTGATATATCTATGCTAGGTAGGAACATAGCAGGAGACTTCAATTCCTTCTCTTCATAAGATCTTCAATTTCTCATTGCTAAAATAGATCACTTCTCCTAAAACAGTTAAATCTTTTGAATCTTTATTCTCTAGCTTCATTAAGAAAACATCAAGTAGGTTATTTGAAAAACTATATTCTCTATAGTTTTCTTTATGTAATTTGACTGCTTGCAATGGGAGGATATATCATTCTGTTAACAAGCATATATACTATATTTGACATCCTCTGAAAAGTGTGCATTTTCATTTGATAGATGATAACCAACACTACTTCCAAAATTATCTTTATTTTTTAAAAAGGGTATAAATAATATCAATTTAATTTGGACTAGAATAAAAACATGGATTTATATACTTACATAGAATAAAGGACACAAATAAATTCTGTTGACAAAGTTAAGAATCTGCAATAAATTTTTTTGAATTTATAGATTGTTTAGCTGCTTGTATTCTGTTTTATATGTATGTATATATATACAAAACATGTACACTACTGATTTGATTGCTAAATTTAGCATATATACGAGTTCTCATGAATTTTGAAATGTTAATACAGAATTCAACTTCGATGACAAATTCTACAACCTAATTCAGGTATCAAAATATGAGTACGAGCATTGCACATCACTTGAACCTAAAAGGGTATTCCATAGTAGCCCAGTGATTTTTCCAATGAAGGAGAGAGGTGTCTATTTCTTCATATGTAGCATATCAAACTACTGTTGTTTAGGCCAGAAGATTGCGATTTCTGTCCATGAACGTGCCCCAGAAAATCCACCACCACTACCACCATCATCATTATCACCATCACCATCACCTTCACCTTCCCAAGTACCAATAACCTCTCCACAATTATCACCAAAGGGGTCAGCTCCTCAACCTCATGGAACTAACCCTCCTCTACCGTCTACAACTACACCAAGAGGTAATGGTAGCAATTCTCCAATGCCATCTTCCACTCAAGGGGGCAAGTCTAATGCAGTGGCATTGGTATGTGGGAAAAGTTTCATTGTGTCTTTGGGCCAACTCTTATCTATGCTTGTTACATTCTTGGGATTTTGGGTCATGTAGGCTATAATAAATCAATTTTGTTAACGTTAACAGTGATGATTGAGAATCACGGTGCACTTTTAGGTAATTAAATTGATTTTATAGTGATTTGGTTGGGTTTTGGTTTCAAATTATGAATCTCACTTGGTAGTTTTTTAATGGGATATTTGGATTTTCTAGCTTGCTTTCTATAATATTTGAGTCTTTGTTTAGACATATATATACAGGAAACAGTTATAGTTTTTTGAGGTCTAATGAAGATTCCCTTGTTCGTGTCATTACTATCCATTATCCAATCCCATAGATCAATTACAACAGTTATCAAGGAAACATTATTGCTAATTGTCAGATTACTTGAATAAATCTTATGGACATGTTTATTAGTACTTTTCAACAGCACAATCAGGGGCAACCTGCAATACACTAACGATTTAGAGTTAAATTAATTTCTGTTAATATATTTTTTATAGTAGAAATTAAATTGTTAATCTAACCATTGCTGGTTTGTAACTTTGTACTAATAAAATGATAAATTATTATTAACAAGTTATTTTATTGGGATAAAAATTTGATATGTATCATCAATATAGTATGTTATACTATTAATATAAATATCCAATAAGAGTGACTAAATTTTGTTACTAAAAATTGCGCTATGCTTGCTATATGAAAAATCCTTTTTGTCCAGTCGAGCAATGAAATTGGTTCTTTTTATTTTAAAAGAATATTTTTAATGATTTGCATACTGATAGTAAATATAAAAAGTAAGTAAAAAATAAGAATAATTATACATAATATAAATATATCATCAATTATTTGATTTCAAATTATAAAACTACTCCTAAGAATGTGAATCAATTAGTAAGAGGTTGTTTCAAATAAATACAATTATATTAAATACTTGGAAGGAAAACTTTGCTATACGATTATCCACCGTTTCCTCTTTAATAAAACAAGAAATTATTGTATCATATAGAATCACTATATGTGTTTAGTTTCAAGTAATCACAAAATCACAGATGACTAATAATTTTATTATTATTTTTTCTTGATTTATAAATGTTAGTCAAAATTGGATGGTGTTAGTCAAAATTTGTAGGCACTATTTTTTTATGTCTCAGTTTTCAAATTCAGTTGGTACTGTCCTCTAGATTTGTCAAAATGCTACAATAAGTTACTGTAGCAACATTGAAAAATTAACAAATCACTGTTGCAGTTTTTTACCTATAAAAGACAATGAATTAACGAAGTCAGTGAGACACATTGTTCACGGATCAGTGAGAAAAAATTACTGAGAGAAAATTGTGAGTGTTATTTTGTAACTCTTATTCTATTTTGAGAGAGTATTTATTAAGAGAGAAAAAAAATAGAGAGATTTATCACTTTTTATCCTCATAATTTTAGAGAACTTCTTGTACTCTCCCTTTTACATAGTGGAATTATTTTGCCCGTCGTTGTCTGTGGATTTTTTCTCCGATTTGGAGTTTTTCCCACGTTAAAATCCTGTCTCCATTATTCTCTTCCTTCTCTTTATTTCCAATTAAATTCGATCCAGTCTTCCGCATTACATTGATACCTCAACAAGTGGTATCAGAACAGTTATTTAATTGGAATTGTCTACCGTTACAAAATTTGACATTGAGAAGTTTGATGGCAAGATTAGCTTTTCTATTTGAAAAGTCCAAATGAGAGCTGTTCTTACTCAGAACGGATTAAAGAAAGCTTTAGATGGAAAGTTAAAAAAATCAGCTTCCATGACCAATGAGCAATGGGATGAGTTGGATGAAAAGACGCTTTCAGTAATCCAACTTTGCTTATCCAAGGAGGTTTTACGTGAAGTGGCCGACATAATTACCGCTGTGGAATTGTGGTTAAAGTTGGAAACCTTGTATATGACTAAAAGTCTCACCAACAAGCTTCGTCTTAAGGAGCGATTATATACGTTCCGTATGATAGAAGGTACTCCATTCAATCTCATCTTGATGAGTTTAATTCTATTATTATGGATCTGCAAAATATCGATATTAAAATCGATGATGAAGATAAAGTTGTTTTGTTGGTTGTCTCTTTACCTTCTACCTACAAACACTTCAAAGAAATTATGTTGTATGGTAATAATGACACCTTATCCTTTAAAGATGTTAAATCTAATTTATTATCCAAAGAAAAATTTGATCTTGAAATCCATTCTAAGGACAAGGGTGAGGGTCTAAGTGTTAGAGGTAGAATTCAAGTAAAAGGGAGTACTAGTCACAAAAAAAGTAGATCCAAATCTAGGGGACGAAAATCTAACACTACCTGTCGTTATTGCAAAAAATATGGGCATGACATTTCTGATTGTTTTATCTTTAAGAAAAAAGAAGAAAATAAACAAAAGAAAGAAAAAGGTAAACAACTTGTTGAAGCCGCTAATATTGAGACTGATTCTAATGGAGATGTTATGGCATCTGTTGTCTCTTCTGACAAGAGAAGCAAAAACAAGTAGCTTATTGACTCTGCATGCACATACCACATGTGTGCTTATAGAGATTTATTTACCACTTTTGAACCAGTTAATGGTGGTATTGTCATGATGGCTAATGATACCCAATCATGATGGTGTTGTTAAGACTCTGACTAATGTTCGCTTTATTCCTGAATTAAAGCGGAATCTCATCTCTCTTGGCACCCTTGAATCTCTTGGATGCAAGTATTCATCTGAAGGTGGAGTCCTAAAGGTATCAAAAGGTGCCCTTGTTTTGTTGAAAGGTAACCGAGTTGGTACTTTATATTTCTTGCAAAGTTCTGTTGTGACAGGTTCAGCAGCTGTATCTTCTTCTATGCTTGATAATGATGTCACCAAATTATGGCACATGCGCCTGGGCCATATGAGTGAAAAAGGCATGCATCTTTTGAGCAAGCAAGGTCTTCTTGGTAATCAAGGTATCGATATGTTGGAGTTTTGTGAACATTGTGTCTTTGGGAAACAAAAAAAAGTAAGTTTCTCTACTGCAACTCACCGTACAAAGGGTATTCTTGATTATATTCATTATGACCTCTGGGGGCCTTCTAAAGTTTCCTCTTATGGAGGACGCTGTTATATGATGACTATTATTGATGATTTTTCTCGCAAAGTTTGGGTTTATTTTCTTAGGTATAAAAATGAGACATTCTCCACTTTTAAGAAGTGGAAAACTCTTGTTGAAACCCAGACAGGGAGAAAAGTCAAGAAGCTCAGAACAGATAATGGATTGGAGTTCTGTGACGGTGACTTTATCGAGTTCTACGCAAATCATGGAATTGCTAGACATAAAACCATTCCAAGAACACCTCAGCAAAATGGTGTTGTAGAACGAATGAACAAGACTCTACTTGAGAGAGCTCGTTGTATGCTCTCAAATGCTGGGTTATGGCATCGACGTGAATTTTGGGCCGAAGCAGTATCAACTGCTTGTTACTTGGTTAATCGTTCTCCACACTCGTCACTTAATTTCAAAATTTCAGAAGAAATTTTGTCAAGTAATCTTGTTGATTATTCCAATTTGAGAATCTTTGGATGTCCTGCTTATGCACATGTCAATGATGGCAAATTAGCTCCAAGAGCTATTAAGTGCATATTTCTTGGTTATGCATCTGATCTAAAGGATATCGTTTATGGAATCCTAAGTCACAAAAATTAATTCTTAGTAGAGATGTGACTTTTAACGATGATGTTTTATTATCTTCTGGAAAATAATCTTCTGTGATTTCTTCTATTAGTACTAATATTCTGCAGGGTACTAGTGAGAAGGTGGAGTTGGAGTTGAAATCTACAACTCCTAATGTTGATGTTCCATCTTCTTCTATCAATGAGTCTAGTATTGATATTTGTGGTGATGATGATGTTGATGAGATTACCACTTCTCCAAACAGCCGCAGGAAGAAGAGTATCTCATTGCCCAAAACAGACCAAGAAGAACGATTACTAAGCCAGCTAGATATGCAAATTATGCTTGTGATGATAATTTAATTGCATATGCATTATCTGTTGCACAAGAAATAAATGATGACATTGAACCAACCAGCTATACTGAGGCTGTTTCTTGTGCTGATTCTTCAAAATGGCTAGTCGCTATGAATGAAGAAATTGAAAGTCTTCATAAGAATGGTACTTGGAGTTTAACAGAGCTTTCCAAAGGCAAACGACCTTTGAAATGCAAATGGGTCTATAAGAAGAAAGACGACATTCTCGGGGTTGAAGATCCTAGATGCAAGGCACGATTGGTTGTTAAAGGCTTCAGCCAAAAGGAAGGTGTTGACTCTAATGAAATTTTCTTACCTGTTGTTCGTCATACCTCCATACGTGTTTTGCTTGCTTTTGTTGCTTTATTTGACTTGGAATTGGAGCAACTTGATGTTAAGACAGCTTTTCTGCATGGAGAGCTGGAAGAGGAAATTTATATGGAGCAACCTGAGGGATTTATTGTTCCTGGTAAGGAGCATCTTGTCTGCCGATTGAAGAAATTTTTATATGGACTCAAACAAGCTCTGAGATAATGGTACAAAAGGTTTGATTCCTTTATGATTAGGCAAGGTTATTGCAGAAGTCAATATGACGACTATATTTATTTTCAAAAACTTCCTGATAAATCTTACATATACTTGTTACTATATGTTGATGATATGTTGATTGCATCACGTGACAAGTCTCTGATCAGGAAATTGAAAACTCAACTCAATAATGAGTTTGAAATGAAAGAATTGGGTGCAGCTAAAAAGATTCTTGGTATGAAGATTTGCAGGGATCGTCAAGCTGGTAAATTTTTTCTATCTCAACAAAAATACATTGAGAAAGTGCTTGACAGGTTTAATATGTCTAATTGTAAATCTGTTTCTACTCCACTTGCTGCACATTTCAAGTTATCATCTGACCTTTGTCCTGAGACAGAGGAAGACATAGAGCGTATGTCACGCGTTCCTTATGCTAGTGCTGTTGGTAGTCTTATGTATGCTATGGCATGCACTAGACCTGATTTAGCATATGCCGTTAGCATGGTGAGTCGGTATATGCATAATCCTGGAAAGGATCATTGGAGTGCTGTAAAATGGATTTTTCAGTATCTCAAAGGTACTTCTTATATTGGCTTGGTATTTGATAGAAATCATGAAACAACTGAAGTTACAGGTTTTGTTGATTCAGATAATGGTGGGGATCTTGACAAAAGAAGATCTCTTTCTAGTTACATATTTACTCTCTGTAACTGTGCTATTAGTTGGAAAGCTCAGCTTCAGTCTCTTCCATCATTATCTACGACTGAAGCTGAATATGTTGCAGCAACAAAGGGTGTGAAAGAGGCTCTTTAGCTTAAAGGTTTGATTAATGAACTTGGTCTTACACAGGATGTTCTTACTGTGTTTTGTGATAGTCAGAGTGCTATTTACTTGACCAAGAATAACCGCTACCATGACAGGACAAAACATATTGATGTGAGACATCATTTTATCCGAGAAATTATTGCTAAGGGTGAAGTCGTGGTTCAGAAGATTCATACATCTGAGAATCCAGCTGATATGCTTACTAAGCCTCTACCAAAAGCCAAGTTCCAACATTGCTTGGACTTGGTTGGTCTCTCCAGCACTTGAACACCCTTCGGGATTTAAGCGGCGTCGAGCAAATTTATCAAAACTGATCCAAGGTGGAGATTGTTAGTCAAAATTGGATGGTGTTAGTCAAAATTTGTAGGCACCATTTTTTTGTGTCTCAGTTTTCAAATTCAGTTGGCACCGTCCTTTAGATTTGTCAAAATGCTACAGTAAGTTACTGTAGCAACGTTGAAAAATTAACAAATCACTGTAGTAGTTTTTTGCCTATAAAAGGCAACGAATTAACGAAGTCAGTGAGGTACATTGTTCATAGATCAGTGAGAAAAAATTACTAAGAGAAAATTATGAGTGTTATTTTGTAACTCTTATTCCATTTTGAGAGAGTATTTATTAAGAGAAAAAAAATAGAGATTTATTACTCTTTGTCCTCATAATTTTAGAAGACTTCTTGTACTTTCCTTTTTATATAGTGTAATTATTTTGCTCATCGTTGTCCGTGGATTTTTTCTCTTATTGGGAGTTTTTCCCACATTAAAATCTTGTCTCCATTATTCTCTTTCTTTTCAATTAAATTCGATCCAGTCTTCCCCATTACATTGATACCTCAATAATAAATATACTAAAGTGTCATTTATTTGTTAATAAAAAGCATAAACACTTGGTGATCGAAACTATACAACAATTTCTTCATTAAAACATTAATCTACATGGGTTATTGGTGTCCTACTGTCCTCCTACAAACAGGGCAAGTAAAATTAATTCTCAACCAAGGATCAACGCAGTTGGCATGAAACAAATGACCACAACCAGGTATCACTCTAAGCAAATCAGTTTCTTTGTAATCCATCAAACATATGGAACAAGAAGAACTACAACTTGAAGAACCACTATTACAAATTTTCCCTTTGGAGATTGCATAAGTCTCATCTAAGCGTGGCTCAGTTGCTTCCACAGTGATTGTGGTGTGATTAGTGTGTGTGTCACCAATAGGCATAGATGGAGCAGTGGAAGAAGAAATTGGCGGAATATTAACAACCATAGAGCACATGTAAGCTGCAAATGTAACAATAAGGGTTAGAATGATGAAGCTTAGAAGCAACAACAAAGACTCTTCTGAATTATTCATCGTGAATTAATGTTCATTATATGAGAAAATCAATGGTTTTGGTGAGGCTCAGTATTTATGTGCAATTATATATGCATTGATAATATATTTATATGTGTGTGAATTTGTTGATGCTTTCCGTAATGGAAAATCAAGCAATTATGGAGGTACCTTCGACGTTGCCTATGATTTTCTCATGTTTTCCGTAATGGGAAATCTAACATTATGTTATGTTTGAGCTTTGTCCTGATTCTGTAGCAATTATTAAATCTTTATTTGCAGTTGCTGCGTACCGTTATATACGTATAATAAATTCAACAGTGGTGTAGCTCATCTTCCATGATCATCCATCATAACATCTAAAATATATATATTTTCTAACATTCTTAATTAGTCATTTAGGGTGCTATGTTCATAAAAAAACTGTGCATGGATATTGGGAACTGTATTAAAAAAATCATTTTTTAAAAATATTAAAATAAATGTCCAATTCAAGAAAATTTACTTAACATAGGAAAAATATTTCTATAAATGTTCTAATTTAAAAAAAAAAAAAACCTTAAAAACACTCTTATTTTTTTTTATCTTGACTTAGTAATTGTTCCTCCCTCCCATACACGTGAATAAACTAATTTGTATGGTATCTGTCAAATAAATAAATTTTAATTAATTCTCATATTAAACATTCATGGATTATATGATTTATTTTATATGAGTTGTTTTATAAGACACTCAAGAATTTGGTCCATTTTTTAGGGCAGTCTCAAAACCTCAATTCTAATAGTCATTTATTTGATACCCACAAGTAGCAGGATTTGCTACTTTTGGAGATTTCATTAACAAATCCAAAGTTTATTAACAGATACTGCACATTATCATTTAGCTATTATATTTATTTTTTTCAATATTTAAAAATGATTTTGTTTATAAAAACGTATTTTTTTTATTCCCACAACTCATTTACTAAATGACTCACTACATTACCACTCAATTTAATCAGATGTAGTTAAAATAAAAATAGGACGATGAAAAAATAACATAGAATATGAAAAGAAAAAAAAAACAAAAATTGTAGTTACTAATTTTATTATCAGTATGATTTCTATATATAGGAAAGCGTGAGTGCCACTCTAGAATATTAAAATGCGGTAAGGAAAGCAAACTGGGTGCGGACTATATGAAATTCATGAGAATTGCAGCAGTTTTACATGAGAAGTTCAGCAAAACAATTGATTGATCACGTATCCACATGAGATAACAACACGGATCCAGATTCAATTTAGTTGAAAAGTAAACTGTTGATGAATTCAAATGCAAAGTATCAATACCCTTTATTATTTATAAGAATAATATGTAGTTCCAAAATGTAAAATATCACAAAATGTTGATATTCTGCGTTTGACTACACTAACAACACTCTTTAGAACTGCATTGAATTAAATCCGGGTATACGATTAATCTTCCTAAGTCCTAATCTTATTATATACAGTGATTTAATTTAACAACATTATGCATCTACACAACACAGAAAGTAATTTCCTAATATTAATTGGAGGCACTATTTGAAGCTTGAACAGAAGATTTTCTACATATGGGACAAGTTGAATGCAACATAAGCCATGGATCAACACAATCAAGGTGGAAAAGATGGCCACAATCTGGAAGTAACCTCAACATGTCACTTTCTTTGTAGTCCCCTAAGCAGATGGAGCAGCTAGAAGAAATCATATTGTTTGAACCCCCTTTATTTTTCTCTATCTGAGAGAAAAGTAACTTTGGGTAGCTTTCAAAACTAGTATCAATGTGATATTGATGAAGGCCTCGATCCATGATCCCAACTGGGTCTCGATTTTCTCCATGAGATGGTGCAAAACCAGCCAAAATATTTAGCATATTTGGGCCACGAGACATGCGAAGGCGAAAGCATGCAAAAGCTACAGAGAGAAGCAAGAAGATCAACCCAATTACAAATACTAAGCCATATGTGAAGCCATTTGTGTCAAAACCACCGTCGTCGTTGTTGGTGCTACTATTCATCTTCAATTGAAAATTTTAGTGGGGTTTGTAGGTGGAATTGCTTATTATGCTTATTAATTTTGTTACAAGGTTTAACAAAATTTGGATGAGGCATCATAGTTTTAGTGGTCAACGTTTGTATTTGTCTTTTTCATAGTTCATACATTAACCTCGTTCATATAATTTAATGGCATTTGTTCGTTGGCTTCTCTTTGTGCGAGAAGTTTCTATGTGGTGTAGGACGAAGGGCCATGACAAGGACTTTGTGCTAAGCTAAATTCTCTCTCTCTATATATATATATATATCTGACCTTGAAGAAATTATTAAATGTGTATATTTTAAGATAATAAATAAATATATTACTTATTTTGTATTTATTTTATAAAATAATTAAAATTTTATTTAAAAATATATAAACGGATATAGCAAAGTTGTTAAAATTAGTGATTACTAACGACTAAAAAAACTACTTGACCCATACATGTATTTTAAAATATCAACAATGCGTGTACGGGACTGCAAATTACAAGTGGAATCATTCAAAATCAGCTTTTGATGCTACTACTTGGCAATGTTTGATTGGCCTCAAGCTTCTTCAATATTTTCTTTTCTGAGTTTCCATAGTGAAATTAATCATCACATTTACATGTTATTGGTCGGTTTTCAAATCAAGATCAAACCTACAAATACATAACTCCGTTTTGGGTAAGGATATTTTATCTATTTATCCTTTTAATGTATCTTTAGTTACTAAAATTGGAAGTATGATTGGAATTTTATTTAAATGAATCTTAAATAATTTATGAAAAATTAAATATTTGTTGTTATAAATATATAATTGTTACAAGTAACAAGGAGTGGAAGAAAATTAAAAAAAAACTATATCATATAAGTAACTTATTTTGGGTGTTAAAAAGAGAGATCAAAGTAAGATACATAACAAATGATGTAATGAAAAATAAAAATAAAAAGAAAGAGGGGATAAAAAATAAATAGTAAGAGAAATTGGGTGTAAAAATATAATAATTAGAATATAGAATTTTATTATTTTGGATAGAAATACATGTCTATATTATTCTTAATCCTAAGATTTAAGTCTATTTATTTTTAAGGCTTGATTATATTTTTTGTCTTTATAAAGTTAGTATATTTTACAATAAGTTTTTATAAAAAAAAAATTGTTAAGATTTAGTAAAAAGTTAAGAAATTAAAATTTAATCTTTATCGCTAATAAACAGATATGTCATATCATTTATTTTTTTATTTAAAATTATAAATTATAAATAAATCTTTGAATATATTTTACATAATTGCATAAAAAATTTTATAGCTTTTTTTTCTTTTTGCACCTTCTCCTCTTTCCTTCTCCACACCCCTTCTCCCAACCTCACCCTCTCCCTTGATTAAAAAATTGAGAACCACAAATTTTTTTTTCTCTTTGTTAATAATAAGTTCTTTGTAGAATTAATTGAATATAATAAAGAAAAATATAGTGAAGGAGCTCTGAGTTTGTGGCTACAATGTGTCTTTTCATTGTAATGTTTGTATAATTTTTCTTTGATTTTGCCTGTCTTTTCATTGTAGTGTTTGTATGACTTTTCTTTGATTTTACCAATGTCTTTATGTTTATTGAAGCTAATTGTTATTGAAAATTTAGGGGTGAGAGGAAGGGGAGAGGAATAGGGTGAAGGAGGTGAGATTGCGAGAAGAGGAAAAAAAGAAGATGAGAGACTTTTTTAAAATTTTTTTTTTTAAAATATGTTAAGAGATTTGTTTAGAAATATTTATTTTAAATAATAATATATATTAAAATTAAATGACATGACTTGTTATATCTCAGTATTAAACTGATTCTCTATTAGTTAGCTCACCACTTAATAAAGATAGTTAATAGTATAAATTAAATTTTAACTTCTTAACTTTTTAGAGACTAAATCTTAACCAAAAATTTTATAAGTATTTATCACAAAATGTATTAACTTCATAGAGATAAAAATATAATTAAGTATTATTTTTAAATTAAAAAAAATATTCACAACCACATGGTTGTTAAGGGATTTATCTATTTAGTTTTAATAAATTGACATGTCTGTTTCTGCAATATATCTTATATATTTATTATAAATATTATAAAATGACAAGACATGTTTTCAAACGTTGTATTCGAATACCAAAATATGACATTTGATTATAAGTTCTCTGGAATCGGATATATGTGGTATTCCAATACCAACTGATGGTAATCGATACAAGTTTCTAAATTCTAATTTTGTCTAACGTAATGTATTCAAGCTAAGTGATAAAATTTGGTCCAAGCATTTTGCAAATAATTTTCAAGTAGACTTAACACCATATCTTTTGTGTAAGTAAAAGGTTTATTCAGCTTAATGAAAAATTTTCGACCTCGCAAAGTAAAATAATTTTCAAGGAGATTTAACACCATTTAACCCTTACAATGGGGATTGTACTGTCGTAATCCTTGGATTTGTTGTCTTGTAATATTCCATGCGTTGATTATCTTCAAAATCAGTTTCATGAATTATGTTCACATTACATGTCGTTGTGTGGACCTAAATCACAGCATGAGAAATTTTTATTCTGTGATGCTTTTAATGATATATAGAATTATTAGCTACATAGTTCACTTGGTGCCTAATCAAATCATACAGTATATTCTTTGTATCCTTTTGCAACTAATCAATGCTAACAAATAACAACTTTAGGACAATGTTGTGTTCATGTTCTAACTTAACCATACAAGACTCAAATCACATTAAACAGTTTCATGGACAAGATTCGCATTCCATCTTATTCTACCCTATTGCCTTGTAAAACTTAAGAACTCCACATTGTGCTACTCAATCACGTCTTGTTGCCAGGGGAGTAACTTCAGCAAGGGGAGTTGGAAGAGGAGTTTGGAATGGTGAATTTCGACACATCGGACATGTGAGGTTAAGCCTCAACCACATGTCAATGCATTCCTTGTGAAAAAAATGACCACAATCGGGTAAGAGGCGCAACCACTCCGAATCCTTGTAATCTGCTAAGCATATTGAGCAGCCTAGTGGTGTTGAATCAGGCTTATGAAGCTTGGCTTGAGAGAACAACAACATGGGGTAATTGTTGAGGATGGCATCAAGTTCTTCCTCACCAACTTGTATAGTGATAGCTCTATGATCACTATCCATGACCACTGTCCTATGAGAACTGCTGAAACTGCTAGCAGTGGCTCTGGCTCTAGATTGGCTGTTTCGAAGATTTCTTTGGCTACAATAGTATGTAGTGAGAACTATGAACATCATCAGGAGGAGGAAGCCAAGAGACAATCCAATGGAGAAATATGCATATGCGTTTGAGGCATCTGAAGGGTCATCAGAATTGGAAGTTCTGTTCATGATCTTCTATGTGTTGGGTAGTTCAATTTCCATGGCAATTTCGTAGCATGCTTTAGAAACGTCACTAACCAAAAGGCTTGTACAAGAGAGGATAGGAATAATGTAGAGGTTGCCCTTTTGTTTTGTTTTATCTTCCTTTGGATAGGAGAAAGAGAGTTATGTTGCGTAAGTCAATTGATTAGAACTTGTAGGGTGCTAATAGAGACAAGGAATAAATTGTCAACTCGTGGGGAGTTGCTATGTGGTGGTGGTGGTGGTAGTTTATGTATACCGTATGCTCTTGGAGTTACTAGCTGGTGTCGGCTAAATGCATGTGTCATATTCTAACAACCACCCCCCCCCCCAAGTGTCTCCTTAACAACCAAGGTTTAGTGCTACTTATCTAGATTCTAGACAATGTTTTAAGTGGGTCGGATTCAAATTGAAATATGTTATTTCTGATTCTGCATTTACTTTATAAAAGACTGCAAATCACTACTAACAATAATTCTTAGCATAATAATATATAAGCTGTCCAATCCAACAAAGTTATTTAACAAGGGTGAAAAAGAAATCAAGTGCTAGGCATGTTCTTTATGCTGGTACTAAATTCTCCCAGGTTATATCTGTATGTACCGAGAATTTTAAAATTCTATAAAATATGAAAATAACAATGAGTGAAGTTAGGATTTAGGTATGACATTTTCTCTAAAAATAGGTTATTTAAAAAAATTTATTTGACATAAAAATTGTCTAATTAAATTTTTTTAGTATTTTAAAACTATTTTTTCTTACTATCTAAATACATGAATAATTGTAGTAATTTTAAAATATCTTATTCAAATGCAATTTAAATGGATAATAGGAACTCCATATATGTGTACTGTAATAAAATTTTTAAATATAACTTTGTTTGAATAACTTCTTAAAGAAGTCTTTACAAAAGAAACAAAATCAATATAAAAAATAATAAAATTTCTTCAATAAGTTAGAAACAACTTATGCTTATTTGTCATTTGAGAAATTTCTCATTTAACTTCTTTAAAATTTAAGAAAATAAGTTGTTTCTAACTCATGTAAAAAAAATATATATATATTCATTGTTTATACTGATTTTTTATAAGATTTTTTTAAAAAAATTTCTCCAAACTAGACCTGTGACTAATTTAACATGTATCAAATTAGGAAGTAACCACCCTTATTAAAAATTATGAAGTTTTGTCTGTGGCCGCCAAATTTTTTTAAGTTGGATGATTTTAATGTGTTCACGCTTCACTGATTTGTGGTATGTGCAAATTTCGGCATTGGATTGTGATTATATACTATAAAATGAAAAAAGAGGAGCTGAGGATAAGAAAATTGGTCAACCCATATAAAAAGCTTTCCCCCGGCTGGATCCATAGTTGCTACTTGCTAGGCTAAGGAATATGCTAAATAATATATATTAGTATAAGCTTGATGATTTTTCTGGTATATGGATGTTACTAGCCTAAATTGCACACAAGTTTTTCCGTACCCTATTTCAAGGTCAATGTTCTTCAACTGTAATTGCTCAAAAAGGGTGGAATTCTTTTGCTCACTGGCATTGTAATCACATTTTCAAGTTTCAACTAATAGCATCAAATTAAAACTTCCCATAAAATTATAACAAGAAAAATAAAAGGGAAGGATCACTCGGATAAAATTTTAAATGGAAAATAATTCATTAAAAAATTAATTATGCTTTTGTCCCAAACTGTCGTGCAAGTCACAACATTTTTGTAACACTTTCATCCATAAGTTTACCATGCAATACGGTCGTCACAAAAATGGTACCAACTGAAGAAAACAGTCGATGATGTCATGAAACAAGGATGTCAAATAGGTGCATTATGGGCATATTTTATTTGATTTTGTATCCACCTAGTTTATGCCTAAATAATTAAAGGGTTGTTCTCAAGACCTTCTTTTAATATCAATTGATCAGTTTTTGCTTTAAAAAAAACAACCCTACTACTTTGTATGGTCACTTTATTTCAGGTTGGTAGGAGCAACAAGTTTGAGAAATCATAGAAAGTTGGACTATTTGTTCAACGTGTGTCTGGAAATTACATACATTCTTTAAGCAAAAAATTATGATGACATGAACTCACTTGCTGCTTAGCCACATTCCACGGAAATGATTGCTTTGGCATCACAAAAAATATACTTGCTTGGGGATTGTGAGGAAACAAGCAAGGCCCACTGGTACTAAAAGTTAAAACACTCAAAATCTTCATTTTAAATGAGTTATCCATAAAGAATTTGAGTATGGATGGGGCAGATGTAGTACAACATATACTTGCTAAGGACAATATACTGAGGAAACATGCTGGATTAAAATCTTTACAAACATAGTAGTATTAGAAGTTCCCTAATCCGGTCATCCAGTCATACGCAGCAATAAACAAGTGAATTGCATTATAATGGTACCAAAAACAAAATTGAACAGAGAAAGAGAGAGAAAATTACAACAACGGTGACAAATGTCAAATGGTAGAAATATGGATGCAATATCACTCTCAGCTGGGATTCTAGAGTCAAATTGAAGTGCAATTTTGGAGTGGTGACATAACAGTAACACACACACATGCCATTTTCAATCATTTTCATGGTTTCAAAGGTCCTAAACAGGTATGAGAACTAAGACAGGAAGCAATGCTAACTTAGTTTGAAATTACACCGAACAAATCCCCTCTTTCACTTTTCACCAAATGCTTGCTATTACCAAAACTTTGTTTAGATTTAGAGGGAAGCAAGCTACTGTGGTAACTATCAACTGTTTGTCCACAGTTATAGCTAATCCTGTGTGATCCACAGCATAGAACTTACCCTTATGGTAAACATCTTCATAATGATGATCACCATCACTATCTACGTGACTACATTGTCTATTGCAAAACCATTTTTCCAAGCAGAAATCTTCCAACCCGAGTGAATTGCCATTATTGCAAAACCATCTTTAGAAGACACGGCAACTCTCATAGGCATGTGTTGTTCAACGAGTTCTTTCTTCCCAAAACTGTCAACAAGTTCAAGGATATAGCTTGTAGCTACCACAGTGACCTTGTTTAGGAGCAAGTTCAAATATCTGGGCAATTCCTTGTGAGAATCATCAAGGGGTTCCTAGAAAGTGGATTTTTCACTTTAAGATGCACCTTGCCGGCAACTTCCAATGCCTCAACCTTCATGAAGCAAGACTTGTTCCTGCACTCCTGGATGCGCAAAGTGGTACTCTCAACTACAGAAAAGTAACAACCTGCTTCAATGCTCTCATTCTAATGGAGTTCAATTGGGAATGGAAGCTTTGGATGCACTGGCACACGAGGAACAGTTACAGCACGAAAACTTGAACACACCCCACGAAAATTATAACACTCAACTATGTGAAGCCTCTTTGAGATGTTCTCCAGCATATCAATATGAAGACTAAACCAAGGTGCCTTGGATAATTTGATCCTACAATCCATTTTCAATTTCCCTTCTATATGGCTTATAGTAGTAGTAACAGCGTGCTTGTATAGAGGGTGTTGATGCATGCATGAGCGTGACGTAAAGGGGTTACCGTTACTAATGAATTTTCCATCCTTAGTTCTGGGGAATGGCCAAGTGAGTCCTTCATTTCTTCACTTCAATGCACGGCACTTAAAACCACTCTTGCACTTCAATCATGGTTAAATAATTTAAGCCATAGTTGCACTAAAACTGTGGTTGCTTAATTAGCCAAAATTTTAATTTGAATTTTTTTATTCTAATTGGATGAAGTCATTTTCACAGCCCAACCCATATAAAGCAAAATACACATACATGCTCATCCCAAAAAAAATTCAAAAATATATAGATGATGATTCGCTGTGTCAATGAGAAATAACGTAAATATGAGGAACATAAATGCCAAATTTTCTTCGAAATATGTAACATATTGTTTTCCTTTGTCTAGTAAAGTTGCACTTAAAAACCATGGTCGCATAATTAGTCAAATTTAAAATTTAAAATTTGTGATTATGATTGGGTGGAGTCACTTTCGTAGCACAAACCATGAAAACCAGAATCCATGCATGATGTTCATCTCCGAAAAATTCAAAATTTATCGCCATGAAGCACCTAAATCATGCTCGCAGAACTAGCCAAAAGATTAAAAAATAATCAAGGTCCAAATTCTTGCTCTAATTAAATATTCTCTGTAATTTCAATCGCTAAAGGGAGTTCCTTTGCTGAGTGGCACTATAATCAGCGTCAAGTTTTGACCAAAAAATCCAATCAAATATCCTCATGAATTATAACAAGAAAAATAAAAGTAATATGGCTCAGACGAAATTTTTTAAGCCCACTTAGCTTAATCAACTGACCTTTATTTGTTCTTTTAACTGGAATTAATCATTAATGTCGCACTTGTTGATAATAATTTCGGATCAGAAATTTCGTTCAAACATTTTTGTCACAACTTCATAGTTTTTCATATTTAAGGGTTTGATTAATATTAAATAAATTAGGAAACCCGCTAAAATCATTTTTTAAAGAAGACAGTGAAATTGGGATAATGAAGGTGAACATATAATTTACTCTAAACACCACTAGCAGGGTCCAAAGCTTTTGACAAACTCGGTAATATTTTTCCTTTTCTTTTTCCCGTGTCATAAGCTTTTCATACAAATATAAAGTAAGCTTCCCACAAGGTTGGTTTATTACAAGAAAGGTACTGAAGAAGTCTATAATGCCAACATCAGACCAATTAAATCATAGTATCAACGTTCTCAAGATCTGCACATCTTTACATGGACTTGCTCGTGACTGCACCAGCTATGCCAACGGATAAAAAGCATTCTTTAACCACGTATGGATGCCCGAGGAACAGTGGGTAAACCCAGTTCATCCTCACTCTGTCAATGTCAAAGTAATCAATCAATCAGAAACGAAAGGCACATAATATTAATAAAACAAAAAGGCAGAAAATAGAGCAATTCATTTAGTTCAGATTCTTGTATTAAACAGTATCAAGAATCACTTGTCAGTCAGCAGATAACCAGAGCAACAGAGGCTCCGTGTAAACTATACAAAGGTTGACTCGAACACTGATGATGATCCTTTCAAAAAACACAAAAGCATAGTTCAAGTGAAAAGTTGCACATAAACCTAAATCGGGAAATCAAGCAGAGGCATATTCTTACAAGTTACATCAGTATACATAAAAATGATAATGCTACCTCAAGCATCCATAAGTTTACCAGGTAAAGCTTCCCTTCCTCCCTATCGTGAAAAAAACAGTTAAAAGATGCATTGAAACAACCCTACTAATTTCCATTTTCTTATTGATTATATTCAACTATAACCAGTTTCAGTGCTTTAGAGTAATCGTTGGTATGCTATCTTTTAAAACTCTAATTCCAACATTTGTCTTTCAACCTTCAAAACCAAGGAAAAAATCAGATTCAATATCTGGGACAATATTGGCAAGCAATCAAACAGGTTTAGCTATCATCTTTTTCTGACCTGCTTTAGAATCCAAAACCCCACCCAGCTAAAGGGACTTCCAATCAAATTACCAAGACTGCTCCACAATCAACATAGCTACAGATTATTTATTTATTAAGAAAATATCTTGCGGTCTTGACATTCTGCAACCAAGACTGCAATGAATAACAACCATTTTTCCTATAGCTTTTCCTGCATTTTATAAATTATCACATGCTCTTGCCATTCCATTAAGTTAATCACTCCTCAAGAAAAATAGTGTCCGCCCATAACCAACATTCATAACACATCCAAGTTGCTGCCAAGTAATATTCTAATAAACACACAAATTTAGTAACTATTAACTTAAATACAAAAACACAGCAAAATTTTCCTTTCTGATAAAAAAATAAGGACAAAACATTATACTTGGACCTCGGATCTGCCAGGCGGCACTGCTGTTTGTCCTGTTGGAGCTGAGGGTAAGTTCAGCTCTGCATCCAAATCAGGTTCTTTATCAGGCTGGAGGTAGGATGGGACCCCATCAGCTTCAGTCTCATTTCCCATGTCTGCTTCCAGTGCATCAAGTTCTGTTTTACCAAAACCAAAAATAAAGAAATAGATCATTCAAAAACTTATTGGACTACAAGTTCCCTAACAAAGTATGGTATATTAGGACATATCCAAGTATCCAACACACAAAATGAAGCTGATGACACCCTTCACAAGCTGAAAATATATTGCTTAAAATATTGCACATTTTATAATTGAAACTAGGAAGGCAAGCATGTACAAGATCAACCATTTTTCATCACATAGCAAGAAAATCCGACTGCCCTATTCAACCATGGAGCCATGTTAACTACGAGTTTTTAGAAGGAATCCAACATAAATATTAAAAGCCTAACCGATTTCTTAACTTACCACCCAAAAGTTCATCCTCGTCAATGTCATCAGGCACATTATAGCTTCTACCCAAAGTGTCTTGGATTTCATTACTTACATCCATGAGGTCCATCATCTCATCTTGCAAGTTCTACACATAGCACAGCTCAGCAGTTAAGGGTCAAAAATTTTAATATCAGCTATATAGAAGCTATAAGTGAAAAGGAAAGAGAATACAGACATCAATGTCTTGGATTTTCACAGTTTTCATCATTCCCTTCAACTCCTTGTTTGCAGACTTCAAAGCTGACATCTGAAAAGGGGAAGAGCGAAAGAAAAAAGAAAAAGTTGTAAACAATTGAATGCAAATTCTATATCAGATTGAAAAAAAACATTATTTGAGGTCATCTGATTTCTGAATTTAAATATAGTAGAATTGGTTATAACAGATGTATAAGGCATAATGTGTAACATCTCTATAGAGAAACCCCTCCCAAATGACAGACGATTCATCCCCTACCTCATGACCTACCTCTCATGAGGTAGGCAGCAGGTTCCAAACAGGGTGACAAAGCTCCTCCTCGAACCATGCCCCTTAAAGCGCTACCAAGACAAACGAATGTTTTATAGTGAATATGGGTACCCCAATCAACCGCACTTTATATATAGCATACAATTGGCATCTTCAAACTTCTAGGAATTAACAAATAGTTACAGATCTAAATAATTTGTGTTTAAAAATTAAGCTCAAATAAATCATAGAATAAAAGAGCAGCCTAGTATTGCACAAGGCTACCACCATTGTGGGGTCTTGGGACGTGCAAACTTCAAATGAACATAGCCTTACCAAGCTATTGGAGAAGCTGTTTTCCCAACTAAAACCTGTGACATGTAAGTCACAACTCACAAGGCAGTACCTTCAGGGCCCAGCCTCAGGGTAAATCATAAAACAACCAGAAATTTGATAAAGTTTCCCCATTCAATAAACACAGCTACTAAGCCTCGCAGCTTAATATCCTTAGGAAAACAGCAATAATGCGAGCAATGTTATCACTGTCTACTATGCCATAAATTATTGGATTCAATCTGTAGATTTTTTTGAGACTGTCTACTATGACTTAAATGCTCCACACATTCTACACAGAACAAAGAAGCCTGATACACAGATGAATACAGGATAAAAGAGAGTTCAATTTAAGGGTCACAAAGAAAACTCGTAAGTGCTTGGATACATACAGTTTGTTGAGCATCTTTGATGCCCTCAGCAGCAAATTGAACTTGATCAAGATTGAATGTCTGATTATACAGCATGTCACGTTGGCCTTCATACCTGACCAAAGGTGTAGTGTATAGCTACATGAATACAGCTATATAATATTCATTTCTTGTGCAGTGTATTGCTACATGAATAAATTTATAAGTAATTTCCTCTGCTTAAGTTGAACTTACAGCATACTGAAAGTTGTTTCCTTTGTTTTATAAATATATTGCTTAAAGTTATAAGGTTAGGGAGGGAAATGGTCGAGAGGCTTCATAAATAAATAAAAAATCTGACAATTTAAAATTACAATAACAAATTCTGGTCAACAAATAATACATTATCGATCTTGAAATTTATAGCAAATACACCACAAAGTAATGACATATTAGTATTTGACAGAATAAGCAGTATCAATGCAAAGGTTCATCTGGAATAGTAGCTAAGCTTTACCAGATTTCTGATCAATGTCCCATTTCATTAACACAAAGCTATCCTATAACTTTGCGATAAATTCCCATCTCTGATCTATAACTTTGGGTTAATCAATTTGATGATTAAAGTGGGACAAATAAACTAAGCAAACAAAGAATAAGCAACTTACATTCGTTTTTGCTTAAGAACTCTCATGGCTCTAGCTTTAATAGCTTCCTGGGCAGGACCAGGTCTTGTTTTCTTAATCTGTTCTTTATATCTACTAAGTTCAACATCAAGCTTCTTAATTTTGTCATCCACCGAATCACCTCGTTTAGTAATCTGAAATATATATGCAATATTTTAGAAATTCTGAAAAATTATTGAAGTACAAAATTGTGAAACAAAATAAACTAAAAATGTACAAGTAGAAAAAGGGGGGGAAGGCGGTAAAAACAATTGAAGCAATGTCCAAAAAACATAAGTTTCTCATCACAGAATTAAGAAGCAAAAAAAAAAAAAAAACTCCGAATTCCAAAATCCAATCAAGTGTAGTAAAATACAAGCATCCAAACTAAAAGAGTTATTCAGGATCTAAATTTCATTTTGTCTTTCATTCCATTCTAGGGTTTGGGCTATAATGTGAATTATAATCTTAGCTTCAAAACGCGATTTCGAATGGGAAAATTAAACAGATCTGCGGGAGTGAGCGAAATTGATAGTTGAGAGAGAGAGAGAGAGAGAGAAAGGGACCTTATCGGAGGCATCTTGAATGGAAGGGGGAGGATCCTTGTTCTTCTTGACACCGAAGACCCTCTTCATCGTTCAGGATCTCTCTCTAAACCTTTGAAATTGGATGAAAGAGAGAAGAAAACAATGGAAGGACCGAAACAACGTAAATGAGAGACTCTGAATTTGGGGTTTTGCTTAACGCGTTAAATCACCCCACCCTGTTGGGAAATTAAGAACTTTCTCATCAATTTTCAGCTTAGAATAGAAGCTTCCCCCAAATGTTCATATAAACCCAGCGAAAGATTGCTTTTTGCAACGAGGACCACTTTTGGGCCCAATACAAAAATGAGGACAGGCCCATTTTCGCAGCCAAACCCATATTTTTTTCTGGGTTACGTTTATTGAAATATAGGCTTTTTTATATGAAATTGTTTTTTACTAAAAGAACGGTATTTTAAATAGAATTATGAAAATATAAAAAAAATTTAAAAATTATCAATGAAGTTTTTTAGTACTTTAAAAAATTATTTTTTTAAATTTTTCATTGATATTTTTTATTTTTAATTATTTTTAAAAAGTTGACATTGACTAGTTTTGATTTTTAAATCTTTTTTATATTTTTTTGAAAAATCACCCTGACGATGTTTTAAACTTTACAATTTTTTTGTTATTCCATTCCTAAATCTTTGCATCAGTACCAATACCATTGGTGTTTTTTAAAACTTCATATTCTGTATTTTTTCTAAAAATATTATATTTTGGTATATATTATTTTTAAATATTATATATAAAAAATAATTATAAAATATATTAAAAATAAATATTTATTTTAGTTTCTAAAATGTATTACTTCATTGAACTATATTTATTAAATTTTAATTTTTAAACTTTAAATAATATTATTTTAAAATTTTTTAAAAATAATTCATTTTTATTCTTAACTTTTAAAATTTTTAAACATTCACATTTCTTTATCTTCTTTCTTTCTTCTATTTCATTTTTTTTTTAAAATTGTGTTATGACCATTGCCATATTCCACCACTTCTCTAATAATTAAACTAAAAAATATGTACATAGTCTAGTTTATTAAATTGTTGTTATTGAGACCACACCACTCCATTTAGAATAATTTATTTCTTTTTCAAGTTTTTATGAACTTTCTTTCGTTCAAATTGAGTCTAATGTGTAACATACTTAATTTCCTATTTAGCATGAATAATAATTTATATGAATAATAAAAATATAAAGAAATATAAAGTGAAGTTCTTTATATTTATGATTTAAAGAATTGAAGAAAAGAAAATTTTATATTTTTTTATCAACTGAATTATAAAAACTTGAAATGTTTAAAAGTTTTCAACTGAAAAAATTCTCAAAATTTTAAATTTATAGTTAGAGTAAAAACAAAATTTACATGTAACAATTTATTTAGTTCATATTACATACAAATAAGTTTAAAAACATAATCAATATTGTCACTTAACAAAACAATTTTTCTTTTCTTTTTTTTTTTTTTTGCTAATAAACGGGGTTTCAAAACCCAAAATAAACAAACAGACTAGAAAATAAATTTGGGCCAAGAATAGCCCACTAAATCACGTCTAAGAAGGGGAAGGAGGGAAGCAGGAGCTTCATCAAATCGAGACTTCAAATCAAGATCTGCCCCAGATTTAGCCAACCAGTCAGCACAATGGTTGGTCTCTCTTAAAACATGACTAAATCTAACAAATTTAATACTACGCAAAAGAGATCTAATTTCTTAAATTACAGGAAAAAGAGGGTGACTACTACCTTGAATGTTTACAATTAAAGAGATAGCCTCTTTACAATCATTTTCAATCCAAATAACATGGATACCTTTATGAATGACTAACTGCAAACTCCAACAAATACCCCAGAGCTTAGCAGCAAGGGGAGAGCAGCTAAAGAGAGATTTATAGAAGCCAGCCACAAAAACACCATTATGATCTCGGATGAGGCCACCACAGCGACCAAGACCAGAATTAGTCAAAACTGACCCATCCGTGTTCAGCTTGAACTGATTGATCAAGGGGGGATGCCAACGAATCTAATTCTGGTGCTTGGAAAGATCAACAGCTAAATTCAAAGTACCCCTACTACAAAGAGAGAAATAATCAAAATCATGAATAATTTTCTGCCACAAAGCATTATTATCCAAAGGAGAGTTATTAAAAATAAAACAATTTCTATTATGCCAAAGATTATAGACCACAAACATAAAAAGAGACTTCCAGCAAACCTGACCAGGACCATCATTATTAGACAAATTAAAATTTAACCAACTAAAGAGACCTAAATTGAAAAAAGAAACCCAATTATCAGGATGCAAAATCTTGGACTAGATTTGAGTAGCACACCGGCAATCTCTCAAGACATGAATCACAGTCTCAAGAACATCATTACATCTGGGACACAAAGAGGAAGAAGTCATATTGTAATTAAATCTTTCAACATTTGTTAAAAGCCTTCCATGAGCTACTTTCCAGAGAAAAACAGAAAATCTAGGGGGGCCTTCCAATCCCAAATAAGATTAAAAATTTGGTTACTTCCTAAATTCTCATGGTTATAATCAGATAATAGGTTATAAGCATACCTAAGAGAGAATTTACCATTACCTTCTAACTTCCAGAAAAATTGATCATTATTATTAGTCAGCAAAGGAGGATCAAAAGAAGCAATCAAATTACAAATATGAATAGGAAAAATTTGCCTTATTTTTTTCCAGTCTCAACAGCCCAGATTTGAGAATAAAGTCACAAGATCACCCAATTCGTCCTGATTTAAGGGATGGAGAGCAAAACTGGCAAGATTATTAATATTAGGAAGCCAAGAATCTTTTCAAAATCTAATTGTTTGTTCATTGCCAAGAATCCAACTAAGACCTTTGTAAAAAGAGTCCCAAACAACAATCAGATTTTTCCATAGAGGAGAAGGTTTATTATAATCAGAAGAAGTAGGTGATTTTTCGAAACTAAACTTATACTTATGCCAGACCACTTGAGCCCAAAGATCATGAGGAGATGTAATGAGTCTCCAACAAAGTTTCATACAAAAAGCTTTATTAACTAAGTGAATATCACGAAATCCCAAACTCCCCTCACTTTTAGGTTTACAAATGGTTTTCCAACTAACTAAATGGCATTTTTTTCCCACTCAAAGATCCCTAAATGAATCTTCTACATATTTGATTAATCTCTTTACAAACAGAGATAGGGATAGAGGCAACCTGCATCAAATGGTTAGGAATACTCATTAAACAGCTCTGGGTAAGAGTGATCCTCCCTGCCATAGACAAAGAATTCATTTTCCAAATAGAAAGCTTCTTTCCAATTCTATCAAGAACTGATTTAAAATCCTACCTAGAAAGACTAAGATGACTGATAGGAATTCCCAGGTAGGTACCAATCTGAGAGGACTGCTTAAAACCTAAACAATTACTAAGATTCTGAGAAATATTAGGAGCACAACCTTTGGAAAAAAACACAGAAGATTTATTCTTATTAACTGAGACCAGAGGCAGCACAAAAGCTATTTAAGACATCAGAAATAGCTAAAACATTTTGTCTATCAGCCTTGGTCACTAGAATAATGTCATCAACAAACATTAAATGGGAGATTTTAGGACCATTATTATTGAAAGAGAAAGGCACCCAACATCTATCATTAATTTTATCCTGGATCATATGGGTCAATTTTTCAATACATATAACAAAAATGTAGGGAGAAATAAGATCTTCTTGCCTAATACCCCTACCAGGCTTAAAAACCTCAGATTTATTACTATTCCAATTTATAGACATAGAGGAGGAAGAAATACAATGACTCACAAGAGAATAAAAGGGATCATTAAAACCAATGGACTGCAAGGTAATCTAATAAAATTCCATCTAAGTTTATCATATGCCTTCTTTAAATCAATTTTAATTATCATGAATTTTTGTTTATGATTAATGTTATGCAAAGAGTGGACAAGCTCTTGTAGAATAAGAGGATTATTAATATCCTGTCTACCTTGAATAAAATTATCAATAATGTTTGGTTGGGAGAGATAATGTGAGGAAGGACTCCCCTAATTCTATTAGCCAATAGTTTAGTGAAGATTTTATAGCTAACATTGCAAAAGGAAATGGGTCTGAAATGTTTTACATGAGAAAGGGCATCAATTTTAAGGATTAGAGAAATTACAGTCTTATTAACATCAGTAATTTTGGAGGGATTTTGAAAAATTTCAGTAACAAATTTAAAAATGAAAGGAGTCAATAAATCCCATTAGGTCCTAAAAAAAACAGCATGGAGCCCATCTGGGCCAGGCGCCTTAAAATTCCCTATATTGAAGAGAGCAGTTTTGACCTCAGCTATGGTTGGGACAGAATTTATAATGTCAAGAACCTCAGGCCTAAGGGTAGGAAAATTAGAAATAGTATTAAGGGGGGCAGCATGTGGACAAGGATCATTATAGATATCCTGAAAATACTTGACCACCATGTTTTGAAGAATGAGAGGATCAAATTCCCAGTCTCCCATGTCATTTCTAAGGGCCTCAATTTGATTACATTGTCTACGAATCATAACAGCCCTATGAAAAAACTCATTATTCCTATCCCCTAAATTGATCCAACTAGATTTATAATGGTGGAACCAAAAAGCTTCTTCAAAGTCCAGAATATTATTGTATTCCGGCCATAAAGATTTCCTAAGATTCACAAGGAAGGGGTTGTTCTGAACATCTAACTTAGCAGTAATGCCCCTAATCCTGTTTAATAACCTCCTTTTTCTTCTAAAAATATTACAAAAAACATTTATATTCCAGTCATAACAGCCTTACAAAAAAACCCATTATTCCTATCCCCTAAATTAATCCAACTAGATTTATAATGGTGGAACCAAAAAGCTTCTTCAAAGTCCAGAATATTATTGTATTCCAGCCATAAAAATTTCCTAAGATTCACACTGAACATCTAACTTAGCAGTAATGCCCCTAATCCTGTTTAATAACCTCCTTTTTCTTCTAAAAATATTACCAAAAACATTTATATTCCAGTCAGAATATTCCTTTGAAAATTTATAACATTATCATTCCAAATATTTGAAGGAATCCAGGAAATTTTAACCTGATTTTTAAAATCCTCATAGCCTATCTACGGAGTTAAGAATTTAAAGGATTTATTATTAGGCACATGACACTCTTTAGTTCTAAATTTTAACCACAGGGCAACATGGTCAGATTTCATAATAGG